ACAAAAAAAAAAGGAAACGAATCGGGAAGTCCTCAAAATACAGCATGATATACGTCGGTATCCCTAAACATAATTTGTCAAATGATCTGATTCACCGATCACACGTTGCAATAATAAATTGCAGTCATAATATTAAAATACAAATAGTGACGGTCATTAAAACTTTTGGCACAACGACCAGTGCATAACATATAAATATATCTAAGATTTATATATCTTATGAGTTATTTATGTGGGCGTGGTACCTTTACGCCCATAAACCGAATAAATAAATATTCTTTGGCATGTCACACAACGCCATCTAGTCTAAAACTAGAAAGAGCTTACACCATAGGTACTAAATAACAAGATAGAAGTATGTTATTTAAAAAGATTCGGAAATGCATACATGTATAATGTAAACACAAATAAATAGAGTAATACAAACATATATATATATATATATATATATATATATATATATATATATATATATATATATATATATATATATATATATATATATATATATATATAATCCCTTCTGCGCTATCGGTATATACTGGTGGGGCATCAGTGATAGATGACTAATGACGATGAAAGCAGGTCAGTTAGCCCATCCTGATGAATGCAACTAGAATTAGATGGTTTCCAGGGGGAACCACGTGGAGGACGACCTGACAGGGTGGTTAATTACTAATGAATTTGCACGATAGACCATTTGATTCTCTACATTGACACCATTCTACATTATTACCATTTGCAGTTAGAGTATAGGTACTATTTTAATCCATTAAAAATAAACACTCCATAAGAGAGATACCATCATTTTGTTTACCATTCAAGTTGCGTTAAATATTACCCGTTTCGGATTCTAAATAATTATGCATACAACTTGACTGGTTTAAAAAAAGACGTAGCATGTCTTGTTTTTCTTTTTCATTAAACATGACTGAAGAAATATAAAACCATAATTATATGCAAAATTTAAATACTCTAAACTTATAAACAGTAAATCCCTTATTTATATAAACTAAAACCTTTCTACAAACACATTTTAACATTACACTGTTTTGCCATTTTCAAACTAGGAATTTAGCACAATAGAGAGAGAGGAAAGGGATTGTTAGAAATGGGGATTAGCAACCCTATTACTAGCAATATACCCTATCAGGTCGACCTCCTCGCGGTTCCTTCTGGAAACCGTCGTGATCGATTAATTAGTGAATTCGTTACGATGGGCTAACTGACATGCGTCATCTTCATTTATCATTCCTCACTGGTGCCCCGCCAGTGTACACTGTTAGTGCGGGCGGGCTTTTTTTTTATTGATGGGTGAAAATGGAATGGTAACCCTGCCTGCGCTAACGGGATACGCTGGCGGAGCACCAGTGAAGGGTGACAGATGAGAATGAAAACAGGCCAGTTAGCTCATCATGGTGAATTCATCATTAACCATGATAGTTTCCAGGGGGAACCGCGAGGAGGTCGACCTGGTTGGGTATATTGCTAGCAATAGGATTCTCAGTTTCCACTACTAACAATCCCTTTCCCCCCTGTGCAGGCGGGCTCGCTATTCCATTATCATCGATTAAAAAAAAACACAATAGAGAGAGAGAAAGAAACAAAACAGTTCAGTAGCTAAAAATAGGTTTATGAGAAGTTTGACCTTTTCATGAATAGGAGAGTAAGGTTTTTGTTGTTTGATAAATCAGTCGAATACTCAGATTTTGTACTTACATTTACAGGTTTATTTATTAAATAATACACATATATGCATACATATATATATGAGTGCCAATTCAATAGCCAAGTCTTGTGACAATTCATAATATTATTTACCATTTAATGAACACAACAACATGTTATTGTTATTAAAATACTACGAACTTAAACTGGGTTAGTACATAAGAAACGTTATTATTTACAAAGGTGTATATATTGATGTAAACATATATATATATATATTTTAATGGATGATAATGGAATGGCAAACCACCCGCGCTAATGGTATACGCTGGCCACCAGTGAGGGATGATAAGTGAGAATGAAAAGACAGGTCAGTAAGCCTATCGTGATAAATACATCTGGGATTAAGCACAATGGTTTTCAGTGGGGACTATGTGGAGATCGACCTGAAAGCTTTTTACTAGCAATGGAACTTGTAGTCCGCATTACTAATAATCCCTTCCTCCCACATATCTATCTATCTATATATATATATATATATATATATATATATGACTAGCAACTCTGACAGTGTGAAGCATATTTTTTTTTAAATAAAATATAGTTCATGTTACTCGCTGCTAATGTATACATATGAAAGAATTTTTAAAAACAGTTACATGTTCTTTAAGTTTATCTATTACAAATAAACAAAAAATTTCATTATTTACTCTTTTCAATTTTGCTTTTTTTTTCTGTGATCTTGACCTGTTATTACAACTCTACTATACTCTATTTTTATACCATGAAGGTGGCAAACAAGCACACAAACTGCCTAATGTTTAATGATTAACTACTGTAATTTATGGACAACTGCAACATCAGGGCCCTGATTCCCATTTGTGTTACTGTCATGAATCAGGGTTTGCATAGCTGTGTTTCAGTTTAAAGGACGGAATATGGCAATGAAATTAAAGGATACGGGGGATTTACACCTTTGTACTCAGGAATGGCAACACACAAAGGGTATCATGAATGATACAGTATACTCTGTTACATAACATGTACATACATGATACTGTTCATGTCTATAGACAACGGTTACCACTTTCCATCCCATGGGCTCTCAATTTGTTTGTTTATTTAATTGTTAAATATAGTAGTGTAGGAATAGTAATATTAACATTTTTTGTTATAGTCATGAAGCAGAAGCAATACAATAGTATACTATTCGTATATATGTATTAGCTTGTTGTCATTCTAAGTTGTATAAAAAATTGTTATACAGCTAACTAACTCATTATTAGCATTATTTTAAACTGATATTGTATGTACTAATGACATATTATACATTGGACTATATATGTAAACAATAATTCATGGACACTGCAGATAAAAGGGACATTGACCTTTGATCTTCATATTATAATGTTGATTGATCAATCTGAATTGAGTAGATATTATGATCATATATTATCTTAAGTAACTTCCCTTTGCATGATTTATCATTTTACTAGCTTCTACCTGTGACTTTGTCCACATGATTGGGATCAGTTAATGGACAGGAATAAATAGTCTATGCCCTTTTACATTGCATATAGTATATTAACACATACTATATTAATGATTGGTTAAATCTTCATGGCATTAAAGAAGTAACAAACAAACAATACTTTCACATTCATAATATTATTACGGATATTTAACCTAAATGATCACATTAATTCCTGCCCTTTAATTTTTTTTAGCTTTTTCTTATGTCGCATATAAAAACAAAAGGCTAAAAAATAATTTTGGAAATTGGAAAACTCTTATTATTTAAATTACACCTTCAGAAACACAAATTTAAAATTGCATCCATATTGGTAATTTGTTTTGATATCTATTAGGCTTATTAAGACCCTCTCTTTTTTTTTTTAAATATATTTAATGTACTAATATTGTTTAATTATGATTTTGTTATATCAGTAAGATGTTTTTTCCTTTGCCTTAAATACAAAGTAAGAAGAAATAAATGAGAGCCAACAATACTCTTGATATCTGTTCAAGAATTTCGAGAATCCATGTGTCAAATTATGTATAAACTAAACTAAATATAGGATTATGAACGAGAATCTTCATAGGTCATTAAAAAAATTTCATAATATTTATTTTTAGAATATTATGATGCTGAATATACAATAGTGTTTCAAATTGTTAAGTACTTCACTAAAGGTATTCCAAAAGGGGTTTATTTTAATCTATTTATTATTACTAAATTTAAATTAAAAAAAGAAAAAAATTATGACAGTATATGTACATATGAAATAAGTACAGTTGAATATTATTAAGAAAGTACATATATCTATATATTTTTATTAAGTATTTCCTTTTATGAGTCAAGCTTAGCCTAATAAAGGGTCATAGCTACAATGCAATAAAGTTAATAATTCTCGTTGAATTAAAATTTATTGTTATTTTTTTTTATTGGTATATGCTGGCAGGATAGCAGTGAGATGAGAATAAAGCCAGATTACTTGGTACATCATGACTACAAATTAACCATTATGATTTCGAGGAGTGACCGTGTGAATGTCGAATTGACAAAATAGATTGTTAATAATGGGGCCACAAGACCCCTTTGCAAAAAAAAAAAATATATTAGATGTGGTTTATCAATTTATTGTTTTAGGTTATGGTACCAAATGAAGTAATTTAGTAACTGTGTTCTTACATATAAGTAGGTACCTACTTATTAATTTATTAACACCGCTATCCTACTGAATAATGAGGCATTTGCGTGATGAAATCGCTGATAATTTTTAATTATGTAAATCATTATAATGAAACAATAATTAGTTAATTTAATAATCGAAAAGACGTCGAAATTCTCACAACATTATATTTCTAATGTTAAATAAATAAGAAAATGATGAATTATTGGCTTACCTTATAGTTTCTTTTTTAAGGTACTAAAGTATAGAACTCAAAGCACTCACAAAAAAAAACTTGTAAAGTAGATATCTATATACAGTTCGAAAAATGAAAATAAAACTTAAGGTTCAGTCAAAGTACACTAATATTCAATTTCAGTCATATATTTAGTTTCATTTTAATTACACTCATGCACGCATGCAGAATGCACTGCATTGTCAAATGTCACTGTCAATTATTGCAGTTTTGCATGACACACAAAATGTCAATATTATATAGACAGATAACACATAAAGTTATTGCTACGACCATAGATTAAGAAATAATAACTACGTTATATTACGTGATACTTTTCTAAGCCGTAAAAAATTCTTCCCAATTCTAATTAAAAAATTTGGGATATTTTTAAATAATTACTTGCAACACAGAAAAACGTGCGTTTTTATAGGTTTTCATCAAAGATTTCAGAATATAAGTTATTATTAAAAAAATTTGTGTCAGCAAAAATTCCATATTCCTAAGTGTGTCAGCCACTGGTCACTCTAATCTGTGGTGTCAGCAAATTTGACGTTTAGCTGACTAAAAGTTGACCTTTTTTTTACACTCGAGTTTCTAAAGTGTTCTGTGGTTCCAACTTTTTTTATATATTTTTTTATTAAACATAGTCTCTCTAATCTGTGTAAATAATCTAAGGTATTTGTATACATATATTTTGGTCATTTTATTTCTTCATTTTGTGAAAAGGCTAATTAAGGTGATAACTGATAGATAAGTTTTCTTAAAACAATCTAAAGCTTACATTTTCATATGCTTACTAGTTAATATATTTTATTATTTTACAGATGACGTTAAATCATGTACTAAGAAAAATATTATCAAGGAGCAGTGATTTTTGTTGCTTATGCTTTGAAACTATAAATGATAAAGCAATTTCTCCTGACAACGAGGTTATAATTAATGTCAATCAGACTCAGAACAATCTATTAATGTCTGATGTACTTTTAACCGTTTTAGGCAATGAAGTAAGTAATATTTATTGTCTACCTTTTACCCGCAATATCGTTCGCGTGACCAGGATATGCTTACTGTCCAGTATAAAAAGTAGACTAGCCCCTTCTCCATTTCATTTCATTTATTTTGTGATACATAGGTACATAACAATGGATGGTACATAACAATGGATGATAAAACAAGATAAGTCCTCTATGATCAACCTCATCTATCGAGGTATACAAATTCACAAACACACATAAAAATCTCCATCTCATATAGTATATATCAAATTTGATAGTATTTGTTTAAGCTGTTAAGGTGCTATAAGATAACATACAAATATACAAACTCACTTTTACACTAATGATATCCACTGTCCTTATTCCCATCACATCCTTATGACCGATTACATTATTGGCCATAAGGATGTGAAATATAGGCACAATCAGATTTTTTCTGTGTCTAAGTTGTATAAAGAATAAGAACATAACAAACCTTTTAATTACACCTCTAGATTGTCTTCTAATATAAAATCTTTGCCAAAAATAGGCCAATTTTGTATATATGAATTGAGATACCAAAATGTTATTGTCATTACTGAGTATTTTGTGGAGGATAAATAAAAAATGTATTCTATATATGTTTCAGGTACTTAGCTATATTTCCACATTTGAAGCACTGTGTACTAAATGCACACAGTCTGCAATCAACAGCTATACATTTATGAAACTCAGCAAAAAAAACTCAGAGTTACTCTGTAAGGTACTAAGTAGTTTAAAAGAAAATATCGATGATACAATTGAAGATCAAGTAAATTGTAAAACACTTTTTGTGTCTGTAAACACAGAAACATTTGTTAATAACCAACATTATGACAATAAAAGACCAGTATGTAATACAAGTGCAGCTTTACGAAGATACCAGTCATTGCTTAATAATGAAGACAAGTCAGAATTGGAACTATGTCCTCAAAGCATAAAAAAAGATGTTAGAACAAAAAAAGAAAAATCTCAATTTGCAATCCCAACTTCAGATATGATTTATGATAAAAATGACCAGGAAACTATAAAATGTAAGGAATGTCTAAAAGTTTATCCTGGAATTTGGAAATTACGAAGCCATTATATAAGAGTTCATGCTCCGAAAGTATTCAAATGCACAGAATGCCCAAGAAAATATGGGTCATTATCATATTTACATGCTCACAAAGAGGAGAGTCATTGTAGTATTGTCTGCAGTGAGTGTGGTAAGACATTTCACAATCGGAACACATTACGAATACATGAAATGGGTCACCATTTGAGATTCGTGTGCCAGGACTGTGGCAGGATATACAAAAGCAAAAATACATTTAAAAAGCACATAGAGTTTAATGTGTGTGGTAGCAAAACTAGGGCTTCTCCATCAGAAGCAAAGTTTACATGTGATTATTGCAACAAGAAATACACACAGAAAGTCTCATTACGTGTTCATATACAGTTTGAGCATGGTAATTATAAGGGGCATGAATGTAAATGGTGTAAAAAGAAGTTTTGGGCACAGAGCAGACTGAAGGCTCATATAGTCAAACATACTCGAGAAAAGAAATTTAATTGTAATATATGCAATAGAAACTTTGTTACAAAGGAATCACTCTTGTATCATACACGTATACATACAGGGGAGAAGCCATATGAATGTCCAGAATGTGACGCTAGGTTCCTGTCTGCATCACGTCGAGCTGAGCATGTAAAACGACAACACAGAGGTGCCACCATACAATGTGACATATGTCAGAGTAAATTTAACTCTACAAACTACTTGCAGAAGCATAGGCAGTCTCATTTCAAAGGTGAGAAAAATGCACCAACAAATATTCATCAATTTCAGGAGGAAAAGCAATTAAGAGATAATGATGTGAAATCTTTTTTAAACCAAGAGGATTATCAGACGCGCCAGCTGCTTCCAGCTGTTTTTGACAATGACTTTGACACTCATATGCCCTCTGATGAAGAAATATACCTTGTATCAAATGAGAAGAAAGATTATATGATACATATATCAGGCATAAAGTAAGAATATAAGTAAATAATGTTGATGTTTTGTCCTTTATTACAATATATGATATCATTATGATGCACCAGCTGACTTAAATATTTTTTAACTATTATCACTCACTACTACCCCAATATTGTAGACCAATCATGCAAATAAATAATATTAAGACTATGAATATTAATGTATAATGATGGATTTGTAAATAATATATGCTATGTATATATAGTTTTAAAATTTTATTTATTTCTTTTATCTGCAAAATTAGAGGTTACCTGTCCAAGCGCACCTATAACACTAATGCTCAGGAATGACGACTGCATGAGGGGAGTACCATAGGTTTCCAAAGTGTTACGTGTGTTCTGTCATTTATACGGTTGTTGGAGACCATTCAGCTTCTTGTTTCAAGTTCTATAAAAATATTCTTTGTTCCTTTATTTGTAGTTGTTATATAATTACTATTTACTCTTAAATTCTGCCGAATCGAAACTTCAAATCATGATTTCAAATCTAGCAGATCCATTGGATATCACAGGCCATAGGTGTAAAAAAGGGCTTGGTTCACTCCAGGCTCTAAACACAGCTTTCAACTACGCGCGATAATAGGATATGTCTTTTTAAAAGGGGCGACATACTGGTGACCATTACAAAAGATTATTTCATCTCTATTCTTCGGTTCAAATGAGAAGTTAAGTGCAGAAAAAGGAGTCTTAATACAATATATATTTATATATATATGCTCTGGAACAGGTATAGGCCAGCAATAAATCTGATATATGAGATTTTATTGAAGTTTAATATATTTTTATATTTTGTTTGGCAAAAACTAATAAAAGCTATTTTTAATGTACCTCTTTCCATCAGGCTATTAGCTTGTCTGCCATTATAAGTTGTATAAAAAAATATTGAAAATGTGAAATGGATCGTGCTAATTTTGTTATGATTACAGTTGTATTTTTTTTGCTAATATAGGTTAAACGAGTGTAAACCTTACTTAAATTATTTCATTATTGATGTTTCAAATCGGTTTACTACCTAGATATTGGGATTTAATTCATATGCGATAAGGAATAGTATGATCGTGTATGGCATTTCGTTGGTAATGTTAACAGTGATGAGTGTTGCACTGGCTATAGCTGTCAATTGTCACTGTCATTTCACTGTATATACAGTGACAGATGTAGGTAACTTAAAAAATTGAAATAATATTTACAATTTCTTTTTATAAAATTATAAAACAATATCTGATTTATATGAATCTATCAAATTAAAAATGCAATATGACGTTTCTGGAAGATACTTCCATAATTCTTATATCCCAAGTAAGTAAAAATTATATGTGCAGGTTATAAATTACCGAATGGTAAGACAACTGTGCTAAAATCACTTCCAATTAATACTGATAATTAGCTTTCTGGCGATATGGTTACCGGAGCATTTAGTATTAGAGCGTTTAATGTAGGCAATGAATGCATACATAATTTCTTTGATAATGTATTCACTATAATTCCTTTCCATAAGGCAGGCTGTATGCTGGATTGTCCTTTGCTGTATAAGAATAAAAACAGGGTTGGATGATCAGTGGGTTGTTCTAAGATGATACATTGGATTTTATTTTTCATTACTGACAAAGTGGAGGTGCGGGGGAATTATTTGTAATGAAAGTTGGTACTTCTTTGTTAGTAACAAAGCTAGCTAATTATTAGCTGTCCGAGTTGGACATCCATGTGGAATCTCTTATGGAATTTGTTGTGGTTTATTACTGATAAATTTATCACTATGGGCCAATTGAGATAGCTTCATTTTTATCCTTTATTGCTACTCTTTTTAAAATTAATATATTTTATTTGAACTTAATACACCTAGATAGTAAAAAAGGGGCACTTGGCAATATTTTATCAATAGCTTCATATATTAAAAAAAAAACATATGTTTTGTTTCTGATATTAAAGTATTTAAATGTGGTAATAGAAATCATAAGATCTTATGATTCATTGTTAAATATTTGACAAATGTAAGTTGAACTGACACCCTGTGGTTTCCATAGATAAATTAATCCCTTAATTGCTTGTTATTTTCTTGTAAAATGTGTTGATATGATGTAAAAAAAGCTGATTTATCTTATATGAAATTATTACTATTATTTAAATTAAGAATTCCTTATTTAGGGCCATAACTATGGTTGTTTTGTAAAAGAAATAATAAAATTCCAGATATTTTTCTTCGTGGGTGGTTGGATATTCTTTGTGAAACAGCTGTTCCGTGATTATGAGGTTCACCACACTCTTGTTCAGCTGATATTCTCCGTGACATTTGCCCTCAGCTGTACCATGTTTGAACTGATCATATTCGAGATCATCGGCTATTTGGATACAAGGTATAATTTTGTTTATTATAAGGCAGTACCTACATATTTTTCGAGTTGCTTAAATTTTCTAAATTCTAGCTAAGATTATTATTGTTATAATAATTGTTATTTTAATTCCCTTGGATTGTATTGTTTGAATCAGTAAATAAAAATTATTGGCTAAGAGAAGATGAGAGAAGTCATGTAGGTTCAGTTCAGTTCAGTTCTTTTTATTTTTTTTAAGGCTTTGAAATCTAAATGTTTGTAAATATTTTTAAATTACTATGAATATGGCTATATGGCTATGAACCTTTATGGAAAATAAAAATGGTATAAAAATATTTTTTATTCACAGAACTTAATTTCAAGTATTTTTAAATAGTATTTTTTTTTATGATTCATCCAATTTAGAATAATACAATTTACATTTACTGAGAAGAATGGGGAAGATATTCGGCTGTTGTTTTTTTAAACCAAAAGTTGAATATTACAGGTTATATCTGTGTACAAGCTGCCTAATAGCACATGATTTATTTATTTCCAGCTCTAGATACTTCCACTGGAACCTGGGACTGTACTCACTTCTTTTCATGGTGATAGCTCTCATACCGTTTTATATAGCATACTTTTGCATCAGTAATGTAAGATTTGGTAAGTTATAAGTGTTGCAATTTTTACTTTTGTAATTTGTTTTATAATTATAAATTGTAATTTACACAGTGTAAGGAATAAACAGTGGTGGAACAAACAGTTTTGTAATGCTCTCTCAAATTATATGCTTATTTCTACATTTATATATTAATTCAATAAAACAATTGAGCTTGCTTTCACATTTATAATATACTAGTGATCTGATCCGACTTCACATGGATGTATAGAAATTTCAAAAATAATATATAGCCTATTTAAATTTAAATAATTTTTATTCAAATAGCACTTTTAAATCGTCTTTTTTATCTACTGCAGGGTTCGGAAGGTTATATAAATCTGTTGAAAATTGCCCACAAGAAACTCAACAGTTACTCTTTTAATTCTCTGTTAATATTATGTGTATTTACTTAAATGTACTATGTATAAAATTACATGGTTGTTAAATTTTCATATTTTAATACTTTATTCAATGATAAATGCAGCTTTCTATAAATGAAAATAATTTAACATTCAGTAGTCAAACTGTCAAAACTTTTCTCTTTATAATATTAGTATAGAAGAGGGATTCTTATATATTTAAAATATTATTTTTCCAGTATCACAGAACGCAATAAGGCCGTTAACAATGTTTGTTTGGTTTATATATTTATATTTCTTTTGGAAGATTGGTGATCCATTTCCTATATTAAGTCCTAAACAGGTGAGTGAATTATGAGTAAAAATTTAATTTAAAAATAGAATATTTTACAAAAAAAAAAAAATGTTATTAATTTTATAAATAATTTAATTAATATATTCTGGTTCTTCTGATGATCATTAATGGAGACCATGATTAAGTTTTTTTACTGTTAATTGACATGCTTTAGTCTATTTTCAACTTTATTGACGATTTTATTGTATGATTGTAAAATAATTAATGTTATGTAACTAATTGTATTGTATGCCCGATGTATGTGTAGGCTGTGTCAGTTTCCTTTAAGACGTTAATAACATCTTACGAATAATTATAATGTACAGCTCATAATAAATATTTATTTTATTCTATTGAGTCTTCATAAAACTATTATGGGATAATGTGTCTGATGGAGGGAGACTTTGTACAAAAGTCGATTGCTTGGGTACCTCTGTCCCATTCGTGTTTCAACCGTGAAGCAGTTGTGTTTTGCATGGCTGTGTTTCGGTTTGAAGGGTGGGATATGGCGTGAATTTACAGGGTACAGAGAAATAACACCTGAGTCCTCAGGAATGGCAACGCATGGGGGGTGTCATGGGCGAAACAGTATACTCTGTTATGTCCATGGTACTGCTCATGTCTATAGGCGACGGTTACCACTTTCCATCAGGTGGACCGTCAGCTTGTTTGCCATTCTAAGTTGTATAAAAAAAAATGCAGGAGAGAATAATTAATTTTCAATTAAAATTTTTCTCTAATTAGATTTACTATTGATTAAATTATCTGTTTGATTGATTATTGCAATATGGTCCCGGTATAGATTGGGCTACCTCTTATTTTCCGGTACGTGTCGTAAGAGGTGACTAAGGGAACTAAATTATCGAGGAATAGGCAGCAGGGCCCTTCGTAAAACATCATTAAAGCCTAATTGTGGTTGCTAATCTGCCTACCAACCATGGGTGGAAGTAAAGAAGAGTGAAAGGTGGGATAAGTAAGTGAATTTACAGGGTACAGAGGAATAACACCTGAAGCCTCAGAAATGGCAATGCATTATGTATTATGGGAGAAACAGTATACTCTGTTGTTGCCATGGTACTGCTCATGTCTATAGGCAACGGTTACCATTTTCCATCAGGTGGGCCGTCAGCTTGTTTACTAAGTTGCTTATGACAACTCCCCAATAATGGGGTAGGGGGCGTATGTTCAGCAGTGGACAGTTAACGGGTGATATGAAATGATGAAAGTATCTGATAAAAATAGAGTTGATTACAAAATTTCTTTCTTTAGATGTTGCTTTGTAAGGTTGCCTATTTCTAATGTTTTCTATATAACTTTAGTTTTGTTGTAAATTTACGTCCATTCTTTTTTATGTATGCAATTTTTTTACAGCTTAGAATAGCAAACAAGCTGATGGTCCACCTGATGGAAAGTGGCAACCGTTGCCTATAGACATGAGCAGTACCATGGACATAACAGAGTATACTGTTTCGCCCATGATATGTCTAATGTGTTGCCATTTCTGAGGAGTATGATATTATGCTCATGTACCCTGTAATTTAATTGCCATATCCCATATGTGTCTGAAATTGAAACTTCACTTGATCAAGTTTCGATCTGTGGCGAACACAATTTTGTCTTTTCCATCCTTCAAATCAATTTTTTTCCACAGGGAATATTTTCAATAGAGCAGGGCGTGTCTCGTATAGGCGTTATAGGAGTGACCGTGATGGCCTTACTCTCTGGTTTTGGTGCTGTCAACTATCCGTACACATCTATGGCTATATTTATAAGGTAACAAGCTTTTTGCCCACAATTCGTACGTAATTTTTCAGAAGCAAAAAAAACAAATGTAACTGTCCACTTTTAGATGGCGTGCCGAGATGAAATATACATCAGTTTTTATGTTAAACCTTCAAAAATACAATAATAAAAACCGCATTCAATTTGGTGCAGTGGTTTTCGCGTTATGTCAAAACAAGCACACATACAAACAGATACTTATGCGTTTGTACAGTATATGTAGATCGTATGACTGCCTATTTTTATTTATAAAATAACACATTAACATGAAAAGGTTTTGTTGGAAGAAGTCTCTTATTAGAGATAAGCTCGCCTTTGTACATTATGTTTATAATGAATTGTAATTACCAGTATGTTTTGTGTACAATAAAGAATAAAAAAAAAAACAGATAGATAGACAAAATTTCTAAAAGATATAGACTTCAGTCGCTCCTATACGAGTTTTACTGTTACATCGATTTTTTTTAAAGTATCTTTCATGCATAGATAACGCCAGATATAATTTTATTCTATTAAGATAGATTTAGGTTCATGTTCTAAGTATAACTATATATTATTATGAACCAGCTATCCGCCCCGGCTTCGCACGGATAGATAGATAGAAAGATATATTAGTATTTTATATTAAAGGCTTGTTTGAATAGAAACATTCGCCGTTTAATTCTATAATCTATAATAATCTGTCTTTATTCAAAACATTAAGTTATAGAATTGCTTGACTATGGTCCCCATATTGGTCGAGCCTGTAACTAAGGAACCTATTAAGCACATATAATTTATTATAATTTTATAAATTTTATATTCCTTTTACAGTGACTGGATAGATATAATTTTAATAGAAATATATATAATTTGCAATAGTTTGTGTGCGTGCGTGCGTGTGTGCGTGCGTGGGTGCGTGCGTGGTGGTGGGAGGACGTACCTACACGCTAGTGCAATGACGAGTTTACTCGTCACGGGTCAGCAAAGTGTTCATACACACTTTTATGAATCTCATACTGTAGTCTCTAGGGAATATCTCGGCAGAGAGCTCATTGTACACTTATATTTATTATTTATATTTCATACTTATATTTTATTTATGTTATAAACGTAAAGTTTATAAAATGTATTTCCATATTTATTATTTAAATACACTTAAACGGCTGCACCAATTTGGATGACGCTTTCATTAAAATATCAGTTAAATTAGTATTATAATTTCGTCGTGTAGGTCCCGGCATAGAATGGGTCACCATTTCCTGTCCCATGAGTGTTGTAACAGGCGACTAAGGGAGGTTAACAGTCGAGGGATGGGCAGCAGTGTTCCTTTTTCAAACATTGCTAAAAGCCTAACTGCGATTGCCAAACCGCCTGCCAAGCGTGGCAACTACTGGCAATAACCTCCCCAATGGCAATGGCAGTCTATGGGGGAGGCTTATATTCACCAGTGGATAGATAACGGTTAATATTTATTTATTTGAAAATTACTCACCACACTTACAGTCTCCCAAAATGTGTAGTGAGCCATAGGTTTATTTTACAAACTCACAAATTTTGTACACAACATTTTAAAAATATATTTATTTTGTCATTAAATATGTCGACATCTGGCTGCTGAGCAATCAGAGAATTGAGCAGAGAAATAGCCTGATAAGTGGGAGCAAACTGAGCAGTACAGGTGCGAACCGGCGGTGCCGATATGATGATTATTGTAATAAGAATTTGTTTGTTATAGACCAGTGACACAATCAGATGTGTTGTCGATTGAGAAGAAATTGCTTCAAACAATGGACATGATATTGGTGAAGAAGAAAAGGATAGCATTAGCAGAAGCCAACAGTGTGGGAGGCAGACAGCAATACAGCATGCTGGACCAATCGAACGTGAAGAATAGGGGTTTTTGGACGAATATTTTGTCCAGTGTTGGCAGTATCGCTAATCCGTTAAGTGGATCAGAGAGTTAGTGTTTAATTGTTTTTTATTTGAATTAAGATACTTTATATATATATATATATATATATATATATATATATATATATATATATATATATATATATATATATATATATATATATATTATTTTAAGCCAATTCGCTTGTCAAGCGTGGCAACTACTGGCAAAACTCCCCTTATGTGGGAGACCATGTTCAGCAGTAGACAGTTTTTTTTTTTATTTTCAGGGGGAACCGCGAAGTGATCGACCTGGTTGGGTATATTGCTAGCAATAGGATTCTCAGTCTCCATTACTAACAATCCCTTTCCTTTTCTCTTAACTTTCCCCCAGCAGTAGATAGTTAGAACAACACAACAATACAACAAAACTAGTGTAAAATGGAATAACTAGCATAATTTCTTTCATAAAACTAGTATTTTACGAAATATATTATACTGTATATTCTTCGAGGGGAACGATAAAGAGTTTTCATTCATTCGTTCATTCATATTGTTACATGTAATCCCCTTTCAGATATAAATCAACTCCGGCAAGAAATATCCGGCTTAGAAGAGCTGAGTCGCCAATTATTCTTGGAGGCTCACGACGCCCGGACCATGAGGGAGAAGATAGAGTGGTCCAAAACCTTCCAGGGGAAATACTTCAACTTCCTCGGCTACTTTTTCTCCCTGTATTGCATATGGAAGATATTTATTGTAAGTATTTTGTTTTTTTTTTAACCGATTTCAAAAAGTAGATTCTCATTTGGGATATATTTTTTATGTTTGTTACTTCACAACTCCGTCAGTTAATGGGGAGAAGAGATTGTTAGTGATGCAAATCCAGTCCCATTGCTAGCAATATACCCTGTCAGGTCGACCTCCACGTGGTCCCCCCTGGAAACCATCGTGCTGAATTCCAGGTGCGCTTACGCATGTGGGGTTACCATGCATTCAATAAAAAAACTCTGTCTGTTAACAACCAGTTTGGAAAATTCTTCTTTTATCTGACATATTTAAAGATTGGTTCCATAAAATTTTTATTAAATTCAAAATTTTGATATATTTTCTTCGAAATTATACTTAGCAATAAATTAAAAAAAAATAGAGTATGCTTATTATGTATATGTGTAATCATATTCATACCCACATCAGACTCCAAATAATCTTAAAAAACAGGTAAATAACCAACGTACATATGTATTTTCAATAAGTGTAGGTACAATTAAAAAAAACAACTACAGAGTAGGTCACCGCAGAGTAGTTGTAATATATTTGTACTAGATGTCACTAAGTGTCTAGGTTAACAAATAAATATGATTGGCTAGTTTGGAATCGTCTCGGGACTTATACTTTTACATATTTATTTTTCTTAATCATCATCATCTTCATACCCTTATTCCAATCATTTGGGGTCGGCGTAATATGATTTTATCCATATTACAAAAAGATTTGGGTTTTTAGTTTTATGATCGGCCACCTGCCTGACATCAACCCTCTTTGGGAATACATTTGTTGGTGGTTTCCGCCACCTACGGTATGGAGGAAAGGATTGAGGAACAAAGGAAGAGAACGTTGGAAATGCGTAAAGGAAATTGGTGAATGAGAGGAATAAGAGATTTATGTGGGAAAGGAAATGGGGGGGGGGGGGGGATACTGCAGTTGCGGAAAGGACTGGGACACTGCAGCGGCTCGGGAGGCCAGGGTTGCATACCCGTATGCCCTTATTCTAGAATCGGACAGATTTCTAGAGAAGAACACCCCTGATAAATACCTCTAAAAAATAAAATCCCAAAAAAATCCCATCCCACTTATTTACCTCCTATATTTAGGGGGGAAAAACCTCTAAGTTAGGAACTGTGGCATACTAATGACTCCATAGGGACTAATACCCACATTATTAGTAATATACCCTATCATGTCGATTTACACGCGGTCGTTCTAGATAAAATGGTTCGTGATAAAATTCTGACGAGACGAATTCGTCACAATGGACCTGAGTCATAGGGTTTGCCATTCTAATTTCAAACCATTAAAAAAAAGTCATTGTTGTCTCTTTTTCTTGATGATGTTGATATCAGGCGTTAACTGTCCACTGTTGAACATAAGCTTCTCCATTGGGTGGCTTTCCCAGTCGTTACCATGCTTGGTAGCAACCGCAGTTTAGGCTTTGGGGATATTTTAAGATGGATGCTGCTGCCCACCCTCAACCAGTAAAGTCTCTTAGTCCCCTTTTAGGATACCCATGGAAAAGAAAGGGATGACCTATTTTATGCCGGGAACACACGACATAGCTTCTTATAATTCTGCTTAAATGCAGTTAAGTTTTTTTTTTATATTTTTTTGTGTACATATTGTTAATCTTTCAAATATGTATAATTTTTTGATGGGAACGAATAAGAGTTTTCATTCATTCATTTATTTATTTATTTTAATTTGAAATATATAATATTTCAGTCAACAATAAACATAGTGTTTGACCGCGTGGGCAAGAAGGACCCCGTGACCCGAGGTCTAGAGCTGGTGGTGCACTGGCTTGGCTGGCGTATCGACGTGGGCTTCTGGTCGCAGCACGTCTCCTTCATACTGGTCGGCTGCATTGTACTAACCAGTATTAGGGGATTGCTGCTCACGCTTACCAAGGCAAGAATTTTTATATTATTAAATTTGTTTGGTTGCTGAACTAGTATTGGTGAGTCTTTGAATATCTAGTCTGAAAAGATCCCCATCTGTGATTCCAATTGCTACGTCTCAAGTGTTGCCATACTTGAGGAATAAGGTGGGTATGGTACCATAACAATACTTCCATAGCCTGTAATTTTACTGCCTTCAAACTGAATTATAGCATGCATGCATAGTTTACCATTTTTAGAATAAGAAAGGGAGAGAGAGAGAGAGAGAGAGAGAAAGATGCTTTTTAATGTATTCAGTTATACAGTTTTGTATATTATATCTTGTTGCCATGTTGTTTAGAAAAGTAATTGTTAGAAAATAATAAGTAATTTATCTATGTATAAGTTTAATCTGTAATGAACACGGTGTTTTTTATCTGTGTCTTCCATTATGGCTTCCGTACGTTTCTCTTTGTTAATTCTAGTGACAAATAAAATTTTGCTTAGAAATACAAAAGAAAAAGTTGTTACTTTTATTTAAACTCCAACCTCTTTCTAGAATTACATTTAATGTCATTTTTTTTTATACAACTTAGAATAGCAAACAAGCTGACGGCCCACCTGATGGAAAGTGGTAACCGTCGCCTATAGACATGAGCAGTCCGTACAAATTTAAATGAAATGCAAAATTAATACAAAATTAAAAAAATGAAAAGAAACATTTTACTTACAGTTCTTCAACAAGATATCATCATCGAAATCATCGAACATCATCGTGCTGATCCTCGCCCAGATCATGGGTATGTACTTCTGTTCGTCTGTGCTGCTGATGCGCATGAACATGCCCCCGGAGTACCGCATCATCATCACCCAGGTGCTCGGTGATCTGCAGTTTAACTTCTATCACCGGTGGTTCGACGTGATATTCCTTGTGAGTGCCTTGACCAGTATCTTCACATTGTACTTAGCGCACAAACAGCCGTCGGTCAGTTGATGTTTTGACTGCGATCTGTATTGATTTATTTATATATTATATAATAAAAATGTAAGATTGGTCTGTCTGTACATTATATATATATATCGACTTACGCGAACTTATCCTGACTTACGCGAACTCGTAATTACGCATTTTTCAAATTTATTAATAATAATCTATGCATCTACTGATCATACAATAGTCGAGTTAATATGCATATTGTATGGAAATCGACGCACAGTTAGGAGATCACAGAAGTGTGTGAGCAAATATACTCCGATTTACGAGAATTGGACTTACGCGATTATCAATTAGTCTTATATATCGCGTAAGTTCGAGTTATATTTACTGTATTTGCAAAAAATTGGTTGGGGAGTTTGGATTACTAGAAAAAGCGACTCTAATTATGTTAGTTTAGTTTTAAAATATTGAAAACTTGTATTAAAAATAATGTTGCATAAGTTAATTTTATTTTAACGTTTTGTAAGCGATAAGGCGTTCATTAGACTGTCACGAGTCATTATATTCATGTTGCAAGCAGTTGGCAAATCTGTTATAATTCAAGAATTTGATCCGCAAACAAGTAGATACATTTTGCTCCGCAAATTAGAAAGCACGACAGTCTTGCCAAAAAAGAAAATATTTTCAATAGAAATACAGGCAGTGTTATTCGGGATGATATAAGGATTCCAACGACACTCCGTACATTCAAATCTGTTCAGGCATTTAGAAGTTATGGTGAAATAGAAAATCACATACACAAATTTTTTGGGCAGTTGTGTACTCGTAAAGAACAGAAACCTGAATCGTGACCAATATGAAAGAAGGATTCTATCAATTACAAAAAAAAAAAAATATTGTCAATACCCAGACTTTATAGAAACGTAATTTTTTAGTCATTTTAAGTGCCACCTGAGTAATACTCAGTTGGCACTTATATATGTATGTATATACATAATCTACAATTGATACTGAATACTTTCAAAATATTTTTTGTATGTTTTTACAAATTGTATTGATTATTGCTTGGTTTGCTTGTTATATTTTATTTCAATTTTTGACCTTCTCGTCATAGATATTATGTAAAAACAAAAAAAAAAACAAGCAAATTAAAAAACTCTTTTTGTAATAATTTAAAAATGATTGTCTAATGAGCGCCTAAGGATTGTTAGCTTTTAAAAAGACTGATGATCATTATGTATTAATTAATGAGGAAACTGATTTAGTTGTAAATTTTATAAATATACTAAAGGGAATTATTACATTATCATATCTATAGAGTTGCACATAAATATCAACAAAATTAATATTGTTATTATAAATATTTAATGGATCAAAAAAGTCCGAAATAAAAAAAAAATATTATTAAAATTATACTTGTATTTATTACGAGATACTATATATATATATATATATATATATATATATATATATATATATATATATACATACATACATACATATATATATATATATATATATATATATATATATATATATATATATATATACATACATACATACCGTATATATATACATACATACATACATATATATATATATATATATATATATATATATATATATATATATATATATATATATATATATATATATATATATTTGAACTTATTTTAATGCCTATTTCTGCATTTAGGAATACTAAAACAGTAATAGATTAAAAAAAATAGATATATTTCGACAATTCTTTCAAGTCCTCAAGAACATTGACAATTTTACCAGAGGGAGACTTCGTACAAAAGTCGTTTGCTTGGGCACCTCTGTTTCATTCGTGTTTCAACCGTGAAACAGCTGTAAACACAGCCTTCAAACCTAAACACAGCCATGCAAACGCATAGCTGTGTTTAGGTTTGAAGGGTGGGATATGACAGTGACTTTACAGGGTACAGAGAAATAACTGAGTCCTCAGGAATGGCAACGCATGTCATAGGCATCATTGGCGAAACAGTATACTCTGTTATGTCTATGGTACTGCTCATGTCTATAGGCGATGGTTACCACTTTCCATCAGGTGGGCCGTCAGCTTGTATGCCATTCAAAGTTGCATAAAAAGAAGTAGAAAAAATATTTTGAGTTTCATAGTGTATGACTACTTAATAAATTGGTGGATGCAATTATATATGTATGATAATGTAATAACACATACTAGTCACCCAAAAGGCATCTTCGTCTCTTTGACAAGTTGATTGTTTGTGATGAACCCTAAAATATGGTATTTACTCTTAGTTGATTCAATTGTTACTTTGTTAAAGTTCATGTGACTGGCTTTTTGTCTAGTGCTATAGTGATCAGTTCTAGTTAAGAGATCGTAATATCAAAATATATTTCTAAAAATAAACGGTTTTCAATATTTATTAATGTTTGTTTAAAAAATGCTCTAGAACGAATTAAAATGTTAACTACGCAATAAGATTTTTATTGACATATTTTGGAAAATTTTGTTTTTACTGGCAAAACAATGTTTCGAGCACTTCAGGTGGGCTGTATGCTTGTTTGTCTAAAAAAAGATGGCTACCAATAGTTAGTATAGTTTATAACACACTTGTCATAAGTTATTACTGGACTATTAATGGACCAAAATGTACGAAATATAAATTATTAATATTATGATCCTTCACTTAGTAAAATCTACTGATAAGCTACGTTAAAGAGGTACATGAACTTACATTATTTTTTTTTATTTATATACCCCCTGTACATAAATATACTGTATTTATTAACAGTTTTCAGCATTAGCTAAGTATTGGAAATTTAAGTGTTAAAATTATATTGATGTTACTTAACAGTAGATGATTCTTAACAGGAAACACTAGGTGTCATGTCGTATAGGGAGGTCAAAGATATGGCCTGGGATAGAGGTGGCTGGAAGAAGATGCATTAGTTGCACCAACAAGAGGAAACTCTTAAACAGTAGAATCACGCCCATCTATTAGGAGGGTTTTAAAGTTTAAACTTTTCTACCATGATGTTTAAAAGAGTATGAAATTGTCATTTCGAATTTCAATTTTTATTATAAAGTTGTCATGTTCAGCGTACATTCCATGCAATCAACAGTTGGGTAAAACTTTAAAATTATGTATATATTTTTTTATAACGGCAAATAAATTGTAAATAAATATTAATTCGTTTTATTTTTACGTTTTTTATCATAATGAATTCATCAGGAATTAACCATGATAGTTTCCAGGGGAAACCGCGAGGAGGTCGACCTGGTTGGGTATATTGCTAGCAATTGGATTCTCAGTCTCCATTACTAACAATCCCTTTCCCGCACAGATGTATTAATTACGATGGGCTAACTGACCTGTCTTTTTATTCTCACCTATTATTACTAACTGGTAACCCTGCCAGTGTTTACCGATAGCGCAGGCGAGGTTGCCATTCCATCATCATCTACTATAAAAATCTTCCAGGGGATCGTGTGAAAGGTATATTGTTAGAATAAAGGTCATTAGTCCCTGTTATTAAGAGACTCCGGCCTCTATACATTAGTTTTAATCCAAAAACAACAAAGGGAATATTAATGAATAAAAGGTGCTTAATAAATTAAATAGATTTAATTAACAATTTATATTATCTTACATAAACTATATCGTAATAATTAAAATAGAAAAGTTTACTTGGAAAGGCCACCTTAATTTTTAATTATGTATAATTATTTATTTAATTATAGGAAAAATATTTGATAGTCGTCGTTTATATATATTTATATGTTTAATAAATTTGTTTTTTTTTTTATTAAACTAATAATTATTTAAGTACGAAACTTAAATGCTATTAGTTATTAGATTTTAAAAGTAGTTCTGTTCATGAAGTTTCAAACAATGATATAAAATCAGTGTTCAAAATATTCTGAACTTAGTTCACATTTATTTTTATATTTATTATTTAAAAATATTTTGACACGTTTACATAGTTTTATAATTATATTGGTTCTATTTTTTTACACATAACATTATTTACACATAGATATGAATATGAATCAAAATATAGTTCAGTATGTTTTGTAAATAAAATAATAAAGATATACCACTAAAACTATATCGATACATCTCTTTTATTTCTTTTGTTTATATTGTCAACGCTTTTATAGCCTTTTTTTTTTACAAAATATTACACAAAAAAGGTACAATGTAAGGATATCCATATGTCTATGTGTAAATATATCCTTTATGCGTAAAAAATAAAACACTTTATAAAACTATGTAAACACTACATCTGTGACCCAACCGATTAAGTTTCTAATATAGATTTTTACAAAAAAAAAAAGATAATCAAAGTCGTGTAATAAATTTTCCATAGTTGGCCTATATTACACTCGCGTGCAAAAATTGTACTAAAATAAAAAAAAAATTAACTTCAGTTTAAAACCTGTCTGAATTAATATGTTTTTAATAATAAAACATTATTGGCTATTTCTGTTTTATTTTTGTCACATACGAGTGTGTAAACTAATTTTGGTATTATACTTTTGAGCAATACATATATTTTTTATTTGAAATTTGAAACAATTGTACTATGTTTTAAATAATATATGGCAAAATACAATAGAATACAGAAATGTAATTACGTTAAATATTGCACGGTGTTTTCAACTCTTTACATTTCTAGTTATTTGAATTGTACCTACTGCTTGTATTTTTATTCATACAGAGTGGTAATATCAAAAAATTCTATTAACATTTCGAATAGTGAAATTTTTATGTGTCCTTGGTTAAGGTCATTTTCTGATTAGATAAATAGAAGTTATCAAATATTTGCCTAAAAATTTTTCATATATTTGAAATAATATTTCATTTGAGATCTTATTTACATACAAATAGATTTCAAAATACAATTTGGCTCTTTTTTCTTAGGTATGCAATGTACATTTATTCTCCCATCACGTCCTCGTATTGTTTTCTAAAGCAGTCACCAACAGGGAAGAAGTCCCAGCACCTCTGTGTGTACATATTCCATACGAACGTCTCTTGACCTGTAATAGAAAAAAAAATCGAATAGGAAAATATCTGCCAGGTAATAATTGAATAATGAAATTGGCTGAACCGATATGGTTAATTTTATTTAAATATTTGCAACAATTTATTCAGTGTTTACAAGGAAAAACATTCCCTAAAAATAGGGTTAATGTTTTGATTTCTTGACTGGAAAGTTGTTACTATATAATTGTAATCCTAGATGGGTTTATTAGATATTTTAGTTGACTCTTGTTTTACGTATTATACGTTAAACAATTTAGCTTATATTAGCTCTACTCTATAAATTTTTCCACGCAAGTTAGGTTAAAAATTACTCAATGTTCAAATTTACAGTATGATCAATGTAGGTGTCAAACATTTAATCCGTACATCTGTTATGACATGATTGAGTAACGAAGACCCAAAATATAAGATTCTGCATCGTACCTGTATACTCCGTGTCCGGTTTATTGATGAGATGCATCAAAAAGAACATGTAGTTCGCTAAATTGTGCTCTCTCTGCACGTGCGTATCGAACCCGTGGGGTACCTGCAAATGGAATGTTTAAATTAAATCGAAATGTTTTCTAAGAGCCTAGTGTGAGATGTATAATGTTACTGTAAAAGCCAGTACATTGGTAAATCTTAAGTTTTACCAGCAAATCTTAGGATTTACCAATGAGAGTTGGTAAATGTGAGGATTTTATAAAAATAGGATCATTTTTGTGCCTTTCATCAAACTTAACCTAATCTACCTTTCTGCCCATGAGCACGAACATCATACACTGAACACGTCTAAAATTATGTCTATCACTGTAAAGAAAAGAAAAGGTCAAGATTGGATTTGACAATCTTTGGGGACAACGATCCTCGCGTTATTTCTTTGGCCGTTTAATGGGTCTGATGTCTTCTGTATAAAAATAATTTAAAACTATAATTTGCATTGAAACTTGAAAATGCTTCGGTAGAGCGCAGCTACCACTACTACAATTGGTTGTAAATATACCTATATGATTTCCAACACTATACAAATAATTTTATTCAAGAATTGTATTGCTTAAAATGAAATATTAAAAAAAAAAAAAACTATACTTATCTATCAGTTGTCTAGTGTCCACAGTAAAAGGTCTACTTTGTGACTAGATGGCGTTGTGTAATATGTCTAGTAATATTAATATAATTACCTTATCAAAGTAGTCTTTATTGATGCCACATATAAAGCAGTTGGACTCCATGTCCTCCTTCACAGACTCCAGTTGATCACGGAGTTCACCGAACGCGTCGATGATCAAACCTGTGGCAATCATCACCATTTATTGAAGATATTCCGATTTTTACAGGTACCTATATTTAAATAATTTTAAAAATTTTGCTGAATCATATTTAACCGAAAGAGTTTTTCCTGGTGGTGTCTTTTTAAGCGATTTCAAATAGGAAAAGGTTCAATTTAGGTTTTCATTTTGTGTATAAAATCTTCATTCTGAAATAAGTTTAATTTTTTTTAATCAATAGGCCTTACATTGATACTTGTCTTGAAAAAAAATTTTCTTTGCTATATTATTTTAGAAAAAGGTTTATTTGTACACTTCAAGGACGAACTTGGACTATCTGATTGTTACACTGCACGTGCAATTTACCACTGTTTTTGACAATTTCTATCTCTCATAAATAAATATATTACTTCGAACAAGCATCGAATATTTACTGCAACATTTGCAACTAAAGAAACGATTATATAAATCACTGCACCAAATATTAATCCTGATGGTTTCCAGAAGGAACCGCGTGGAGGTTGATCTGACAGGGTATATTGCTAGCAACGGGGTTAGTTGCCCCCATTACTAGCAATTTTCTAGTGAAGGATCATCATACACTAGTTACAGTAATTTTGTCTTTTATTACTATTGGTTCATACACTCCATCACAATCAGTACTCACCCTGCAGGATAGCAAGCAGGATGACGATGATGAAGAAGAAGAAGGAGATGTCGAAAATGATGCGGTACACCTCGGAGTCATCACCGTCCGGTGGTTCCAGCTCATCACCGATACCGCCACCCGCTCTTACCCCTTTGTACAGGTTGAATACGAAGCACTACGAAATAACAGTTATTTTTTTATTATTACATAAACACACCAAAAATGAACAAAAAAAAAATTTAAATTGTATTGATTATATAGATAAGAGTGTCCCTATACAAATACTTCCAAAAAAGCGGGTCAACTTTTTCATACAATTTTGCGTGATACATGGTTATGAATAATTTCTTCATAACTTCTATATTTATTTTGTCTTATAAATTCTGCAACTTTTTAATGCACAGGTTATCTTTTATTCCATTCAGTGAACATATCCCAATTATGTGAACGAAGTCACTGGTAAAAGCGAGTAAAGGAAAATTTTATTAACCACTTAAGTATTTCGAACGAGATTTTCTCGCGGATCAAATGTGTTCCGATTTGCGCTATCCCGAGTACCTCTCGCCACTTATAAATATTATGTTTATATTTTCATCTGGAGCGATACCTTCTCGCCCGTTTGTATTTCATAGAGCTTAGTGTATATTTATTGTATGCTCGTTCGAATTTAGTGCGTGCGCCAGTGCACCAGTTGACGTCACAGACAAAACCCTCGCATTAAGTGGTTAACAGGCAAAATGTCCCTTATCTACGTAGGGCCATTACGCTTGTTCTAGTGTTCATATGCCTTGCTTACCGTGAGCATATCGTGGCAGTTCCTGTTGACCTCGTCATCTTCTTCTTGCACGTAGAACTTGCGGAAGAAGTTGAACGCGATCACCGTGTAGATATATACGATGATAGTCAGCAGCATCACTGTTAAAACCAGCTGGAAATGAAACGCAAGGTCATATAGTGTTCTGAAGGTAGGAATCTAAAATTTTGGTTGAAATTTCGGGGGTTTTCTACTACGAACTTCGTCGATTGGTATAGACCAGGGGTGGCCAACTTGACTAGACCCAAGATCTACTGTTTACTGACGAAACCCTGTGCGATCTATCAATTAGATTCTTCTTGAAATCTCAAATGAAACTACATAGTTCAGTACACAGTTGTGTAATATTGTAGTATTTTTTTTTTTTTCTATTAAGAGGGAAAACATAAAACTGAAAATTATTCTTAGTAACTACTTATTTATATTAGTGTAAGCATTGCGTCCGAGCATCTTCCGCTAGATTCGCAAATTATTACATTTTTTGCCTTGCCACGACTGGATTCGATACTAATAGTCGCGATCGTCCGGTTGGCCACCCCCCCCTGATATATAGTTTCTATTCGAATTAATTACCTGTACGTTAGCATTCTTTTGAGCTAGTATTCTAATAAAGAATTTAAAAAAATCTTTTTGCATTTGTGAGCTCATATCTTTAGGATGGTTATCGGGTATTCAATACCATAATATGACAGGCATAGCCGGGGTATACACCTAGTGTGCAATACAAACAGATTTCTGTTATAAATTAAGCATACCTGCTTCCCGTTGTGTGTGACAGACTGCAGGATGGTACGTAGCGTCTTGAAGCCAACGGCGACGTCGAGCAAGTGCGCGGCGAAGAAGAAGTTATTGAAGTTGCCCATCACCGAGAATGAAAAGTACCACAGCGAGTACAGGAACGAGTTGTCCGTGATCGTCACACCTGCCTTCCACACCTGGTACCGCCAGTCGATGTTGATGATGCTGGAGAAGATGGATTTAGGATTAGGCTCTCGAGACTATGTATTCTTCATGGTGCTTTGAATAGCAAACAAAATGGAGTCCACCTGATGGGAAGTGGTAACAGTCGCCTATTATTATTAGTAATACGACCTAACAGCCCCATTGCTAGCAATATACCCCAACAGGTCGATTTCTACGCGGTTCCCCTGAAAACCTTCGCGGTTAATTATTGATGAATTTGTCATAATGGGCTAACTGACTTGCTTCCATCCCGTATATCGACAGCGCAGGCGAGTTACCATTTCATATTAATCCATTAAAAAAATACAAGCTGTACGAAAAAGTACTTACTAGTGAAAAAGTCCTTTATTCCCTTCTTCCTCTTGCGCGGAGAATGAAGTCTTCTCCATGCCCAACATGTTGGATATACTGTCAAAGTCATACGTCTCTGAGTATTTGGCACGGACCTTTTTCTTCACGAACTTGTCCCAATAGTTTACGGGGAAAGATCTGAAATGAAAATTTTACAATTAATATAATTACAGCAAATATGGGTGAGTGATGACGGTGACATTGTAACTGTTCAACACACTGTCGTATCTCCTGATAGGGGTTCGATTCCCGCACGATATGAATATATGTATTCAGGTTTACGAAAATGACAAATAATCGAACATTTAAACTCTAAAAATGTTCTCTTCTCACTTTTACATATGACTCTCAAATTCCGCCAAGTGTGAAAATATCTAGTATCGACATCTTGTTTATTTAAATGTGGAAATTCAAATCACGTCTGAAGAATTATTACCTCTCACAATGCTGATGTACGTACTTATTATGTTTGTGTATTATATATAATATATATCTATCTATTTATATGTATTTACTTATATATATTTTTATTTATTTATTTACACCTATTGGTCTTTTCAATTATAAAGACATTTTATTTTATTTATTTTTACTATAACATTTAAGTCGATTGGTACACATGTATGACTAACTACTAATGAACTGTCAGTTTTCTCATATTGGGTTTTCTGGAAGAAATCTCTATTGGAGATAAGCTCGCCTTTGTGCACTATTATGTTTGTTTTTACATTTTAATAACCTTTTGTGTACAATAAAGAATAAAGAAAGAAAGAAAGAAATTTGTAAATATATTTGGATGTTTGAGTTTACAGTGCACATTGCTAATTAATCCACCAAATATAACTTTACTAACTTAGCAGATATGACGAGTTTGTCCCAGTGACTCTTTAGATCGTCGTCTTCTGGTTGTTCAGCGATGTACAGACCATCAAATTCCAGTTTGCGAGCAATTTCCTTTTCGCGTTTGAAGATCGCTAGTGGCACCTGTAATTGTGTTGGTTTTTATTGTGAGGAAACTTGTGATAAAATAACTATTAAATCCTTAACCTAGAGATCTAGATCTAGAGATCACGACACAGTGTTCTTCAAAGATGAAATGAAACATTTTCTTTAAAGTATTTTTTTTTTTAATTAATTAATATTTGTTGTTTCATCATTATTATATCAGCCGTTAACTGTCCACTGTTTTTGGCTTTGGTACGTCACTGGCTTTGGTAATATTTAAAGAGGGACTCTGCTGCCCGTGCTTCGACTATTAAGTTCCCGTAAACGCCTTTTATAACGTTTACGGAAAGGAAGGTGTGGCCTATTCTATTCCCGGATCATACGGCAAGTTATTTAATACTTCTTACTGCTTACTCTGTTACTAAAGGGCTGAAGGAATTTGGATTAAAAATGGTTAATGAATATACCGGTCGAATAATCTATGTACCTTACTTTACACAGGATTCTTTTACCGTTAATCAAGTACCCTCTGAGGATGAATTAGCAAAGTTTACATCCAATGTGTAAAAACGACTAACCTTCAGATGGTAGTATCCAATGAGTATAGCGAGGGAAACGATTGAGTGGAGTACAGCGGCTGCTTTGATCACGTGTTCCATGTAGAAGAAGTCTTCGTCTATATGTACCACTTCTAGACCATCGTCATCCTCTCCTGATTCACCGCTACCACCTGGGAAACATTTCGTTTCTTTATAACTACATCTGAAATTGGGCAATTGGTCTTAATCACCAATATGTTTTGTGTAGTCTTTCCTATATTTGTGTCATGCAGCAGTGAATGCGTTATGTATATTTTTGGGGTCATACCTCTTGTGTGAATGTTTACACTAACAACTTATCTACCTGTTTACTTGGACTACCGATTAAATCGAACAACAATGCGCGCATTGTTGCTTCATAGTTAAACGAACATCATTATTTTGCTACAATTTTCTTACATCCATCAATAAGCGCAGAAAACATATTAACGGTAAAGATAGTAAAAACGTTCTTATCGAAATGATTAGAAAACAGATCCATTTTACTAAATGTCCTATGGATTTTAGGATATATACTTTTCTCAACATCGCTCAACTAATGCAGATTGACTCATTATTGTTCCCTCCAAAAGAATACAGTAATCAATTTATCATAAATAAAAATTACATCCAATGATTATATCTTTCAGGTGTCTTTCAATAATCACAGGTCCATTTCCCTTCTAGAGGGTTGTAGCCCATTTTCCTGTATAAGCTACAGACAATTATTTTTGTTAAATGTTTACCATCACCACTGCCAGAGCCTTGTCCTGATCCTGAACCAGCAATGATGTCGGCCAGACCGGATCCTTCACCGCCTTCTTCGGCGTCCAGGGTCGATACCTGCAAAAAATTGCTTCAGTAGAGTATGGTCAAATATATATAACGTTGACGTAAAATTGCATTCATTCAATAATGGATATTTTTAGGATTTCGTATTTTAAGATATAAACGCGTAGTAATTATAGAAATACCGTTTTTCATCAAGATCCTAGTTAAAACATAAAGATTTTTGTTTAATTTTCTTTTAATTTTTTTAAATTCAAGCAGAAATTTTCATTTTAACTGGTATTAAGACAAAATTTACGCAATTGGTAACTATGTTTGACTTGAGCACATTCTTTATAACAAATTGTGTTAGAAATATACAATATAAAACAGTAGGTAAAATTATATCATCATTCATATTTCAGCCATTAATTGTTCTCTACTGAATAAGACCCTTGCTCTTAGGCGGCCTAAAGAACAGTCGTAAACCATCTAAAAAAACTTTCTAGGATATTTTAGCTGATGTTAATAAATAATAAAAAAAAAAACACATGAACTCAGCAATAAAGTATGATTAGGTATACATACTGACTTACCTTATAGAACAGCAGCACGAAGTTGATGCAGAAGGCCAGAACAAGAGCGACGTACTTCAGGTTGTAGAAGTTGCGTGCGAGGAAGGAAACAGCGCGGCGAGTGTACTGCGAGAAATCGACCTGGGATAAGGCCGATGGGGCTGGTCCTTGCACCGCCTATAAACAAAAATAGTCAGGTACTCTTAAAGGATGGGATATGGTAGTAACATTACAGGGTAAGGAATAATAACACCTTAGTTCTTAGGAATGGCAATGTATGAAGAGTATAATGAGTGAAACGGTAACGGTAAGTAAGTAAGTAACGGTTGTAGTACAAGTTTAGATTATATAGATAGTGTCTTCATAGAAATGCTTCGAGAAAAACGGATCAACTACTTCATACAATTTTGCGTGATCAATAGTTATGAATGATTTCTTTATAACTTCTGTATTTATTTTGTCTTATAAATTCTGCAAATTATTAATGCATAAAAATTAATTTTATTTATTAAGTAATTAAATATAGATATATTAAGATACATTGTGTGCGTAAGTATATAAAACATTAATAAAAAATAAAACAAGTCAGCTAATTGTATCTAATTTTATTATATTATACATTTTATGCGTAAATATATAGAATACTAAAAAAAAAACTAGTTAGCTAATTTGAGTATTAACTGACAAAAGTTAACCCGTTTTTGAGGTTCGATGCTCTATCTATATGATCTAAGACTTTAAGATATTTATTGTGCTGCCCATATTTGTAGGCGAGTTATTACTTTCAATCAGGTAGACTATCAGATCGTAACTATGTAAAAGATTATCGTGTTATCATTATCATATCAGCCAGTAACTGTCTGCTGCTGAATATAGGTTTTTCCCAAAAGGATCTCCACCACTCGCCTACCAAGCTTGGCGACTATTTGCAAAATCCCCCAACAGGTGGAGACCTATGTTCAACAGTGGATAGTAAACGGCTGATATGCTGATGATGATGATATTTCAAGAGCCATTAAGTCTCCTTAGCCTCTGTCATTAAGTTCCCTTAGTCCCCTCTTATGACAACCACGAGAAAGGAAAGGTTGGCCCATTCTACGTCGGGACCTCACGGCATGTAAATAAAATATTCCGCACCGAGATTTTTGAGAGATACCATCTAATGTTATGTCAATATCCAAAGTTTTTATAGTTATGGTAACCTGTTTATCATTAGTTGAGTCATATGCCTGATTATTAGTTTTATAATGAAAAAAAATATATATATATATATAACACAAATGCTTATATGAAAAACAACAATGACTTACTTTCTTTCGACAATATCCTCGCTGCGTTAACATGAATTATGAATGAAGCTTACTAAATTGTGATTAAATTTCTATGCTCGTTTGATAAATATTTTTAAGCTTAAACTAGTAATATATATATATATATATATATATATATATATGAAACCTTGTCAAATTGTTTGAATAATTTTTTTTATAGTTATAAACGTATATACTATTCACAATTTAAATAAAATTTGCATATAAAATTATAAAACTTTAGGTGGCATAATAATGAAAATTGGCATAAAAATAATATTTAAGCTGAATACATTCATGTATATATTAATGTGAGATAAAAATAAAGTGATAAAAATTTGATTGACAAATCTATTTTTACCTAAAACAATGGCCTTACGTGAAAATAGTACTCAGTAAAAATAAAGGATAGGCAGAGAGAACTGAAGGACAAAAGGCCTGTATTCTTACATACATTTCTTGCATTCACATCGAAGAAAAAATCCGGCTGAATTCAAGTCCGAAATGGCAAACAAACAGTTCATTAAATTCTTGGTGTCCACTAACTTAAATACGAGAAAAAGGGATAGTTAACAATGGAGCCTAACATCTTCATTGCTAGCAATATATCCTATGAAATCGACCTCTACACAGTTTTCTCTGGAAACCGTTGTGATTGGTTATTTGATTAGAATTATTTTGTTTAATTTCGCTACCATTAGTAGGTATGTGTGTGACTGCCAACACACACATACTATTGGTAGCGGAATTAAACAAAATAATTCTTATGAAATAACCAGTGATATGGACTTCCGCAAGATAACATCTGTAAAATATTTATCGTTGAAGTTAATTCTTGTGGAATTTGTCACGATGAACTAACTGACATGCTTTGATTTTCATGTATCAACTCACACTGGTGCCCCGCCAGCATATACCAATAGCACAGGTGAGGTTACCATTTCATTTTCACCAATTAAACAAAAGTTACCTATACATATGTACCTATACCTATATATATAAGTATATGAGAATACCTTTTTGCTCTCCGCTTCTATGGCCGACATGGCAGCCTGTTGCGCTGCTTGTGCTTCCATCCTTTCTTGCGCCTGTTTCTTAGCTTGTTCACCACTATATTAGTAGGAAAAAAAATTATTATTTTAAACATTATTTTACGGAATAAAGAGGTTTCTTTAGGGTAGGCAATGCGCCCGTAATGCCTTTAGTATTGCATGTATTCATAGGTTACGGTAACCGCTTACCATCAGGTGGGCTGTATACTTGTTTGCCATGAAATACGTAGCAGTATGATTTTTTTTATGTAATTTAGATACCAAACTATGTATATTTAATATATATTATAAGATATATATAATATATTCATAAGATTCTAATATAATATAATTCTAATGCCGTTACAATTTAGAATTGATATAAAGAAAGTGTAGTCCATTTGGCAGAATGCAGAGTCATGACGATGTGCACTTAATGCATTGATTTTTAGCGGAAGCCCTTCAAGTATAATATCAGGTATACCCGAGTACTGGTACAGATTTAGTTGAGAATTTAGGTGATCTAATCAGAGATTTAGGTGAGGATGATGTTAGGTCAGACGAGCTAAATGATCTCACTTTATCCTCGTCTATTTTCTTTCATTTGTACTTCGTCAGTGTATGCCGATAACATAGGTGGGGTTACAATTCCATCACAATTTATAACAAAAAAAAAAAGCGATATCTAAAACTCTAAAAAAACGCCATTTTCAGCTACCGATTGAAAATAACTAAAAATAATGTTTTAACGACTCTAAAATGGTCTGGGAATATTTAATATACAAACTCCAGTAAGATATTTGCAACTTTAAATTACGTTACTATTCTTAGTCATTTTTAGGTCGTGACCTAAAAGTGACGTCTTATTGACGTCTAAGAGTATTTAAGATACAAACCCCAGTAAGTCGATGAGCGAAGGCGGTCGTTGCTCCTCAGTGTGCTCGACTCCTTCATCGAGCGACACATCCGCTTCTTCACCCGATGACGGTGTAGACGTACTGGGAGACTCGTGCGGTTTCACTTGGATCCTGATCAGAATTGAGTTTCCAGTTAAGTACATCAAAGAGAGATTGATTAGTTTTAATATTTTTTTAATTCTTATTAGGTAAGGACTCAACATCATCTAAACAAGAAAACCGATTACAAGTCGCCATTTCTCTAAAGTAAGCACATAACCTATTATTTAGAGGGCAAAAGGGATTGTTAGTAATAGGGATTGGCAACTTTATTACTAGCAATATTGCTCAATATTAAGCAATATTGCTCAGTTATATTGCTCTATAAGTTCGACCTCCTCGCGGTTCCCCCTGCAAACCACCGTGATTGATTTATTGGTAAATTTGTCGCGATGGGCTACCTAACCTATTTTTCTTCACCTATTATCGCTTACTGGTGCCCCACCAGTGTATACCGGTGAGTTTACCGTTTCATTATCATCCGTTAAAAGAAAACCTATTATTTAATTTGTTAGTTAATTTGTTCAGTTCGCTACGAACTTAGATTGTGTTAAACTGAGTTTGTCACAAACACAATTCAATACAGATAGGTTCGTCATTGATTTTTTAACAATGATAAATTATTAGACAGCTATCGATTTACTTAACAGACATAAAACGACAAGGAAAGATTCTTTACTGATTTTTTAAAAGATTGTAAAATAATTAATAGGTAGCGAACGAATTATTTAACAGACACATAACGGAAAAGGTAAAATTTTAACTTCCTTATGTTATGGAAATTGGAAGCACGATTTACTTTCAACTAGATTAATTACATTGATTACTAGTTTCAATATATAAAAAGAAGCAATATTTCCAAATGACACTTACTGGCCGTTGTCTTCTTTAGTGATATCGAGACCAAACGCTTGAACTTGCATTTGTCCTGTATCATCGGCCGGTGGTAATGCTGGCAGATGTCTTGTTGGACCTATATTCATAAAAAAACAACTCAAAATTTGTGCAGTAATAAAACTTATTCTGATTAATTGAGGTACATAAAATCTAAACCACTGGTCTTAAAAACTTTTAATTTTGAAAATAGGTGCCTTTTATAATGGCGACATTCATAAAAATTTTGATATAGTCATTTAAATATATCCTCTATACAGGTGTTACTTGGAAAATGTTTCTTATGAGTTCCATCTATATAAATAAATATATCTATAATAATCCGATTAATAGCAGATAGAGAATATGTCTATCCTTAGGTAGGTACTGTACAATGGCGGATCCAGGATCCCCCCCCCCCCCTCCCCCGCTGAGCTGGTTCCAGGACCACTAATTGAACATAATGATTTTATTTATATATATTGTTATCAAAATTAAATTATAAGTTCTTGACTTGACCACGACTATGTAACCCCCTCCTGGCGCTAAAGCTGGATCTGCCCTTGGTACTGTACTACAATTTCGATTATTCATTTTTTAGTAAAGAATAGATTCTGACCATAGATCAGTAGGGTAATCATAGAATACACAATTTAATCATATTTTATCGGAAATTCATATTAAGAATATGATATTCCGATAAATATCCAAACTCATGATCATTTGAATCTTTTGAAATCGTTGATGTTGACCAGTGAGCAGAAAGTTATTTGGCCCATTAATAGTTATTGTTATAGAAACTATATATTCACTGCAGGTCCTATATTGAGTAGGCAGATTATTTTGAGATGAAAATTACGATTCTATTTAGGTAATATTATAGGCACTGCATTAGATTAGCTGCAAGAGATCTCTTTATAAGCCCACTCTAACCTAATAATTACTGTATATCTTTTTTACAAGGGCAATACATATAATATTTGTATATGAGGAAGGCAATTTTATCAAATAATTTGTTATTACACATAGAACATTAAGACATGACATCGACAGGACATATTATAATTATGTACATACAAAATTATTTTGACATCGTTATGCATACATAACAACACAGATTTTTATGTATTTTAGTGTGTAGTCGATTGGAAATTAAAGCTGTTTGCACATATGACTGAGTTACTTGATCGAAATTGTCAAGTAAGTGTGAATGTGTAAATAGCTTAAGAGGCCGCCCTTGTTAAAAATAGTAACGTCGTTACGTCATATTAAATCTTGTAGTTTTTTTTATGAACTAAACAATCATACTTGATTTAGAACTTCTAAACACTGTGTAATAAGAACCAAAATAGTGAATATCTGGAGCATAATCCAGTCTGAAATTAATTTAGAAAAACCCGTTTCATAAGTTGGCCTGCTCAATAATTGAATTATTAGAATCATTTAAGCAATGCGTAAGTTTTAATTAATACTATATTTATGTACCAATAAGAGAATATTTTTAAAAACTATAATATGCCATAAATAATAAACTTTAAATGAAAATACTTATGCATGTAATGGATATTGAGCCGATACGACGTAGAAGATGTAGGCTAAATTCCTCTGATTACAATGTTTTTTTAATCATAAAAGAATATTAAAATATAATTTACAAATTTTAAAAATGTTACGATTAGGTATACTATGATTTTCTCTAAAATTAAATTTAAATTAAAATTATATTATGCTAGTAATTCCAAAATTCCTCTTAAATTTATAAATATTATATCAAATTCCGATAATGATATCAGATTCAAATCATACCGTCCAAATTAAGTAAAATTAATAAAAATAAAAATGTTTAATTTTCTGTTTTTTTGTACTGGAGAGAATACTAGTCAACATTAACTTAGATTTCTACACCAAATTAATAAATAAACGAAGAACCACAGAATTTAATAAGATATCACGATATTAAAATTTTGAGCAAGGCCAGCCTCTTAATGTTACCTGCAGTATTAACATCCAAAAGCAGATTTATGTTACGACAGCGTTACGAATGTTACACGATGTGTTACACTTCACTTACAGTAATTTGGAAAATTAACATTAAATGTTACATTGTTAAACCTGCGTTTGGCGGTTTAGTTTTTGTTGATGATGTGTTTGCGTTTGATCACTTTATGGACTTTCTTTCGTACGATATTTTTACATTATGATTATTTCCAAGAAATATTTGTTGTAAATTGTTACAATACCTACAATATCTAAACTTAGCTTTTATATGTGAAAAATTGGTAATTCATTAGTGGTGTTATGGATGGCGTCGTGTATTTTTTTATACTACTGCGGTGGCAAACAAGCATACAGCCCACCTAATGGTAAGCGGTTACCGTAGCCTATGAACGCTTGCGTTACCGACCCTGAAGATATCTCTTTAAGAACCCCATGCTGTAGTCTCTTGGAAAAAACTCGACAGAGAACTCATTTCATAACCTGAGCGTTCGTGGGAGTATTCTAGGCTTTCCATGGTATTGACAGATATATGTATAAAAATAATTTGAAGATATTCTATTTTTTTTGTAAACAATAGGTTAGGTAGGTATTATACTGAAATAGGTGTTCTCTTAAGAAAGTACATATCACTGGTTATTTGATAGATAGCCGGAGATTGAGGGCTAATATGGAAGGTTGTGGAACTTCTGGAACACTAGAAGATTGACAATCACTATTACTACAGTGGTGATCAATCTGCAAGCGTTGGCAGCCACACACATACTAATGGTAGCGGAATTAAACAAAATAATTCTAAACAAATAACTAGGTTAGATGGATATTATTTTTTATAAGCTCTTAGAATTTCAGTAAAGCACCTAGATATTTTTTTTTGCTTTAATTAAATAGATTTTTAAAAGGGTTTTTATTGCTACTATTTTAGGTGAAATTCGAAAATATTTAAAATCAAAAATGAGTTAATGTGTTGTGGTAAAATTTCTAAAACATTATAATATTAAATGGTCATATTTGATATTAAAAGTTATATTATTTATATGGAGCATTAATTTATTTACATCATCAAGTAAACAATTCTTGATGAAAGAAGTAATTTTCCAAATGAAACGTATTTTTTCCAAATACTAAATTTCAAATAAATAAATACTAAAGTCCAGTGACCAAACGCAACAGCCGAAGCTTCACACGTCGGTACCTGTGCGTGTATTGTGCCTTACTTTGACTTGCGAGCAACTTGTGCTTCAACTGACCGATTTTCTCTTCCTCAGTTGGTTCCGGAGGCACCTCCTCCGTCTGAGGACCCCTCATCAACCCAAGGAGCACGCCAAATATGTACCTTTACAAGAAATATTTGTAAATATATTATTGATTGTATTGTAAAAGTAAGCCTACATTGCATTTTAATTGTAAAAATGACCAGATTAAAAAATAAAGAATATTAATAAAAAAAAATTGTCATGGTGGTAATTACTAATGAAATAGAGGCATTAATATTGTTACCGTTATGGTATGGTATGGTATGGTAAACGCTCGTAACGACGCAGCCCCTCTAGACAAGTGGCAAGCGAATCCATCGATGGAACCGGTATCAGAAGCGAGTCCATGAGTCGGAATGATACATCCGACGTTGCTATCTCATTCTATCTCACGGACTTGTTAGCGACGTCGATTCCATCGATGGATTCGCTTGCCACTTGTCTAGAGAGCCAGATTGTGTTACGTTTAGCTTTAGACTTATATGTATTTTATTGAGAATGCTTGATTATTATAAAAAATGTCAATCAGGTTATTTTTGCAATTAAAAAACAAAGTATGCTTATGAAATTTTGGACAATACCATTTATACATAAATAGTTATATATTATTAAGTTTAATATTCGATTTACTTTTCTATGTGGCTCCTAGCTAATATAAGAGTGCAAAATTGTTTAAATGTTAAAGATAGAATAGTTATAGTAGTAAGGAGGAAGAAAATATTGTGTATGCAATAGCATTCCACTTGGGCTTAAGATGTACAATTTTATATGAAAATTAATATTTGTTTTTGAAGTACATATATGTGTGGGCACCTAATCTTTAACCCTTATCAGATTTTTGAGTAACTTTACAAGGGAGAAGATAGTAAATTAATCTGTTTTTCATGTGTATATAATATTATTACATAACGTGCTCGCATAAATTTTTTATTCGCCGAATCTAAACCTATTTTTTATAGTTCGTTTAGATTTCCTATTGATTGGGCCAAGTAGAAATCTATTACTTACACAAATTATTTACAGTATAAAGAAAAAGTGTCCAGTAGATAGAAAAAGTGAAAGAGTAGAAAAAATATTCTTTTTTTCTAATACCAATTAGGATATTACTATATATAAAATTATATTCAAATATAATGAGTATTTCTAATTGAAATAACACGTGTCATCAATCCAAATAAATGTAAAACTTAGTTTTTTTGTAACTTTTTTCATTTTGTTTTTTTTTTTTATATTATTAATATAAATAATAAAAATACTATAAGAGCTTTTTAGAAACAAAAGGGGTGCAATGACTTTAGCTTTTAGCTAACTATAAGCCAACTGGCTAAAGATAGTCTATTATATAAAGCTCAAGTCCTACGACCTCAATTTGTAATAGGCAAGGCCGCGCTACGACAAGAAAGCATCGAGGCTATATTTTTTTCATTATCGATTCTAAACTCGTTAAATTACTGTCTTTAAAAAAAAATTTAATACAATTAAATGTCAGTTTTCTTGTGGAGCACAATCTTAATTATTTTTGTTTAATATTTAGCACAATATAGAGAAATATAACAAACAATATGTCAGTTGTCAAATGACTTCTTTTACTTTTAAGGATATTTGAATAATTTATTTTTACAACAACCAACTCATACGAGTAGATCCGTGCCAACTATTGTAGCGCGGCCTAACCTGATCATTTAGACAAGTGGCAAACAAATTCATCAATGGAATCGACATCCTTAGCGAATTCGTGAGATAGAGTGAGATAGAATGAGATAGTAATGTCGGATGTCTTATTCCAACTTACGGACTCGCTAGTGATGTCAAGTCTATCGATGGATTCGCTTGCCACTTGTCTAGAGGTTCTGTCCATTGGATCCGAGCCTAATACTGATAGTCCCGGAATTGTTATATAATACCGGTAAACATCGTAAGTGGATACAAATTAAATAAACAAATATTAGTAGAGACCTAACAAAAATAAAAGACGTCACAATAACAATTCTATAATAAAATTAAAATACATCGATGACATGAAATATATTGTATATTGATGCCATTACCAATGACTGTGCACCAACGTTATGTTGCGTGAAATAAATAAAATCATTTAATAAGATACAAGTATTTCTTATCAATTGTACAGATAAGCAATATAAGATTTCTATTCATGTTATATTTGACGATTATTTCTGTATTTTTTATGGTGAAGTAAAAGTTTATTAAATTATGATATAAAGCATAAATATGTGTGGGCATGCTTTGATGGTTCTGCGGTTCAGAAAAAGAGTTCAGTTATTTTTATTTAATTAAACTTGTTTCACGATATTAATTAATATAAACAGTTCTATGAGTAAATGTTTAGGTACTTTTAGATTTAGAATTGTACTATTTTTTTTTTTATTATATTGTTCATTAATTTTTAATTTGAAACTTGTTGCCATTTATAGCGTTAATACAGTTCAAACTTACTCGAAATTACATACTCGTGCTTTGAAAGTTACACCATCATTGAAAAAATAATATACACTTATTCAACAGGTAGAAATACTGCAAGAACACCTAATTATTTACATATACATAATATCATGGGTCTCGAACCCATTAGTAATTCCAAAATATCGATATCTAATAACTAGAACAACAATAATACAAAAATAATCCCAATCGAAAAAGCATTTTACACGCACGTAATAAAGTTGAAACTCACCTAATGACGACCAACGCACCGTATCCCAAATAGTAGAACATGTAGAAGAACATTTTAAAGAAACCAACGGCCAGTTCCGCTGGAGGCATTTGGTGTAGATCGGCGATTTTAGCCTTTATGTTTGAAGGCGATAAAGACGAGAATGCTGTGGCGAATCCATCCTTTACCGATTGGAGGCCACGTCGGAAGGGGTCTTTGCCAGCTCTGAAAGAAATCGGTATTGATAGAATAGTGATCAATCTTATCTGTGGGGGTCATAAAAGGCTACTAATAGAGGGCGAGAGAGGGACAGCAGCGTCCTACTTAAATAAGACCTAATTGCGGTTGCCAAACCGCCTGCCAAGCGTAGCAACTATTGGCAACACCCCCTGAGGGGGAAGCTTATGTTCAGCAATGGACAGTTAAAGGCTGGTATGATAATGATATGATGACAGGGAGATATTTGGTACAAAGTCGTTTACTCGGGTACCCCTGTCCCTGTATGAGCTGTACTTGCTTGATCGTTTCGGTTTGAAAGGTGGGATGTGGCTGGAAATACAGGGCATAGAGGCATAACAGTACAGTCCTCAGGATCAAGAATGACAATGAATGACTATCTGTGAACCGTTAGCTTTGATAAAAAGATAAAACTGTTTTATTTGACTTGTTAATATTACTGGACGTATTACTAAGTCGATCTTATATTATGGCTACTAGACTACTGTCTAAAGTTTTCATCACCTTTCATCATCATCATCTCCCATGTACATGTAGCTGGCCTCTCTATTCTTGGGTCCCCCAGCAGACTCTTCGGAAGCGGCCATGAGGCTGGATGCATGGGTCATTTCAAAGATGGCGTCCTCGCAGAAGTTCACGAACGCTTCCAACTTCTCTTTATCGCCACCTTCTGTTACGATACTGTAGAAGAATGCGCGTTTCGATTCCTGAAATAGTTATGCTGGTTATTAAATACTTTAAATGCATGATATAAATAAAATTGTGTGTATTGGTTTGCAAATATGCCCGTGTGGTCCCGGCATAGAATAGACCACTGCTTCCTTTCTTGTGGATGTCGTAAGAGGTGATTAAGGAAATTTAATGGTAAAAGCCTAACTGCGGTTGCCAACCTGCCTGCCAGCGTGGCAACTACTGAAAAAACTCCCCTTATGGAAAAGACTTATATTCAACAGTGGGTAGTTAACGGTCGAAATATTTTTTTTTATACAACTTAGAATGGCATTCAAGCTGACGGCCCACCTGATAGAAAGTGGTAACCGTCGCCTATAGACATGAGCAGTACCATGGACATAACAGAGTATACTGTTTCGCTCATGATACCCCCCATGTGTTGCCATTCCTGAGGACTCAGGTGTTATTCCTCTGTACCCAGTAAATTCACGCCATATTCCACCCTTCAAACCGAAACACAGCCATGCAAACATAACTGCTTCACGGTTGAAACACGAATGGGACAGAGGTACCCAAGCAATCGACTTTTGTACAAAGTCTCCCTCTGATGATGATGATATATTTGTATAGCAACTTTGTGTTTTGTTAATCTGATCTATTAAACGGTTCTATAGAATGCAATTGGTTATGTGCGTATTTTTTGCGGAATGACGTCGGTTACATGTGCATTCTACGGATTGCAGTTGTGTATTTGCGCATTCTCTGCGAAACGTTGCATAATCAACCAGGTTGTGCAAGCGCATTCTGAGGAACGCAGTCGGTTAAGCACGCATTCCGTGGTATGCAGTCGGTTAATAACTCAGTGTAGTGATTAAGTAATAATATAATGATTAGGAGAATAAACTAAGATAATAGGATCATGCTTTGTTCTCCTAGTACAGTAAATAGCACTAGAGTCTTAAAGAAGGAAAATTGAAGGTATTCCAAGATAACTGGCCACCATGGTAATAGAAACTTAATATTCTCTTTATTTTTTTCGGGGCGTGCGTCTCCGTCTTCATTCAGGCATTAGTGGGCGTTAATGATAGTCAAAAAAAGATAGCAGTACCTTGATTTGAGGCTTCTCCCACTGTTCAATGTTGGACTCCTTGATCTCGAAGTAGACCCGCTCGATGCGTTTCGAGCCGCCCATGATCTCAATGCGGCCGAGGAATGGTTCGAAGTAATTGAGCACGGAGCCGGCCGTTTCGAGGAAACGAGCCAACCTGACCACGTGGAATGCAGATTTTATTATTTATACACTGTGATATTTTTCTTTATAGGTACTATAATTGATGGGCAATTTGACTAGAAGCTGAGTAACACTAAATCTGAGTGGTGATCAAAATAGTGTCTATTTGATAATAAAATTTAATTGCAATCCATTCATCCATACAAGTCATTTTCACGTGGTGCTGTATAAATAGATAGACGTTAATGTGGAAAATGGTTGAATTTGGGTTATTTTGCTTAATATTGTTTATCCAGCTAATTTGCAGCTCCTTGTAACTATATACCCTGCCAGTGTCCTCCACAAAGTCCTACTATAAGTATTGCGATTATTTTTTTGGGTAATTTGTTTCAAGGAACCAACTCACCTCATCCAGCGAGGGGCTAACATTTTAATTTCATCAGTAGTAAAGGACAAAGATTATGCTTATGGTTTAGCGTGAATCCACTAACCGAGGTTCATTGGGCATATGTTCTGAAAGGTTGGTAAGTAGGACGGCAAGATTGAAGCCGATCTCTTTGGCGGGCTCGTGAAAACGGTCGCAGAACCCGATGTAGTCCAGTTTGCCGTCGTGGTTTGTCTCGCAACAAGCCAACAGGAACTCTATCTCTTCGCTGTAATGTTCAATTTATTATAATTAGTTTTTTTTCGCAATGATAATTTCCGCAATAATTTATATAATAAAGTGGTAATCATAGCCTGCACCACAAAAATCATAGAATACACTGTAATACCTGTGGAACTCCTCATCCTTTGCTATTTTTAAAGAATAAGTTATATTTCTGTACCTTAAAATTTTGCTAACTTTCCCACCCATCAAATTGATATACAACCATGAAAACATAGCTGCTTGATGATAGAAGCACGGTTGGAAAAGAGGTAGCCATGCCGACGACTTTTGTACAAAATCTTTCTTCGGTAATATTCTATTAACATTATTTTAAAAATATCATATTAAAAAATCACTTCCCTGGTAGAGTACAATTTTGAAAGTATGGTAATGATTTCGGGTACCTTGAAGTTATAATAAATTAATATAAACTTACGGTGTATAACTCTTCTGCTGTTCCATCTTCTCCTTGAAGTCTTTGGGCAGCACCCAACCGTCGTTGTTGGCGTCTATCTCCTGGAAGCTGGCACTGGAGGTCAGGTCCTTGAGTTTGAGGAACATGTCGAAGTATTTGAGGATCAGCTCCACATTGGATGCAGATTCCACCAGCGTATCCACCATCTGTTTACCGATTGTGCCTGTAAAGGAATTAATGTTTGATATAAGGCCATAAGTTCTTCTTATACAGAAGGAATTAACATCAGTTTGTCCTCCTATGCTAAAGATGTAGGTCACCAGTAGAAAATGATATGAGGGTGTAGTCAGGTTAGTTTACTTATTACAGAAATTTCATCCACAATTAGTAATGTAGCTGTCGATTTGATTGGGTAGGTATATTGTCAATAATGAGAAATAGAGTTCCCATTTCTAACAATCCCATACCCTACGTATATATAAGTTCCTACTTATGGCCCCCCATTAGCATATAAAAGATTGTTTTATAGCCCCCAAATAAAGGTTTCTTATAGTTTCAAATAAAGGTTTCTTAGACATGTCTTTACGGATAGTTCAAAGTTTCGCTCGCAAATCTCCAGAGGCCACTTCCTCCTCCCCTCTTAGTACTCTTATGAGTAAGACAATTAATTGGTTACTGTGACAATCAGAGATTTTACTCCATATAGGCTCCATATTGACTCCATTTAAGGAGGGAAGTTTATTTCGGTAAAATACTGCATACAAAGATTTTAATGAAATGGTTTTTTTTTTATGAATGATAATAGAATGGTAACACTGCCTGCACTATTGGTATACGCTGGTAAAGTACCAGTGAGGGATGATAGGTGAGAATGAAAGGGCAGGTCAGTCAGCCCACTGTGATGAATACACCTGGAATTTAGCATGATGGTTTCCAGGGGGGACCACGGGGAGGTCTTGCTAGCAATGGAACTGGTAGTCCGCATTACTAATAATCCCTTTCCCCTTTTCTTCTTTATTAGTAGTGATATACTAACTGGTGACATAGGACATAGCACCATATACCAGCAAAAGAAAAAGAAAACTTGTTATAAAAGTGCGCTGTTAGTCTAATGAGGTAGGTTAATATCCTCATCTACCAAGAAGATACGTCTACTTGAAGTAGGATGTTAGTATGAAGTTGTTTGAAAACTATTATACCATTCACGACGTTTCCTTCAAGCATGGACAGCATCATGGTGATCATGTCCTTCTGGAGGTTGAGGAGTTCTTTGAGCAAGTCCACTTGCGAGGAGTGCTTCGATAGCTTGTCCTGCATGTGGGAGAACAGGAACAGAAAACCGCCTACTGCGTCCCACAATCTGGAAGGTTTTATTTTTTTATGCAACTTGGAATGTCATATAAACTGATGGCTCATCTGATGGGAAATGGTAACAGTCATTTATAGATATGAACAGCACCGTAGATATAACAGAATACTCTGTATATCCACGGTGCTGATTTGTACTTAAACTCTCCGTCCTTGATTGCATATAGATTTTTCTATTTAGCTATATACTCGTATTTTATAGTGTACAGAGGCGTAACACCATAGTCCTCAAGAATGGCAATATATGAGGGTATCATGGGTATCAGAAGATCACATATTTTCTGTGATTACAGTTACCTTGAAGGTGTTGCTTATGTCTATATGCAGAAGTTACCACTCTTCATCAGGTCGGTCACTAGCTTATTTTGTATATTAAGTATCCTAAAAAAGATATATTAGTTGACCCGACTAACGTTGTTTAAGTTGAAACTATTTCTCAAATTGGAGCAAAAAATATTAATAATGTTAAAATCGACTGATTAGTTTTGAAGATTAGCGTGGATGAACATCATGACATGGAAATTTTATATAGGATTAAGATTTAATGAGCAAATGTACCTGGAGTGAGCGAGAGCTTGCTGGTTCTGGGTACAGGGCCCCTGGATGACCTCAGTGAGGGTGTTGAACACCTGTGAAGCCACGCCGATAGCTTTGAAGAAATTCGCCTTGCCAGCCGGGTCGATCAGCTCCTGAAATGAAAAAAACAAAATTGTTATGGATTGATGAATGAGGAGGACGCGAGAGACAGTGGTAGCAATAATCTTTATGTATCGATTATTAATCGATTATTAATCGATAGTTTCTAATAATATATTCTACAAATTTATAATAATAAATGGATTATAATTAAATTTGTTAGCTGTGTGATTTCATAGAATCACTATTGGTCAGAATGGACCATCCTTTTTTTTCCCATTGGTGACGAAAGAGGTGACTAAGGGAATTTAATAGTCAAACGATAAGCAGCAGCGACCATCTTGGATCATCATCAAGGCCTAACTGTGATTGCCAAACCGCTTACCAAGCGTGCCAACTATTGGTAAAATTCCCCAAGAAGGAGGCCTATGATATGATGATGACGATGATGAATTTAAAATATTTAAAATTTAAATTAGTTTTTAAAACTGGTATGTCTTTTAAATTAGTAATAATAGTATTTTGTGCATTATAAAGTACCAGCCCCTTTATTAGCAATATATCCTGATAGCCCGACCTCCATCTTGGAAGCCATCGAGGTTAATTCTGGTGAATTCATTGACATGACTTTAAATATCATGACTTCATTTCTATTTATCATAGCTTATTGTTTTCCGCTAGTTTCTATCAATAGCTTAGGCAAGGTTAGCACTACATTATCATTTATAACACTCACCTTGCTGGAATAATGCCAGTAGAAGTCCATAATGGACTCCTGGAGACGCAGCAGGTAGTCGACAGTACAGATGACCACGTTGACTGTCGTCGTGTTACCAGCTTGTGTACGAAGGTAGTTCTGCCATTCTGTATAAAGAAATTTTAACAGAATTATATTTCTATAAAATAAAAAGGTCGATATTTTACAAAAGTCGTCTACGAGTACCATTGTAGACGAGTCAACGAGTTACAATCTGTCCCATTCGCCTGTACTTTTTAACCAACTTAAAAAAAGGACATTCCCAATTTGTTTGTTACCTCAGAACTTCGTCATTTGTAAACCGATTTGGAAGATTTTTTTTTATCTGATAGGATATATTTACAAATTAGTTCTACAGATTAAAAAAAAAAACGGTTCTGCAGTTTGGATTTTAAATAGAAATAACGAAACGGTTGTTAGTGGTTTTAAATTAAAATATATATTGTCAATGTAACGTGTCTAAGAAATGTAATATCGTTTATAAGTATAGTACAAGCTGAGCAAAATGTGCATCTTTGCAGAGCAAAATTCTGTTCACATATTGTGATGTTACCCAAGTTGTGGCCTTCACAAGTGAGTTGGATGAATCTGAATAATGCGCATGTGAATTCCGCGTCGTGCATGTTCTTTTCACCGGCGGCGCCTTCCAGTCCCACGCCCAGACCTGAAGTAAATAATAAATAAAGTAACGGCATATCGATATCCCACGAGTGGACAAACAAATATTCATTTATAAATCAATAATCGATTGATATTATTACTCAAAATCTTCAGTCTCGTAAATCAAGCTTCTTTATCATTTGGGAATATCGTTTTGAAGTTTCAATATTGCATACTTCTTTGGAGTTTTTATGTTTTTATTTTATTCGATGGTAAGAGTAGCGCTGATCATCTGAACTAACCAGTAATATTGATTTTAAATAATTAACTTTATTGAAATTTATTAATAAAAATACAATAGAACTAGAAATTCAGATTTTGTTCAGTTTTTTGCTCTTCTATAGATTGTCAAATTTTGACTTTCGCGAAGTTGCAACTTAAACGACAATATATATATAATCTCAAGTTTTAGTCTTTCGTTCTTCAGTACTTACCTTCAGCCTTGGTATTTCTTTCGAAAGCATCAAGGTCGAGGACAGAGCAAGAGTTCATGAGACCAGCAATCGACGTGAAGAAGCCCACGTCCTTCTTGTCCTTTAGATGGTTCAGCATGCCCTGATGAAGAATAGATGAAAAATATATAATAAATTAATACGTACTATTTTGCCTTCCTGAATTAGTGTTTAAAGTGTACCAAATTCCATGTGGTTGAGAAACAAACATTCAAATATAAAAAAAAAAAATCATTAATAATAATAGTAGGATTATTATAAAACTAAAAACTTACTGCAAACATACTTTTTTTTCATTAAGTAATCATGTATATATGGCTGTATTTTGGTTTGAAGAGTTGATTGTAGTATGGTCGTAGTTTGGTTGGACAAAGAGAAGAGGGGAAAAGGAATTATTAGTAGCGGGGAGTAGCGATTCTATTATAAACAATATACTCAATTACGAACAAGTTATTATTACTGGAAACAATTTTTGATAAATTCTTTACGATGGAGCAATTGACCTGCGTTCATCCTCATCTATCCTCCATTGGTACTCCGCCAAACTATCTCAATGGGCTGAAAGGGATTGTTAGTAATGGGGCCAAATAGCAATATACCCTGTCAGGTTGACCTCCACGTGGTTCCCCCTGGAAACCATTGTGGCTAATTCTAGTTGAATTCGTCAGGATGGGCTAATTGACCTGCTTTCATCCTCATTAGTCATCTATCACTGGTGCCCCGCCATTGTATACCGATAGTACAGACGGGGTTACCATACCATTATCACCCATTTAGAGATCACAGAGAGAGGCAAGAGCTCCACCGACAAGAGCGCAGCTCTTAAATAGGATAGATAGATAGATAGAGGCATCATTCACCATTCCATCCATACATCAACTTTTTAAAATAATAAAATCAGGTGGATCAACACCTTATTTTTTTTTACCATTCATGATGCTCTACTGCTCTTTATCAATGTTTACATTTACAGTCATTTACATACCATCTGTATCTCGATATTGCCTCCCCTCAGTATAGAGATGCCGAGCTGTAATGTCTTCATCACCATATCACTGGGCACACCCTTGGACGCTGATATGTGCAGTAACACCATTTCAGCCACGCCACGATCGGCCAGCCGAGATTGATGGAAGAGAAGCTTCTGTTTCTCCATTTCTTGTTCCTGCAAAGTTTATGACGAAAATTTATGAACTCTTTTAAAAGAGGTCCCTCTATTGGAAGACGCTTAATGATTGTGTTTTATTACTTTTATAAATTTATTTGCGTAAGTATACTCACCATAAATGTTTCCATTGTTTTCTGCTTGTAATATATTTCAGAAAGAGGTTTATTATTAAGGTATGTAAATTTCATTAGAAAATTATTAAAAATTATTTTTTTAAAGAAAGAATAATAATTATGTATATAAGATGTCAATCAAAATTGTCTTGAAACGGATTGAAACTTACGTGTATACTAGCACGCCCTTCTTCTTCACCTTCAGCTTCTCCACCCCCTTCTTCTTCTTCGTCACCACCTTCTTCCTCTTCTTCACCACACGATTTAGCTATTATATGCGCATATGACATGTAAAGAGGATCTTCCTAAAAAACAAAAAAAAAATACATGAGAAAATCTACAAGTTAGTCGAGTAAAACAGGAGAAACAGTGCTTGCACACCAAAAGAAACTCATTTGACATTAGAAGCTAAAGAAGGTTTTGGTAGATCCTCTGTATCCTTTCACATAGGCAGGGGCAGTACAATTGGATACGCTGGAGTACGATTTATTAATCCAAAGATCGAGTCCTAAACATACATACATACATACATATCTGTCACGCCTGTCTCCCATTAGGGTAGGCAAAAACAATGGAGTTCTGAACAACTTCTGAAGTTATCAAATTTATATTGGGACTATTTACAAACGATTGTCGTTTGCTGCATGTTTCGGAGGATATGTAAAGCTATCGTCCGGGGTTTCTGTCCAAAAGCGGGTTAGAAACATTTAATATCAGGTGTCGCATTATAGAATAGAAATCATTATTCAAATATACTTGTTTACAAGCTCTCTAAACCATAATTTTTTTTATGATTTTACTGCAGGGTTCTAAATGTTGTTATTTGCTGAGAATAACCTGCAAGAATCTCAACAGTTACTCTTTTCAAATTACCATGCACAAGATAATTTTACATTTGTCATACAAATGTACTGTAACTATAATTAGCATTAAGTTCTATTTATATGTGTAAATAGAAAATAAACAAGCAAACATGAGCAGAATAGTTCCAACACACAGCATCTATTCACGAGCTCGACGAATGGGCCAGCTATGATTGCGCTTTACTATATTTTAGGGGACTCAATGACTCGGCCAACCACGCCGCCATTTTTAGTAGTAAACAGTTCACTTTCTTAAATGGTTCCTAATATTAGAATATAGCAATAGGTGTACAGTTACCTGTAAAGCACCAGAACGTTCGGTCATGGCGCCTCTGCAGAATGTGGTGACGAGCTGTGTGAGGGGATCAGGCTTGCCTTCCTCTTCTACCACGTCGCTCTTCTTCAACTCTGCATCTTCGAATGATTGCTGAAATCACAATTGATTGGATTAGTACTAGTTATAACTGATGAAAAAAATTTCCTCTGGTATTCAGAGGAAATTTTGAGGAGGAAGAGATTTACTCTTGTTCCGTTCTAACGATGCTCTTAAGGTGCTCAACTTATATAAGATTTGCAAGATTTTTTTTTAAACCAATTAATTTCAACTTTTTGTTATTCGAGTTTGATGCTATAGTTGGAACATCCTTAGACGAAATCTGTAATCTTATTAAAAATAAAGAAAAAACAATAAATTTTTTGGTGACAACTTATGTTTGGCAATTGATATATAATTATAACAACACATAAAAATGTATGTGTGTTTACCGTTAAATCTTCTATCATGACTTCTTGGCCGATGTTTTCTTCTTCCAACCAAAGCTCGTAATATGTTCGTGCAAATATATTACATGCACGATGCCTGCAAGCAACAATGTAGTTATTATCAATGTTTAGCCGAATATTCTACTCTCTTGTTGTTCAAATACTTTCAAAGAAATATGAGGGAAGGAAGCAAAAAAGAAAGAGAAGAAAAAGGAAGAGGAATAGAGTATAAAGAACAGAAGAAAACAGATTAAAATAGAGAAAAGTGGAAGAAAAATTCGATATTTATTAAGTGTAAGTGACTTATCTTCTAACTTACTTTGATACAATGTTAGTTGAAGAGTACTATTACTAGAGTTCGGGCACACATTTTATATCCTAAACCTATGAATAGTAGAGATACGTAATAGGATTACCTGCTCACTTTATACAGATGTGTACTTCTCAAGCAAGCTATGGCTGCACGTTTCCTAGCGGCGCACAGTACTCGCTTCCAGTTAGTTGAGCGTTGTTTCGGTTTAGTTGCCTAATTAGTCCAGTGCAGCATGCGAGTATTGCAATGTTCATATTAAGTGTACAACAATAACGCGAGTTAGTTGAATGATTTACTCAGAGTAAATCTCAAAATGATGTCTATCAAGATATTATAAAAGAAATCGATTACATTCTGTTATATTTAGGTTTAGTTATGTCTACTAAATAACACAGTCTATTGCGGTGTTTCCCAACGTGGGTCTCACGCCCCACAGGGGGGGGGGGGGCAATTTGATAGTTTAGGGGGGCAATTAAAAAATGGACTCGAAGCGATTTTAACTCTCTTGCTCCGGGCAATTTAAATGCAATGCTACGAGTACCAAATAAAACAAAAAAAAGTGAATTAAAAAAATGCTGTAAATATTTATTAGGTATAATTTCATTTGACGTTATCAAAATATCAACTGGGCGACTAGAGTCGTCAAGTAAACTTTGTCTGGAAAAATTATGTATGGGGGAATAAAAATTTTAGAAATGTTTAAGTGGGGCATGGCACAAAAAAGGTTGGGAAATACTGGTCTATAGCATCCTTATGTAATGCTATTCCAAACTGTTTATATTGACTTCAGTCTATGTTATAAGGTTAATATGAGTATATAATGAATTTATTGTCATGTTAAGTTTCTATAATAGCAAAGTTATATGCAAATTCTAAAACGCATCTTTAATAATGTAAAAAAAATTAAGGACTTAGTATACGATGTTAGTGCCACACAACAAAATCACTCTTATATCAAACGGAACACAACACATAATCATTTGAACCTTGGCAGAGAGTGGATGGAGGTCTGCCTAAAGCAGGCAATAACAGCTCGTTTTCGTTGAATCGACACCACGGAACGGTATACGTTTTTACTCATTTGTTGAGGATGGTCGATCTATGGTTACAAATAAATAGACAAATAATTTTGTTGCAATTTTTTTTAATTAACTTTTAATACTAAGTCCAAACACTGATATAGTTTCTGACGACTTGCGTCATTAGTGTAACTTGTGACTTTAAATTGAAGTTAATATTTGAACACTAGCGATCCAGCCTAGCTTCGTACTGGTGAAAAAGTCTATTGACTGTTCCTTCTATTATCTTTTTTTATGGACAATGGAAATTTTTAAACAAATTAATAAGTCATATATAAGTTTCACTCATCGGTATTCGAACATAGATTTGATATATATAATATATAACTTACCATATGTAGTCCAAACAGCACTTTGCTCATTGCGACAATCCTCTCCACGGTATCATCAATGATCTTGGCTTTGTTCTCAGCAGTTTCTACGGTAATGTTTGTTTTACTTTTGGAGCCAAGTTTGCTGTATAAGTAATGTTGCCAGGACATCTCATCCGCTGGGTCTATTTTGTCCGGGAGTGTTAGTTGCGTTTTGGCAAATTCCGATACGTCTTGCTCAGACATTTTCTACAAAAACAAAATATAAGATTTTTCTTCGGTTTGTGAGTGTAATAAAATATGTGTTAAGAAGGTGTTTCAGAAAAAACTGATTTCAGTTGTGTCAAACACTGGTATTATGATTTAGAACCTAAACTTGATATGATTTTGATAAAATTTCTATGGAAGTAATTTGCAAGTATTTATATTCTTTCAGATAAAAATAATTCTAAATCCGCTTATAACTGACTGAGGTATGAGATAATAAATATAAAAAAAGACAAGAAAATTGAGAACCTTCATCTTTTTGAAGTCGGTTGATAAATATTTGAAACTAATTTATAAAGTTTAGGAAAAAGTTAAAAATTTTTGTAGTTATCGAATGTAGTTTATGTATCAAATCGACTAAACTAGTCCCAGGATCAGGGTTGATAAACAGACAGAACTTAATGAAAAGTTTTGTTGAAATTATAATAAAAACACTGTTTAAATGATATTAGTAACAAATTGAAACATTGAATCAATAATTGATTTGTACTATTATTGGTCTTCAGAAAATTATCATAGTCGCACATAATTATGGGTTTATTTATATTTTCGTTAAGATCTATTTCAATAGATTAAGTAAAATAATCTTCTTCTTCTATTTCTGTACTTCCTAATTCTACTACGAAACAATTTGCTTGTTTGCTGTGTTTAAGTTTTAAGGATAATATATATGGGAATTGAATTACTGAGTATTACAGTTCAAGTTCTTTTCTAATATGGCCTACAACATAATGCTAATGATGCTTCTGGTGTTGTAACCGATCTGTAATTGCTGTTTGACATCAGGCGCGTCTATAATAGAGAATAGACTAGAAGTAACCTTTCTTACCTTGAGGAATCTGTCTTTACAATGTTGCACCAATTCCTGTTCTCTGCCCGCAAATAGATTAAGACCAACTGGCAGCAACCTCTTCAGACAGGCTACCATCAGGGATGCTTGGACTTCCTTGTCTTTGTCACGTTTCTTATCGCGATGCTTCTTCTTTTTCTGTTGTGTTCAAGGTATATGTTAATAAAGAGAGTAGCTATGTTTATTTAGAGCATCGAAAAGAGAACTGCGTTCGTGTGTTTTAATTTTATGGATAACAGAAAACAATACTAATTGTATTGACATTATAGATATTTGAATCTAATAATTTTATATTCAGTAATATATGTGATTCGAATGTATTCAAAGTGGCAGCCTTGAGTTTTACGTTCATCATAGTTTAAAATATAACATATATTTATAAGTTTATATCAAAAAAAAAATATAAATTAGAAAAAAAAAAAAACTTTATCAGTATATGAAACACCTAATCCCAGGTACGTGACGTCTGTGACTTAAATAAGATGTCAGTTTTAAATCATTTTAGAGTCGGTGACTGAATATTGACGTCAATCATCATCTTCCAACCTTTATGCCAATTATTATTTGGGGTCGGCGCAATATGTTTTCCTCTTCCATTCTCTTCTATTCCCAGTCATTTCCGCATTCACTCCCATTCTGGTCATATCGTCTTTCACACAATCATTTTACACAATATTAACGTCAATACGACGAATAATTCCTACCTGGGATATGTTAGTATTCTTGTAAATATGCGGTTTACATACATTATATAAATTTATTATTTTATATACATTTATTTTTATTTTAGTTTGTGTTGAATTTGCCAATTTCGTTGCATCTGGGTAATTAGCTGTTAATTTTATATTAATACGTATAAAATTGCTGTTATACATGAGTTTATTTTTTCCTTTCATGATGGTAGATATAAAACAGGCGGTTGAATGCTATCATTTGAATATATGACAATATGATCTTTAGGATAGCTATTATAGGAAGCAAACCAAAAAGCATTTAGCGTAACTATTGCAGTTTCCCTAGACAAGTGGCAATCGGATTCATCGATGGATTCGTTATCGAAAGCAAGTTCATGAATTGGATTGAGGCACTCGACGTTGCTATCTCATTCTATCTCATGGATACGCCAGCGATGTCGATTGTATCGACGAATTCGCTTGCCACTTATCTAGAAGGCCGGATTGGATATTGTATTGTTTTGGACTTGTTTTAGGTACAACATTACCACATATGTTATAATATGTTGAAGTTACATAATAAAATTATAGTTTAATGAGTGAAGCCTCTCAGTATACAGGGTGAAATCGAAATGTTTAGGATCCTTTGAAGGAAGTGTTCTACCAACAAAACTGAACATTTCCACCAAAGAAACTCTTGTATGGGAGACTAAACTAATTTTTATCGTTTTCGAATTTTTGATTAACAAAAATTTGTACCCTGATATGTTCTATATCCGTTGCTGCATGGTTCCGGAATAGAATAGACTACACCTTCTTTTCCCGTGGGTGTCATAAGAGGCGACTAAGGGAACTGAATAGTTTAGGGATGGGCAGCAGCGTCTCTCTTTAAACATCACTAAGGTTTAGCTGCAGTTGTTAACCTACCGGCCAAGCGTGGAAACTACTAGCAAAACCCTTTAATAGGGAGAGGCCTATGTTCAGCAGTGGACAGTTAACGGCTGATATGGTATGGTAGATTGTTAATTTTATGTATTGTTAACGATTTTGATTTCAACCTGTATATTATTAATAATCTATGAAAAAACCTATGGAATGCTATATTACTATACCTTGCCGCCTCCTTGTGGTGCCCCATCAGTGACTGTAGTCACTCTTCTTGTTGCTGTTGGCATAATCAGCACCTAGTTTCGACATGGATATGATAGAGTGAGACACAAAATAACAAATGAAGGTAGGCAAACAAAATATATCGGAGCGTGTGGGTTTATTATCGACAAGTTTCATTCAGTTTTAACACATTTTATATTTCGTAATACAGAAATCAAATAACAAGAATGAATTTAGTTCAGTTAAGACCTAATTAGCACTAAATAAATTTTATACTAAAAAAGGCACATTTTAAATTATTAATTTTATTATCTTAAGGTTTTATAGGTTATAATATAACCTATGAATTTTATATTAAGCTTACAACAAAAAAAAAAGAAAGTAAAAGATTAATTTAGTTTTAAAATCTGTATAGATATATGTATAATTAGATATAGAATTATATAATAATACTATCTTTATAGTGTATGCAAAATCATTTATTTAACTTATCGTTAATTTAGCCGCTGAGAATACTATTACTATCATAAAGGTATCATACATGTTAAATTCATTTCTGTTATTTGTAATGCCCTTATGTAACATATAACATATATGATCACAGATAATATACTATACTAGTATGAAGTAACTGAATGAAATAGTCATGCATATTTCATTTTGTCTACAGGTTTTCTATCTTCTATCGATCACTGAAATTTGTTTTAATAATTTACTAATAGATGGCGCTATTTGTGAATAATAATGTTTACGTTTTAAAAATGTTAGAAATCTCACCATGTTGTCGATTTCATTGGCCGATATGAAGTTCTGCTCTTCTTTGAGGAAGTATTGACTCTTTGACCAGATGTTGAATATTTCTGCTACGTGGTTATATAATTCTTCGGCCTCTGAAAAAAGAGTTTTGATATTGTAAACATTAGACATTATATGTTGATATACACAGGTAAAATCTGTTGAAGAAGTTAGTTAAATTTTATTTTAATTTTTGTATTTTTATTTATGTTATTTTTGTCCTTATATATTGTGTAGTAGATCCTAACTGCATGTGCGACTAATAATTTCGCATTCGGCATCAAGTTACCTATGAGATTATGATACCAATTAAATATTAACATTATTTGATTTTTTTTTAATAGATTATTTTAATGTTAGTGCTCATATTAATTTTGTTACTACTGTAACTATAGTTTTTTTACTGAACTGCTGCTAAGGTAGCTGCTTTTTGTGACACAAAATCTATTTGTAGATACGCTTATTGGTATATAAAATAAATACCTACGTTCAAACATTTGGAGTCGCGCATGAATCAATATATAAAAGTTAGGATATAACTTATCCATGTAACACATTTCATTCAAATCCGTTCAATTCATTTTGCGTGAAAGAGTAATAAACAACGATCCATCTATTGTTACAAGCTTTTAAGTTTTTAAAGAATTAAGTTGATATTAAAGATGGACTTAATACTGTATAGCATTCTTAATAGACTAATAAAGGGGATAGATTAGATATTTTGTTTGTAATAGATAGATTAAAAAACTATTCGATCGATTTTAGAAATTTTTTAACCTGTAGAAAGCTTGTCAGCGACTAACATGGGCTCTATTTTTATATAATTTGTCAGCTTATATTTTTACCTACCTACCTGAAGGAAGGAGGGGAAGAGGGAGACCGAGACATAGTTACATCAGGCAGATTAAGGAAGTAGTTGGTGTCGTGTCGTATCAAGAGGTGAAGAGACTCGCTGAAAATCGTAGTGAGTGGCAAGAGCGCCACCGACAAGAGCGCAGCTCTTAAATAGATAGATACCTACCTGTGAAAAGTCGGGGCAAGTCGCTAATTCATATAAATATGATATATATTGTTGCTATTCTATACAAACCTGGAACATTATTCCTGAGCCAATGGTTCCTCTGCAAGTCCACATATTTGATCAGGAGCGGATAGAAGGAGTAAATGTCTCTCACTAAGAGTTGCCAATCCTCCTGAATCTGCGATTCAACTTGCGAAGTGTCGTCAGTTGAAGACTAAAGAATAATACGAATTGATTAGAAAATATTTCATTAAAACAATAATAAGGAATCGATAATAAGTCCATAAGATAGAATGAAATATAATTCAGCCATTGTCTGTCCAGTTCTGGACATAGGTCTCTCCCATAGACTTACATAAGGAATTGTCTTGAGCCACCTGTATCCACTGACTCTCTGCAATGCATTTGAGGTCGTCACTATAATGGGGACCATCACTCAAGAACCTTTCTTGAAATATAATTTAGTAATACCATAATACAATGAATAGTATAGTACTATTCATTTATTGGTAGTAAATCTCTAGCTTTTATCGCTACTTTTGTTAGTAACAGAGACTAGAAATCCCATTGCCAGTAATATCAGATCGATCTCTACGCGGAAACCATCGTGGTTAATTCTTAACGAATTCATCATGATGGTTATAGTCACCAAATGACCTGAATTCGGGGGAAAGGGATTGTTAGTAATGGAGACTGAGAATCCCATTGCTAGCAATATACCCAACCAGGTCGACCTCTTCGTGGTTTCCCCTGGAAACTATCAAGGAATCTATCCTGATGAATTCATCATGATGGGCTAACTGGCCTGTTTTCATTCTCATCTATCACCCTTCACTGGTGCTCCGCCAGCGTATCCCGTTAGCGCGGGCGGGGTTACCATTCCATTTTCACCCAGAAAAAAATGACTTGAATTCAACCTCATCTCTATTCCAATGCATTCCGATAGCGTAGACGGAGATTTTTTTGATGAGTGAAAATGGAATGACAACCCTACTATTACTAGTCATTACTATTTACTAACAATTCCTTGGCCTTATATTATCATTCATTGCAAAAATACTACCTTTTTAATAATAATATTTATTAATTTGTTGAAAATCTCAACTTTTTATGCAACAATGAATGAGAATGACAAACAAGCTGATGGCCTATCTTATAGAAAAAGAGGTATTGTGGACATTATAGGATATATACTTTAACGCTCATGCAATATTTGATACCCTTCATGCGTTATCATTCCTTAGGACTATGGTGTTACGAGTATGCTAGCGTATCCAACAATTTTTGTTCTATAAAATACTAAAGAAGTATTTCCGAACCGATATGATGGTAACCTTCAAGAAAACAGCATATTTTGTTTTAAAAGATCAACAGCACCCTTGCCTCTGGTGTACGAGTAGTGAGTGCTCATGGGCGGTGGTAGTCACTGACCAACAGGTGAGCCACATGCTCGTTTGCCCCCTGTGTTCTATAAAAAAAATACTCACTTTGATGAATCCCCTCAAGCTCTCCTCCTTGTGGAACATGTTATCTGTCCTTTTCCTGACTCTCTCCGCCAATGGCAGGAAGGAGTCCCTGAGCAGTTCCTCTGAGCTATTGATGATGATTTGCTGAGTGTAAGTGGCAATACGAGTCATCCATGGTGCACTCTCGTTGCCTATGTTCTTCTTGATCAGTTTCAGTACGTTCTTTAGTAGTTGGTTCATGTGCTCAGCTGTCACCATTGTCACGTGGTTCCTGGTTTAGAAGATAGTTCAGAATATAACACATTATCTAATTAATAATTGGAAATAGGGTCGTTAATGAAATTGTAGATCATCATTTCAGCCGTTACTGTTCACTGCTAAGCCTTCCCCATAAAGGGAGTTTTGTCAGTAGCTGGCACGTTTGGCAGGCGAGTTGGCAACCGCAGTTAGGCTTTTAGAGATGTTTTAAGGAGAACATGTTTTAAAGGGAAGGATGCTGCTGCCCATTCCTTTACGATTAAGTTTCCTTAGTCACCTCTTGTGACACCCATAGGAAATGAAGACGTGGCCTATTCTATGCCGGGACCACACTGTTTAGATTCCACAAAAAAAAAAAAACACTTTAATCAAGACCAAACTAGCTACTTTTATTTAAACTCGAAACTATTGAAAGTATTTTATAGGTTCACTCTGAAAGTATAAACCTATGAAGGTTAATTGGGCTTAAAAAGAATTAACTTGTTTCGTGAACGGTTTGATGAGAAATAAAAAAAATTTGATAGAAAACACCGTCTGGTGCTAAGTCTGCCAAATGTATACACATAGAATTTTACTGTGCATTAAAATTTAAATAAATTAATAAAAAATTACCCAGCGGTAGGCGTAACGTTGTCAGGTCCCTGCGCCCACCAGAACGGAAGATACGAACATAGTAACGGAAGCACCACATCTATTATATGCGGTGCTTCGTTGTAAGTCTTATCTGACTCCACGAATTGATCCACTTCGCTCAGTATCGTCTCTAGTGTCGGCATTGATTGTTCCATTTTCGCCATTATGTCTATGGGTATAAGAATTGACGTTTATAAATGTTTTAATGAACTAGATGTTATGTTGCGGAACTCCATATCAATAGTTTTTCATTAGAATTATTTTGTTTAACTCCGCTACCATTAGTATATGTCTGACCGCCAACATTCCAAGATTGATCATCATTATTACTATTAGAAGTTTAACAAAATTCTATGTTAGCTACCAATTTTCGACTGATTTTGATCATGCATGTTTTGCGACACATGTTTCACTTCGAAACGAATCATCTTCGGTAATATGGAAGGTTGTGGAACTTCTGGTAGTAATAGTGGTTATAAATCTTTGATTACGGCGCTCACATACACACCAATGGTAGCGGAATTAAACAAAATCATTCTAACCAAATAACCAACGATTGACGTTTGGTTAGTCAAGAATCACTAGAGGGAGACTTTGTGCAAAAGTCGTCTGCTTTAATAATTCTGTCCTACTCGTGTTTCTGCTATGAAACAGTTATGCTTGCATAGCTGTGTCCGAAATTGAAGGATGAGACGTGGTAGTCAAATTATAAAGTACGGAGGTGTAACACCGTCGTTCTCTACATGAACAACACAACACATGAATGGTGTATTGGGGAATACAGTGTATTCTGTGATGCTATGATGCTGTTCATGTCTTCAGTGGGGTTAACAACTTCTGCAGCTTATAATAATCTTACCCTTAAAAGAATAATCAGGATAACGAGAGAAATAAGTAAATTTTGATTACACCATTTATAATGTGTTTGTAATATCAATATGTTGTAGGAGGCCATAGGCTATTCTAACGATTGGATATATGTTTAATTGCCACCATAGTAGTAAAAGAAATCCTTCGATTTCGATCACATTTAAGTCATTAATGGACATATATATCTACATATGGATAAAATAATAAATTATAATTTAGGTTATAAGCTGCAGAAATCGACAAAATTCATGTCTTTAGTGATATGAATTTTTGAGGAGATCTGGATACAATAAATGCTAAAACGATTGGTTTCCTCACCTTGGGCCTCGAGGGAATGGTCTGCGATGCGGTTGAGCAGTGAGAACTGGTTGTGTTTATTGAGGTGCGGCTCCAGGAACGCAACTGGGAACGTCGAGCTGAATGCGCCCAAGCATGAACCCTGGTAATGAATAAATAATACAAGTTGTACAGTTAGAATCAAAATGAACATTAAATATCTAAAATCCGAAGACACTGTTGCGTAAAAAGGTAGCTCAATAAGGTTGGTGCCAAAACTGGATATTGGAAATAGGGATATTGTCATTTTCTTTTTTTCATTTCAGCCGTTAACTGTTTACTGCTGAACATTAGCTTTACCAATAAGGGGGGTTTTTGCCAGTAGTTGTTATGCTCGACAGGCGGGTTGGCAATCGCAGTTAGGCTTTAAAGATGTTTTAAGGACGTTGCTGCTTATCCCATCACCATAAGCTCCCTTAGTTGCCTTTACGACAACCACGGGGAAGGAAGCGGTGGTCCATTCTATGCCGAGACCACACTAATTCAGGTAAACAATTATAGTTTACCTAAATAATAGTGTTAATTCCTGTTGTTTATAAACCATAAAACACATCTATGTGAAATTTATTATATATTAACTTATAATTAGATTATAAGTTTAAATAAATCAAGAGCTTACCAACGCCGGTTTGTTCCTCTCTATTTCTGTCTTAAGGTACTTCCTGTCGTGTGTGAGCGACGCGTCTGTACCGAGAGCGTACAAAGAGCCAAGCATTTTGTATGATGCCACTTGAATTTCGTCCACTGAAATAACAGAACATTTTCAAAGATTTCAATATTTTTGTAAAGCTATATTTTGTGCTTAGAATTACTTTGTAAACAAGATCTGAAATGAAGATATTTGTAGGAGGATCAAAGTCATTGATAGCAGGAAGGGATTGAGAGGGTCTAATAGCCCCACTGAGGGGAAGGGATAGTTAGTAATGGGGAGGTTAGTCCCCATTGCTATCATTGGTGCCCCGTCAGTGTATATCGATAGCGCAGGCGGGGTTACCAATCCATTATAAAAAAAAAAAAAGTAGCCCTACTGTTAGCAATATACTCTATCAAGGCGATTTCCACGCGGTTCCCACCAGCAAACCTCAGACAAAACAAACCTGAGATCTCAGGTTTTGTAAGTATTATTTGCTAAATGTACTAACTTATATAACAAGCTCTAACATCAAATTTTAAAATGTGTTACCCTGTTTCGGGATATATAAATAAATAAATGGGTAGGTTGTAATTTTAAAACTTGAGTAATTTAGGTTATTAATGAAGCCTTTTTTTATTAAATATAGACACGAAATGAGAAACATGTTTTAAGAAAGGTATCAAACTATTAATGTGGATGGCTACAAAGGCAAAGGAAGACCTAAAAAGACATGGACAGACTGTGTGAAAGACTGTGTGAAACTTATATGGCCGAAATAAGAGTGAATGCGGAAATGACTGGGAATAGAATGGAGAATGGAAGAGAAAAACAAGTTACGTCGATCCCAAATAATAATTGTAATCAAGGTAGGAAGATAATGATATTTTTTAAAATATTAGTCATAGTATGTTTATTTGCAGCCGAACTCTTTAAGAAATCAAACAATAAATAATAAAGATGATTTCAAAGTGAACATACTTAGAGATCGCTATGAACGTACTTGTCAAAAGGCATCAGCAATAAAATGTAATAACGCATGCAAATTTGCGTATGAAAGTACCTGCAACATTTATGACTGCAATAAAGGCGTGGTTAAATTTATATTTGTTCTATTGTTTGTGTAGATGTAGATATTAGAGAATAAGAATTTTAAATATAAACTAGCTGACCCAGAAAAGCTTTGCCCTGTTTAATTTAATTTTATTTTCTGTCATTATAGTAATTAATCAAAATAATTAATTAAATAGTAATAAATAAGTAACCATCATCGTTTTTATTTTCAGAAAGGAAAAAGAACTATCGGAAATATTGTAAAAAGCAATGTAAACTAGCGTATAAATCAAAGAATGGAAAAAAACATAGTTTCAGTTCTAAATCTGGTTCTAGTTCCAAATCTAGCTCTAGCAGTTCGAGCAATAGTGGATAGAGTGATGACAGCGTCTTCCTATCAAATAATTGAACACTTTACCAGGATAACGGATTATTTCATTAATGTTAGAATAAGAATTTAGTCGTGTTGGAATGTTACTCGATGAAATATGTACTCATTCGACAAATGTTTCTGAATGCCCCATAATATTTTTAAAACAAACAGTATAATTTTGTAGATTGGTTTTTTGAAGAACGTGATCGTATAAATATAAACATAAAGACTTTATTTAAAAAGTCAAAGAAGTTTTTGTTTTTTTAGCTGTGATTGTAATGTAAAGTCATTGACTTTTAGATAGAATGCCAGTGATGTTATTGTATAGATAAAATAATATTGTTACGGATCTTAATGAAAAGGACAAAGCAGTACATAGTATGTAAGTTCAATAACTTTTGGCGGTTTAAACAATCGTCATAATATAACATCAAGTATTGATTCAGTTAGCAAATAAATGGACAATGGAAATGGAGTGTAAAAAAATAACAATAAATTGCCTGAAGCTTAGGACAACCTGTATTATGAGAAACTAAGTAAAGAATATTTGGGGCCATAATACAAAACGTTCAAATCTGAGCTAATTTAGAAAACTTCGTTTTCCAATTCCATAATTAGAAATTGAACTCGGGACCTTATTAAGCAAAGAAACCATCTGAGGCTTCTGCACCAGCATATAGGTTGATAAAATTTGGCACGAAAAAGTTTATCCTGGACCATCAAGTTTACCTTGGTCCCTCAATACCGGTATTGCAGACTGACGAAAAGACGTATACCTAACAAAAAATATACTCACATAGTAGATCAGCTCCATACTCGCAGTTGGCTAAGTGGTCGAACATAGCAGTCAGTACGGGTAGGAGTACTCCATTGATATAGCCGAGCGATGTAGATGTTTTCAAGTGAGTGCCTCTGAGATGCGCGTATTTGCCCTGGTCAAAAAATTACAATTAGGACTAAAGAAGAAATTTTCCCTAGAGACTACAGCATAAGGTTCTTCAAAAAGAATGTATTAAGGTTTTTTTTAGGATCAGTAATGAGTGTGGTGTTATGAGCAGTCATAGACTAAGTAACTGTTTATCATCAGACGTAGGAAGGATGCGTTTGTTTGTCTGTATTTTAGATAAAACGTTCTAAATAGACATGGTATTAAGAAGTATTTTTACTTTTAAAGTAATTTACTACAGAACTCCACCTAATTAGATAATAAGTGATTAAAATTGAAGTTGAAGCTGCCATATTTATAGAGGTTTAAACTGTAAAGTTCTGGAAAATTGGGGGCTAAGAGAGAATTCCACTCCAAAGCTTTGCACATGAAATGAAATGAAAAAAATAGAAAAATGTCTCAAGAAGAAGGTTCTAATTTAAATTTAAATTTTTGTGTATATTACACGATCGTAAAGGTCGTTTTTTATAAGACATTTTTTTTTAATCTACAAAGATATAAAAGTATCTTACCTCTTGTAAGTTAAGGATGGTATGACCAAGATCATCAGCAACGTTATTGAAAAAAGTTAGCATGGAGGTCCTGATGAATTCGGGACAGTTCTTGACCAGAGATTTGGCGTCAATGCCCTTCACCAGTACTTGGAGACAGCGGACGGTAATCCGCACATCAGGGCCGAAGGCAGCTAATCTAAGAACATAATAATATTATTGTTAGAATAATATGTCATTTTAATAAACAAGTGAGAGACTATTTACATTTTATATCATCAAGCAGTGTACTCGCTTGGTGGTCGATTTTAAGAATGCAAATATGGTAGCTAAATTACTATCTATGTTTTTTTTTTGGCACCATTGTGGTACAAAAAAAGACGAGCAAATTCATAATTTATATCCAAAAAAATAGACTTCAATGAAATATTTAACAAGTGCTCATGTAGGTAAGTGCTGTTTTAATAATCACGTTCTTTCCTTAGATTTATTGTTAGAATCAGTCTTTGTAACATCTTGGTACGCTATGGTCCATTATTTTTATTTTTTATTATAATATACTAATTAAAATTACATGTAGTTATTCTATCAGCCGTTAACTGTCCACTGCTGAACATAGGCCTTCTTCATAAGAGGAGTTTTGCCAGTATTTGCCACGCTTGGCAGGAGTCGCAGTTAAGGTTTGATTATGTTTTAAGAGAGACGCTACGTATGGTAGTTTATGGGGGAGGCTTATGTTCAGTAGACAGATAATGGCTGATATCATGATGATGATGATGATGAAAGTGTTTTTAAATCTAGTTATTAACGATCTATGGCTAGCAAATACCTTGACCGTAGCAAGCTAGCCAACTTGCAGAACAGGGCTGCAACCATTTCCTTTTCCTTCAAACTGGCCGCACCGACATTATTAGTTGCCGTTGCAACAGCTATGAAGTAGTTGCGATGCGTTGAGAAATACTTTTCCATTAGAGGTAGGACCACCTGGAGCAAAATGAATGTTAAGGTGACAGTATATGGTATATTTCAGGTTGACGATGCAAATATGATAGCATGCTGTACATAATTAGGCACTAATTTGAAATAAGAACATTTATTTTAAATGTGTCTGTGGATCTGGGCATAGCGTTTCTTAGACTGATATTGGTTTTGGTACTAAAAGGACGTTTCAAATAGCGGATGGCAATTACTTCGATGTCTAAGTACATGCAGACGTATTTTGCGAGTTTATGGTATCATATGTACATGCGTTGCCTCCTATATTGTGTAAAATAGTGTTGCCTCATGATTGTTAGATTTCGACTATTAATCAATAACTAGAATTGTGCCCCAAAAATTTAATACTTGTACGTAATCGGTTATAAAATATAATATCGACACTGTAGGTTAATTGGATTAAATTAAGAGTAAATCGATAGATAATTTCGATATTTAAATTTTTGTAAATGAGCACTATCTATAATAGTTAATTCGATTATGAGGCAACACTATGTCAATGTTATTCGTGGATGATTTTTTTCAAAGAGTTTTTTTATGGATGAATACTATCTATTGTCGAGGTGGATTATATGTATTAGGTAAATGCACCGATTATATGAACGACCGTACATATAAATGGTGCATTACAAATAGTGGAGTACAATTTGTACTGTACAAATTAAAAATTTTAATTTAATAATTAATAATTAAGTAAAGGTGTAAGCAACTTTCAACCTATATTTTCTGCGTTTCATTTTAGACTCATATTTGTATATAATTTATGTGTGAATCTATACAGCAAAAAGCCACATATGCATAAGCAATGTTCTCCTCCATTCAGTTTCTTTATTTCTTATTCTAAATGAACATACAGATTTTTTGGTATTCAAGCAGTGTTTGTCGATTTGGTTGTACATCTAGCTAGATGCTAAGTTTTTTATAGAACATAAATTTAATATCTAGGCACATTTTAGGGTTCAATAATGCATACGTAAATTAGTCGATGAGAATGAATTTTAAAGATATGAACATCTATTTAATAATAGATCAATAATTTTACAAAATCTGCAATCCTAGTAATAAAGTATTTTTTTTATTATTATTATTATTTTATTATTTTTCATTAGTACACATATTTGTACTAATGAATAAATAAATAAATAAAAAATAAAGTACAGTAATACTGTTAAAAACATAAAATTTAAACTAAGGGTATATTTTCTGTCTAGCCTTCATAGACAACAGAATATTAATGTCACTACTTATTTTTTAAGAACATAAAATTCTTAAGTTTTTTTTATATGTATTTGAATGATAATTAAAACTAAAAAAAAAAAAATTAGTACAAAGGAATTCGAAGAATAATCAGAAGTATTGATCAGAGATATACATATATTTCAGTTAACGCAAGCACGTGAAAAAGAATAAGACGCTGATTGTTGCTGTCTTGTTCCATCATGATTTTCATTCTACACGTGGTATCGACTACGTATCTATTGATAGAATCGATTGCCACTTGTCTAAGTATCAAGATACGAGTATAAGGTATTCTAGTTTGGAAAATTATTAAGTATCTTTATGTCTACTATAGTCTACACAAATTACGTCGATATCGTCTCAGCAGATAGGAATTTATTTCCTGATATAATTTCTTCTAGGTATGTTTATATTACTCTAAATATTTATTTAAATAATTTTCTTATTTATAATGAGACTGTAAAAGTTTATTGAACCTTAAAAATGCTCAAGATAATGAAACAAAACAATTTTGTATTTATCCATTTTTAGTTTTTTTTTTTATTTTTTATGTAATGTATACGACATTGACTATGACTTTCAGGCAGTAAAGCTATCCAGTGAGCAGGTACCTTCTTGAAATATTTTAGTTCCGACTTGTTTTGCTTGCAACATTATAAGAAAACACATAAATATTTAAAACTAGCGATCCAGCCTGGCTTCGCATGGGCAGATAGAATTTTCAAAAATATTATGTAGTGTATGTAATTCGCTGATAATCTATTTTAATTATAATTCGTTAAATATATATAAATTAGTAATCTGTACAGGTGAAAGAATTTTTAAAATCGGCTTTATAGTTTTTGAGTTTATCTATTAAAAACAAACAATCAAATCTTTTTAGTATATTAATATAGTTTATAAGTATATTAAAAATGCAAGTATTATATTTTTTTATCTGTAGTTTTTAGGTTTTATATAATAAGTGAAATACATAATACTGTATGAAATCAAAATCTCTAAATTTTGTATTTTTGAAGGACAGATTCTTATCAATGGAAGTACTTTTCTCCCAAAGAAATACGAGGAAAAAAGTAATAAAAAACTAAAAAAACTTAGGGCCATAGTAGAAAATTTTATTGGGTAGAATGTACAGTTTCATTGATAGAACTATCTTTTAAAAGTCTGCTAATAGTTTCGATTTCACCTGTATAAATAAGTAAATTCTGTTTACTCATTTACCCCCTTATTCATAAAATCTAAAACCTTATAAATCTATTTTAAATATTTTGTCACTATCTTTCAACTTGGGAATTTAGTGAAATTGGAAATTTAGACAAACTAAATTAATTAATAAAATTATTTCCAATTTTAATTTTTCAATATTAACAGTTCAATAGCTAAAATAGATTTATGAGGGGTTTGACGTTTTTATAGATAAATGGGTTAAAAATGTAGTTAAACAATATTGATTCATATCTCATTAGTTAACAGACAAAACTGAATATTAACTTTATTAATGAGGACTGTAGTGGAATAGTAGTTTATCCTTTTGTTGATGGCGGGATCGATTCCCGTATAATACAAACATATTCATGTCTATCAATTGTCTAGTACCCACAGTACAAGTTCTACTTAATTTTGGACTAGATGGCACTGTGAAAGATACCTAATAGTATTTATTACTATTACTAAGTAATGAAAAATTCTAAAACTCACCTTAGAGAAGAACTTAATGTCTCTCGTACTAGTCTTGAAGCTAGTACGTCTGCTGAATGTCGTCGATGGCTTCAACAGTTTCATGTTGATAGTTGCCCTGTCTATGTACTGTATCAATTTCTCCAGTAACGAGTAAGCGAATCTGAGCTCTATTGCTACACCGGTAGTGGTCTGCTCTGTATCACTCTGTGTAGCTTTACTGGGCCTGTGGAGTTTGTATCCTTGGTATTGGAGATATTTGAGGAACTCCTGAGATCGTTCGCGGTCCTTCTTCTTCTCTTTGTCGGTGAGTAGGTCGTATGGTACTAGTTGTGGGTGGATACCACCTACAAAGAACGGTAATTACATATAAATAAATAATATGTATGGTGTTGACTGCGGTTGGCAATCCGCCTGCCAAGAGTGGCAACTACTGGCAAAACCCCGCAAGGGGGAGGCTTATGTTCACCAGTGGACGGTTAAGGTTAGATATGATGATGATAAAGTCTGTTTAAATGAACTACTATATAATTAAGATTGTGTTTCGCAAGAAAACAGACTTCAATTGTGACAAAACCAGTTATTCTAATTTAAAAACTAAACTACTGAACCGATTTTGATAAAATTTTTATGGGACCAACTAGTAACTATATTCTTTTAGATAAAAAAAAGAATTATCAAAATCGGTTTACAACTGACGAAGTTATGAGGTAACAAACAGAAAAATACAACCTAATCGAGAACATCCTTTTTTAAGTCGTTTAAAAAGTAAAATATAGGCATATTCTTCATTAAAAATATATATATCAATATTTAAAAAAAAACATATAAAATGTGTAGGAAGGAAATAGGAAATAAATGACTTATTTGATAATTGTCAATGTCCTTACCTCCATTAGTAACAAGTTCTTCCTTCTTCTTCTTCGCCCAAATATCATGGGCGTTTTCCGCCAACCTCTCTGCCATGTTTTGCATTTCTCTTGACAGCGTCAAGTTGGTCATATCCACGGGGTGTGGGTTGTAGTTGAACGGGGTTGCAGAGTCGGTCTGTGGGTATAGGGTTCCGTATTAAATATGGAATAAGTTTGACAAAATTTTTCAAGTTTGTTTTCATAAAAGATATAAAAAAAATGCAACGAGATCAATTAGCTACTATAATTTATTTAAATATTACTCCTTCCCTCTTACAAAAGGTAAGTAAGCGTATTTACATTAGTTATATTAGTTGCGTTTAGATTTAATTAGTTTATAATATATTCTTTTACATTTACAGAATAATTAAATATCGTGTGTCACAAATAAGAGACAGACTTCAATTTTAGACGAAACCAGTAATTATAATCTAAAAACTAAACTACGGAACTGATTTTTTATAAAATTTATATTGAACTAAACTGTAAGTATATTATTTCAGATAAAAAAGAATTTTCCAAATCGGTCTAGAACTGACGGAGTTATGAGGTAACAAACATAAAAAAAACAATCGAATTGAATATACATATATATATATATATATATATATATATATATATATATATATATATATATATATGTATATTAACATACTGTTCCTACAAAAGTGTATCAAAAATTAACATTCCTCAAATGTCTGAGTATAGATAGAAGGAAACTTATTCATTAATTAATCAAGGACAACATAAAACACGTGGTTACGTAGTAAAGATAATATGAGTACACAAAGTTTTATACACAGACCAAGTAATATTTATAAAAAAATGTAAGGAAAAATTATAATACAAGATAAATCTAAGAGTCACAACGGGGGATGCTCTACATATCATAAGGAGGAGAATACAAGGTAGCAGATTGGAATTTTTTAATTAAAATGACGTCACATATTATTAAGGTTTTATTATTAGTAGTATAATATATTAAATTAAATTTGCAGGGTTGCCAGATGCAATTTTTTAACAAAATTTTTTGTTCTCATAATCGATATAGAGCATTTTTATCCAATAACCAACATCTGTTTCGTATTTTAATTTGCTTTATCATGCCTAAGTGAACGACGAAGTAGAAGTAACTTCTTCTTCTTTTTAAAAAAAATCATTTATCCGAATTTTCAAAATTTTCGTCTGCTTGTTTTCCATGTTGCAGAAAAAAATACCCGATCTGGCAACCCTATCGAATTGTTATATAGTAAATTATTGGTATGAGTGTTGCCATTATTAAAAAACTTACCACAACATCGGGAGGTCGCTGGTACGGGTGCAGGGATATGAAAATAACATTACAATTTAACACATTCAATACTCGGTGGGTGTATGGGGTAGAGTGCATGAATAGGTGCACATGCGCATACAAAAAAGTGCAGTGTAATACAATGAGCTAAGGGATACCGGTTTCTCGGAATCTGCGTCCTGTTTGCGTGGAATTTATAAACTGTATGTGAATGGAACAGTTCTAATTTAGACAATGATAGTTGTGGTTTTTTTTTGGTATAAATACATCATTATATCATGATACCATGGACAACATAGTTTTGATCTTTATGGTGTCCCATACGGCATCATAGAGATCACAGAAAAAACTGAAAAAACCAATTCGGCTGTCAACTTTTTTGCTATTATAAGATTCATAAAAAACTATCAAGTATATCTCAAGATATTTTTTATGTAATTAATTCCGAACGGCAGTTCATTTTTATTTCACTAAGAAAAAAAAAACACTTTATTTTGTATTATCATTGTGACAAAATTACAGGCTGTGATTTTCATACGTAACAACACCTATATCACTTTCATTGCTTATTTATTATTGAATGTGAAATATGTATTTTTTTTTTATGACTAGTACAGTAAAGTCGGTTAACCGAGCGCAGCGATGACTCACAAATAATTTGAATGCAGCTATTTGTCATTTAAAGCTATTTTGTAGCAGTCTATGTGGAATGACAAATAGCAGGTTTGACCTACGATATTATATAGATATTACATAAATATTTCCAATGCTTCTTGTGAAATATTCCAAACGAAGTTTGTGTGCGTGAGTCTTTGTATGCGAGTGTACCTACGTGTGTGTGTATATGTGATGTAAAGGAGAATAGATACGTACGCCTCCAGATTTCGACTGCCTTCGCATGGAGCTGCGATTAGTGGTGGGAATATCCACCTCTGAATGTTCCACCGACCAGCCAATGGCCAGCAGAGCTTTCAGTGACTCTCGAACTGGTTCCTTGTAGCGCTCTTTCTCCTGTTCACACGGGAAAACATTCTTTAATAGGAATAGAAGAAGAGCATATATTCTATATTTATGTACGAGAAGAGATTTATTACTTTCTATTGGAAGAGATTTATTTACACAAGTTGGTAAACAAACAAGCTCAACAGATATAAAGTGGTAACTGTAATTTACAGTCGTGTCAATTGCAGTGCGGTCTTGGCATAGAATGGGGTAACTCTTCCTTTCTGATGGGAATCGTAAAAGGCGAAAAAGGGAACTTAATGAACGAGGGATGGGAAGCAACGCCCCTCTTAAAACATCACCAATAGCCTAACTGCGGTTGCCAATTAACCTGTAAAGCGTGGCAACTATTGTATATTTCCACAAATAATACATTGTATATTTCCATCTCCAAACGTTTTATCATCACCTTCCAGCTTTTATATACCAATTATTTGTGATCTGCGTAATATGATTTTATTGATATTAAACAAGAATTTAGCTTTTGTTGTTACAACCGGCTGCCTGCCTGACGTCAACCTTCCTTAGGAAGAGCAGAGGCTATTCTGCCTCCTAAAAACCACTTACATAATCGTTGAGCATGTTGTATGGCTTCAGACGCGGATGGGACTTTTGACTGTCCGACCAAGACTCGCCATATACCCAGCCATTCTCGATTTTTCTGAAACGTAATGCAATTATAAGAGTTGTTCTCAATAATACACCTATTTTCAAAAGAACTCTCACTTTCCCTCTCTCTAAATAATAATAAAGTATGCCATAAGGTCGCCATTGCCGTATGGTTTCGGCATAGAATAGGCCATCCCTTCCTTTCCCGTGAGTGTTGTAGGAGGCGTCTAAGAGAACATAGTGGTCGAGGGATGTGCAGCATCATCCCTCTTAAAACTTCACCAAAACCTAATTGTGGTGGCTAACCCGTCTGTCAAGTGTGGCAACTACTGGCAAAATCCTTTTTAGGGGAGGCCTATGTTCAGCAGTGGGAAGTTAACGGCTGATAAGATGACGATATCACAAGATGATTATTTGTAAAAAAAAATTTCGCAATGATTTCTAAAAAGATGGTTTAAAGATTTGCTAACAGTCTGTTAGCAATCTATTTTTTCGTGACGGATGTGGGTTCGAATCCTACTGCATCGAGTTGTTGGCATGTTAATTTTTCAATTTATATAAGACTTTCAATTGTAGGGATTTATTATTTATTCCTTATTGACCATATTTATCAAGAATATTGGATATAAAAAGTAGACCATTACTTACCTGGACGCCCACGCGTCGTGGTAATGTTCAGAGAACTTTTGGACGATGGTATTGAGGTCATTGTTCAGGGCGACCGATGACGTGTTGATTGGTTGCGGGTCGTATTGTGGGTTGTCTGGGCCACCTGTTATTGGATATTTTAAACTAAATATACAGTCACTTGTGATGATGCAGTTAAATATATAATCATCACTCTTTTTTAATTCGTAACGATGAACCATGTAATCCGAGTTCATTTAATCTAACAGCTAGTACCCTATTATAATAAGGAATAAGGAATCGTTAATAATGGAATCTATCAGCCCTTTTACTATCGGGATATACCCTGTCAAGTTAAACTCCATGCGGTTTCGCGAGAAAACTAACGTGGTTAATTGTTAAATACTTTATCATTGGCCAACTGGCCTGACTTCATCCTTACCTATAATACCTTACTGGCGCCCCGTTAGCGTTACCATTCCATTATCTATTATCACAGAGAACTAAGTATTGAAATTAAATTAACTTAAAAATTTATTTGCTTTGAACAGACATAATAAAGGCCGTATTAACAGAACTTTTTGGCATTTGTTTTATTACCTTGAAATTGTAGACATGCAAATATTAATGTGTTAATTAAATAAGGATATATAGTAGCACTAATATTGGCGATTATAAAGATTAAAGAAAAGATAAATTTAAATTAAACCAATTAATTTAGACGAATATAGGTACATGTCCAATGTAGTCAAGTAAAATTAATAATTACATTTGTCATAACAATAACAAATTACAACGTTGTTAACAAGTATTATTATATGTTGTGGTATATATTAGAAATGTAATTTTTTTAGACAACTTAGAATGGCAAACAAACCGATGGTCCACCTGATGGAAAGTGGTAACCGTCGCCTATAGACATGAGCAGTACCATGTACATAACAGAGTATACTGTTTCGCCCATGATACCTCCCATGCGTTGCCATTCCTGAGAACTCATGTGTTATTCCTCTGTACCCAGTAAATTCACGCCATATCCCACCCTTTAAACTGAAACACAGCCTTGCAAACACAACTGATTCACGGTAGAAACATGAATGGGACAGAGGTACTAAAGCAATCGACTTTTGTACAAAGTAAAATGCTAATGCTTACCAGTGGATTGAGTCTCTTTACCGTAGAACTCGTCGTCATAGTTCTTGGAGAGGGAGTAATCAGGCGGTAATGCGCAACCTGTAAAATAGAATTGATGTCACAAGTAAACTCAAATCTGTTTCTTCTTTCAGATCAGGCTGACTGGTAGAAAATGCTACTAGCATTAAGTCCACCTTTTATACCATATTTTCTAAGTTATTTAAAAGGAAAAAAAAACCTATCGTACATCTTTACAAATTTTTATGTTTACAGCAGAATGATGATAAATAGTATACGTACCTATGGCGATAAGACACGGCAGTGCTTTTCCAAAAAGTTCAGGCTCGTAGTCCATCTTGCTGAGGGAGTCAAAGATGTTCGAGAACAGCATCATTGTGAGACGCTTCTCCTCGTCTGATGACGCACCGTACAGACCCTGGCCGCCTGTGCTGCCGTAGTACTTCGCGCAACGCTCGTAATGTAACGTCAGCAACTGTGAAGTACATTTTGCTTCATAAAAAAGTAACTGCATTCGTGGCTGACATATCAAAGTATAACAAGATAGTTTGTACTAGTAGTAGTGTAGTTGATACTAGATTGGTTTTGTTTTACAAATACTTTTTTGAAAAATATTAACATAAAATTAATGTCAGACCAATATGGCAGTAAAATCCTTTAAATAAGAAAAATAAATAGTTCTTCGATTAGTCCTGCGCAGTAATTTTTGTCGCTAGGATCATCAGTTTATAAAAGAAGTTATAAGGAATCAGCTAGCAAACTAAACAAAAAAGCTAGTTTAGATCGATCCTACTTTAAAATCAAATGTAAGGAAAATATTAATGATAATTTACCAACTGATAGTATTCTTTTCATGATGTAACTGGGAATGTATTAGACCCGGATAGTAGAGAGATGTGGATTCGAATTCTACTGGCTCCTACGGAAGCCATTTTTTTTAAAGTAGGGTTCTCCATAGTTTCGTTAGGTTGGTTCGAAGCAGTTGTCTACTTCGAAGGCTAACTCACCCTCAAAGCGACAGTGGTATACTCAGACAGTCTGGAGACATCCACTGTGAGTTTTCTCAGGAGTTTGAGCAACATGGACGGCTGCATTGCTGATGTGAGTGCTACGAGGAAATCGGAGACTGCTTCACGTTGACCTTTGGTTAGCATTCGGTTCTTTGATAACCTGAATGTAAATTCTTTAATTTAGTAATTATTTCGACTTATGCATAAGATAATGTAATGGGATGTCGAGAGTTAACAATGAGCTCAAAAAGTCACGAATAAAAAAATATTTGGAATGTTTAAATTCAAGACGATTGAGTAGTTATAACGCCAGCAAGAGGTAATTAAGAACCAAACAAACAAATTCACTTTTACAATTATAATTTTAGAAATAATAGATAAAATGCTATCAAAGTATGTAACTGTTGACTGTAATTTTTTGATCTAAGACGAGAAATGACAATTCTGGGTTTTGAGACTATATTAAGAGGTTTGTTGTTCCAGATATTATTATGTTATAGAATTACAATATTATTTAAATTACCTATAGACGGTGTGTAGGGTGGCATCCAACAAGCTAGCATAATTCTCCGCTTCGTTGTAGAAGTTGGCGTGCTTGATTAGAAGGGGCAAGATCGAGTTGCCGATGTACCGGTTCATTGAAAGAGCCATGTCTGACTCGCAGCCATCGTTCTGGAAGTGCAGCTTGTAGTTAAAGATTGTGAGACTTTTGACGATCAAGCGTTTGAAATACTTGAATGTTAAAAGATCATGGATCTGCCTGACCGTGTCGTGATGGAGTAAGAGTACAATACTAATCCTTTTAATTTTAAGAATGTCGTAAGTGATGACAAAGAGAACAAGGTGAAATATATCAGTGCAGAAGAAGAAACAATTTAAGTAAAACTGGGCCTATAACTTCTTTCTATCAGGAACACTAAAACAGCAAAAATCATTGGAATGGACAATATGTTGTTAAGAATAAATAGGACCATGAAGTAGATCAATCAATCTATTAGTCTTTGTGCTAATGCTACCTCCAGTTTGAAAGTGCGGTCATTGGGATAAAGAATTGGATTATTTTGTAGTTTACAAACAATCGACTCGATCATTTTTCAGTTTATATGACATGGGTATTTCAGAACTTGAGTATTTATGAATGTAATAGACAATGTTTCCATCTATATACCTACTTACAGTGTAATAATTCCCAATCTAATGCACCAATAACTTTATAAATCGTACTCGCTAACATTCTCTTTTGATCACATATAGCTTTAGACCTCACATAGCACCTAGGTTATACTCACCCTATCTAACATCGTGGCAGCTCTTAAATCCGGCAAGAAAGCCTCTTCTAGTAGTCTGTAGAACAGCTCCTGTGTCTCGATGCCGTATACACGCTCCAAAAATAAGCCCACACTTTGCTTGTGACCCGGAATGAGACCAGATGGCATATCTGGGGATATCGATATCTTTAGTTATACAGGTGAAGTAGATATAACGACTATATTCAAAGGAAGAATACTTTTTCCAAAGAAATGTGAGTCAAAAAACGATATGAAATTTTAAGCATTCCAAAACTGAACGAGTTGTATTAGTATACTCAATATTTCTTATTGATTTCAACTTGTTTAGCAGAGTAAGACTTTGAACTAAAGTCGTTTTGTATTTCTGCCATGAAGTAGATGTAGATTCTGGGTTCTCGCTTGCATGGCTTTTTTGCTTGCATGACTTTTTATTAATTGGTCAGTTTGTTTGTCATTTTAAGTTGCATATATAATCTATTTATTAAAATTAGCAGATATGCTACAGAGGAATAATTTTATAAGTCTTACTATTTATTATTGTTACCTGATTTAGGTCTTTCTTCTCCGGCAGCCGGATTATTGAGAGTAAATCTCAAGCTGAGTACACCTTGGAGATCTTCTAGAGGTACCAGAGAACGCAGGATGGCTCGAGCTCTGAGCGACTCATTTTTACCCTGGTGATAAATTAATATTATGAAGAACATGAATAGTGGTAGACTTGGCATGAGTACATTGAAATTATAAATAATAAAGTAGATGGATACAGGAGGAAAAGAAGAAGGATAGAGAATAAAAAAGATGATTGACCTGTGTGATAGAAGATATTATAATTGTTTGTAGCAGATATTCAAAAGTTGAGTTATCTGTCTGTCCTGGAATCAGTGTAATATTTACGATAGAATATGTTTCATAGTTTCGCTTCTCCCGTTACTTTATAAGCAATTTTATATTCCTTTGATAGCCACTTTCTGTATACTTACCAGAGCAATAACACCAGCATCAGGGGCACATCTTCCAAGCAGATCTACAAGGGTACAGTAGAAATTGAGTATTGCTGCACCTGTATCTATATAATCTTCATCGTCATCTGATTCGGGCAGTGGGTGGCTGAACTGAAAGTAAATTAGGGAATATTACTTGTATTTTATGATCTTTATTTCTAGCGTATTTAAGAGTATTTTTGGAGCGTCCGGACTCCTTAAAAAAAGACGCATGTATTTTTTTAGATATATTTTTGTGCATAGTTTAAAACTTTACTCGCGCTAGATAATTCTAGGGAGGGCACCAACCAGGCTTAAAGACATCAATAATCATTATTATTTACTGCAATGCAATTTATATGCACTAATTATGCCTCCGATCTCCTTAATTTCTGATAACCTACACTTAATTCTACGAAACTTCATAAAAAGTATGCGCTCAAGCTGTATGTTATGATTCACTTAAGTTATATGGTACTATTATTCTCTCATTCTCTTTCTATATACAAATTTGATAAACTTTTTATTTTTTATCTAATTCTAATAAAACATACATTATACAAAAAGTTTTTTATCGGTTTTAAAATTTCCTTGAAATCCGTTCAACTATTTACTTGTACTGACGTAACAAAGTGGGGATAATCATTATAAAAATGACTAAATTGCATTGCATATTTATGGCCTGCCTAGCAAATTTAAAGTGTCTAATACCTTTGAAGCTCATGATTTTTGATAATGTAAACTTCTTCAAAGGTACTCAACTTTATTATGTATTCTCAGAAAATACTCACATTAACATCTCCTTCTTGTTCCATCTCTCTCAGTTTTCGTCTATCGGCGATCCTCTCACTCATCTTGTTAGCATCTACGATCGCCTTCAATAGGCCCTCGCCTTCGCCTCTCAGAGCTGGACCGAGACATTCCGGCCGCCGGATCAGCAGACGGATCACTAAGTTGGCGTTCTCTTCCACACTTTCACCGTTGACCTAATATAGCGAAATTAGGGGAAGAATATTAATTATGTAGATTATGGACCACCATTGCAGGTCAAGTTGCGATCCGCCCTGGAAATTATAGTAGTTAATTCTTAGTGAATGCACCTTGTGGGCCCGAATAACCAGCCTTTTTCCTAACTTATCGTCTTTTTATGTTTTCCTGCCAATGTATATAATAATGGCTCGGTGGACTTCGAAAGCGAATCCGGGTCCTCAACATTATGGCGCGGCGAGGGATGCCGTGGTGGTTTTAGCCGGTAGGAGTCCGGCAGGACCCATATACCTCCCCTGGGGCATATGGATCTGCGTGATGCATTTCCCCACGATAAAAAAAAAGTGTAATAATAATAGTACTAGTAGAGTCACCACTCCATTTTCATCAATAAAAAACGACAATGAAATGTAGTGAAGTGAAAAACACGTACCCATACGCAGAACCGCAAGAAGTCAAGATAGCGTTCTCCTTCCACGGGGTCCCAACCAAGATCAGGATAACCCTTCTCCACCAGTTCGGAATTACTTTGCAGCCCACAGCGAGAGAGGTATACCGCGATCTTTTCCAAATAATGTTCTCTGTAAATCCAAATAAATCGTTTTCAAATATTACTTGTTAATCCTGTTACCTTTGTACTTCAACTCTTACAATTAAGCAAGGAATTGTTATTAATTTCTTGGAGGATCTTTGTAAAGCATACCTTAAAGCTAAAGCCAGCTCAGTGTTCTCCATAAGACTGGAGTAAGCCACGTCTAGAGGCGTGGAGCCTCGCAGCGAGGGTCGGGACAGAAGAATGTTCGAGTTTTCTAGAAGGAAGTCGAAATGGTCGAACATAGCCTTCTGGTTCTGTCTGCCTGTGCGGCAGAAGTAACAGAGGAAGCGACAGCAAGCTACCACCATCTCATGAGATGTATCCTGTAGGTGCGAGAAAATACATAATTAGTTACCTACCTGCAAAAGAGGGTTTTTTATGCAATTTAAAAAAATAAACAAGTGGCTGGACATCACGTGATGGCAATAAAACCATCGCTTTTAGATATGAACAATATCATGGACAACACAAAAAATACGTGATGCGCATGTAATTCGTCATGCTTCATTTATAAGAAGTATGGTATTATCCCTTCATACTTTGTAATTTTATTACCATATTCCACCATTCAAATCAAAAGAGTTATGCAAGCGTAACTGCTTCACATCAACAACAAGAGTTCGAAAACATGAGAAGTCATTTCTCTGTTCACATATTAAGACTCGTATGAGAAAAAAGACCGGAACATCTGATGAAAAATGCGTGCGGTAATGAAAACGTACCTATTGGTAGATTGGTTAGCTATGAGGGATATCTATGGGGGAAGGCTATCAAGGGTCCTGTATACCTTCTCCTTATCTTCAGGCGTGGGAGGCGAGGCCGGTGCAGCATCAGACTGCGCCTGCGCGCGACGTCCCAGTGTGTTCATCATCACAGCCATTACGTTCTCGTGGACTCGTAGAACTCTGCAGATCAAATGTTCAAAGATTGTTAATTAGGTATCTTTGATACAAATGATTAGGTATATTTAAAATAGCAACTGTTATTTATTAGGTAGGTGTATTGGTTACTTCTGGTTTTTATGTTATATATTTATTTATAACTACATAGTATAAAACGAAGTCACTTCCCGTATATATGTCCCTATGTATGCTTACATCTTTAAATCTACGTAACGGATTTTGACGCGGATTTTTAAAAGATAGAGTAGTTCAAGAGGAAAGTTTATATGTATAATACGAGGTTTGTCCGGAAAGTACGTATAAAAGTTTTTTAAAAATTTTATTTTACAATTATTCAGGTAAATCAATTTTATCCCCTTCAAAGTACTCCCCCTGTGACATAATGCACTTGTGCCAACGCCGTTTCCACTGTGAGAAGGCTCCTTGAAAGTCCTCTGGTTGTAGGTTTCTCAGCTGCCCCGTCGTAGCTTTTTTTATCTCATTTATGTCCCCCAAATGCCGCCCCCGAAGTACCAATTTGGTTTTTGGGAACAAGAAGAAGTCACACGGGGCCAAATCCGGCGAATAGGGGGGTGTTCGGTCACCGTAATGGAATTTTTACTCAAAAACTCACGGACAACAAGAGAGGTGTGGGCAGGGGCATTGTCGTGGTGAAGAATCCAACGCCCCTCTCGCGCCAATTCTGGACGAACTCGTGCCACACGAGCTTTGAGGCGTCTGAGTACATCGACGTAGAATTTTCCATCAACTGTCTGGCCTGGAGGGACGAATTCTTGATGGACAATCCCCCGAACATCGAAAAAAACAATCAACATTGTCTTGACATTTGAGCGGGATTTTCTTGATTTTTTTGTTCGTGGTTCCCCGGATGTCTTATCGAATTAGATCGGCAAAAATTTCACGGCCATTCTTGCCGAGTTTCGAGAGAAACTTGATTACGACGCGCTGCTCTTCAACGGAAGCGGGCTCCATGCCGACGGGGTTTCGTTAAGAGGTAACTTCACAGATGGCGTGACAAGCCAGTTCGCACCGCACGGCGGTCAGACCAGAACTGAAGCATTGTTAGGGACATAAGGAAGGGGTCCTGCGCTTACCTGGCCTCCCCACTCCTCTTTCTCGCATTCCAGAACACTTTTATACGAACTTTCCGGACAGACCTCGTATAGTAGAGAAACACTGATAATTTTAGAAGTTTCTAATGTGATGTGATGCGCAGTCGTGTGAAGCAGGGGCGAGTCGCTAGTTAAAACTAAAGATATATTACAAACGCACTTACCGTATCAAATCAGGATGTTGGAAGAAGGTATGGTTGTTCACAAGTTTCCTGGAGAAGAAGATATTAATTTTAGAGACAATAAAATTTACCAATATTGAGAAACTTACGAATCAAATAAAAGATAGGTACACGTATATTAGAAACCAAAGACAAATACTAATGATATTTACACAGACAGTCACCGAGTATGTACGATTTATGTATGTAGATATTATCGTCTTACACTTTTCTGCGGTGAAGTTGTCAAAAGAAGTATAATATGAATTGAATACTATGGATGGCACATTATGGTCTAAGCCATTCTTGTATCAGATTATCATTATGTTAAAGTGGTGCACTCTGGTGTTTAGAGTATCTGTCTATCTATCGTAGCTTATCGGATGATAGCTTTACGTATCCTTCGAAGGAAAAAGCAAGTAACAATAATTTTTAAACAGGCTGATAGCTTGTTTACCATTTGGATCAGCATAGAAACAATAAACAATTACCAGAGCCTCTTTCTCATTAATTCCTCTTCCTCTTGACTCATCTGCACCGGTAGTAATGCTCGAATCTGGCTCAACCCCACCCACATTTCGGCGACGTCTTGTTTTGTCTTCGCATTGATGACATATGTCTTCTCTAGAGCTCTGATTAGTTCTCCAACAGCATCGTATTGCCGGACAAGAAGACTGGAAGATTTTTTTTATAATAATATCATTAGCGCTTTCAATAACAGTTATAGAGGAATATTTTTATAGTTGAGAATTCTTGCCCCCAAGTAGTTGCATTACAAGTCTTTGCGTGGCCGTGTTCTTGTTTGAAAAGTGGTATGAGTGATATGGCTATCAATCAATCAATCATCATCATCAATGTCAATCAATAATTTGTTTGTATTTTAATAAGCATACTCTAGTCTTTATGAAGGGCAACCCATAAGGCCACTTGTGATGTACTATTATCGATAACGTTGTTGTTTAAATAAATTTAATTTAATTCATACCTGAACATCTCTCTGACCAATTTGGGCGTTTCGATTTGCGATTCCTCCGCCCAATTCACGATGGTTTGGATCAGGACTTTACGGAACTTCTCCTCTGGTGTTTTTTTAGGTGGTTCTTCTATAGCCTAAAGATTAAAGGTTAAAGAGCATTTACTGATAGTAGACTTTTAAAATTCAAATGTGTTGTTTGGTACAAATAGTGAAATAAAGACATAATGGCTGCGATTTTGTTTTGATTTTAAGAACTAGAAACCTACAGCAATCTTAAATTTAACAGTAGCAATTTTAATTTTTAATTTTTTAATATGACGTTTAATGTGGATAGCATGTGATACTGTAAATCTGACAATTGTTGTTTTATTCTATCAGGAAGGTTTACCTTTGTAAGTAGTAAAAAAAAAAGATACATAAAGCAAAATTGGGTGGTTGAAAGTCCCAATTTTTGTCTGTTTGAATGTCTTCGCATCCGGAATACATCCATGAGATAAGTTTAAAAAAGTAAATAAAGCGAGAAACATACTCGTAGGTAAGGATAGATGACATTAGTATTCGATTCTCTTTGCTTACCTTCAAAAGATATAGAGTACAGATAGCTCAATCAACTTATACTCAAATATATATCCTAGCTATTGGTATTGGACTTGATTAAATAAGAGAATATTTGTACGAGGTATCTATGACATCAAAAATATTATAGATAGGGGCAAGACTTTTGTTTAGTAATGGAACATATTTTATTAAGGAAGGAAGGAGGTTGTTACTTACTTTGGGTTCTTCCTCTAGCTCTTTAACAGTATTTATGATATTGTACAATTTTCCAATCGCTCCCGGTTTTGCTTCTGGTTCTGTGGACTCCTGTACATAAAATATATTTTGTAAGAATAATTCCGGGATAACTATTCAATCACGAATTAAAATTAAACAGATAGTGCAACTATATGTATTTCGTTTTTTTTTTATACCACTGAGGTGGCAAACAAGCATACGGCCCACCTGATGGTAAGTGGTTACCGTAGCCTAAGAACACCTGCAATATCAAAGGTATTACGCGTGCGTTGCCGACCCTGAAGAAACCTCTTTACCTCCCTTTTGAAGAACCCCATGCTGTAGTCTCTTGGGAAAACCTCAGCAAGGAGCTCATTCCACAATCTGAGTGTTCGTAGGAGGAAACATCTCTGAAACCATGCAGTACGCAACCACTGAGGCTGTAGGACATGAGGATGAACTCCCTGTCGATAGCGAGCCGTACGATGGTAGAAAGTGGCTGTGGGCATCAATTATTTGTGCATCATTCACGCATAATTCGTGCGTTTATTTATGTCATCTAAATAAAAAATACTTCTTTCTCTAGTCAACTTTTAATTCCGATTTATTGAAATTGATCTTTAATTCAGTGTGGCAACCCTAGGCAACTAACCGTAGGTTCTGGCTCCTGTAGTGCGCTGAGAGAGACATGTGCCATGAGGCTCTCGTGGAATTCCATCATCTGTGTGATCAGCTCTTCACCGCATGGACAGTTCTCTTTGTCCTCCTCTTCCAAATGCTTAAAACCTGGTGCAAATAATATGTTTTATAGTTTTTTTTTTAATTAAAGTAATACCAGTAATTATGAATGTTACAATGACGTCGGTATTTGTTTTTCATTTCAAATTGTCACTTCCCATAAAATCGTATAATATCATGCCGTATGCAATATTTTCAATAAACTTAAAAAAAAGGAGTAGCTCCTTAATTCGGTGATATTTTTTATGTTCGCTATACTTCATATCTCTGCTAGTTTAAACAAATTTGAAAAATTCTTTTTTTATCTAAAAAAAAAATAGTTTCAAACTTATCTCATAGAAATTCTATCAAAATTAGTTCTGATAAATTAAAATAAATTATTTTGCCATGATTGAAGTAGTTTTTTTTGTGGAATATAATTCCCGATTACTTAAACCATTAAATAATATTTATTAGTGACAATAATTACCTTTTAGAGCGAAGTCGGTACTTATACTATTCTTTTTCTTATTTTAAATTTTTAATCAATCAAAAACAAATTGTGATTTGTTTATGATTTCTTACACACATATAATTAAATTTCTTTTTGAACTCGGTTGAAAATAAAAGAATAGAGTCGCTTACTGAGTATAGCGTTCATCTGCTCCCGTGGCGGACAACGGAACTCCCTCGTCTTTTTGGCTGCGACTGCACTTGGTAAGTCGGATTGCTTGATCTCTGTGTAACGTCTGAAATGAATTGAGGTTTAATGGCATCATACAATTTGACAAACACATTAAATAATTCATTTGATGATGATGATATCAGTCGTTAACTGTCCACTGTTGAACATAGGTCTCCCCCTTGTGGGGTTTTACAAAATTTTGGAACGCTGCTGAATTTCATTTATTTACTTCTGTTTAAAGTTGTTTTTATATAACTTAGAATGGCAAACAAGCTGACGGCCCAACTGATGGAAAGTGGTAACCGTCGCTTATAGATATGAGCAGTACCTTGGACATGACAGAGTATACTGTTTCGCCCATGATACCCACCATGCGTTGCCATTCCTGAGGACTCAGGTGTTATTCCTCTGTACCCTGTAAATTCACGCCATTCCCACCCTTCAAACCGAAACACAGCCATGCACACACAACTGCTTTACGGTTGAAATACGAATGGGACAGAGGTACCCAATAAACGACTTTTGTACAAAATCTCCCTCTGGTGACGTATTTAAAGTATTTAATGATGGAATAATTATCATTATATAAATGAAAATGAAAATGAAAAATACAACTCATACAAATCATACAACCTCAACGTAATACCACTAGGGGGAAAGGATTGTTAGAAATTGCCCCAATACTAGCAATATATCCTCTCAGGTCGACCTCCACGTGGTTCCCCCTGAAAACCGTCGTAGTTAATTCTATTTGAATTCGTCAGGATGGGCTAACTGATCTACTTGCATCCTCACCTATCATGTCCTACTGGTGACCCGCCAGTGTATACCGATAGCTCAGGCGGGGTATCATTACCACCTATTAAAAAAACATAATTCCACATATATCACCCGTTCCCGGGTATGACGGCAATGGCCTTCAGTAAACATACCTCAACTGATCAGTCTGTAAGTCACCAACGAAGTCATGAGCAAATGCAATGATGGATTCCACTCTGTGCCGCAGTTGTATGTCGTTCAGGTGTTGAAGTAAGTAGCACATCTGGAGCTTCGCCCCTTCGGCCATTTTCATGTGGAGCAGACCTTTCCTGTTTTCATCTTTTCCTTCTGTAAGTTTTAATTTCTTTTATGTAATATAGAATGACAAACAAAATTATGGCCCATCTGATAGGGGGTGGAGGGAGGAAGGCACAGTTTGTATGAAATATAAATGCCTAAATATGGCAGGTAGATCTCAAGCTGATCTCCATTCATGTAGTGGATTTTATGTATTAAATAAATTGACGAAAATTTATTTGATATGAATTCCACCTGATGGAAAGTGGCCTATTGACATTAACAGCACCATGGACATAATAGAGCATACTGTATCGTCCACGATACACTTCAAGCGTTGCCATTCCTGAGAAGTAAGGTGTTATGCCTTTGTAGACTGTAATTTCATTGCCATATCCCATCCTTCAAACTGGTACCGCTTCGATATCTATATATTGAATTACTTTAAATATTGATGTGTCAAGAAAAAGGTCATCATCTATTTCAATACCGACATACCAGTCATTTTGATCGGATTATTCATTTAGGTGAGACAGGGATTATTAGTAATTGGGCCTAACTGACCTATTGCTAGCAATACACCTTATCAGGTCGACCTCCAAGCGGTTCCCCCAGGAAATCATCGTGTTTAATTCTGGTGGAATTCGTCATGATGGGCTAACGGATTTGCTTTCATAGTCACCAATCATCTCTCATTGGTGCCTTGCCAGCGTATACCGATAGCGCGGACGAGGTTACCATTCTAGTATCACCCATTAAAAAACCTACATTTAATATAACCGAGCAAAAGAGGAAGAGAAAGACCGAGAAATGGGAGAGATAAAAGAAACACTAGGTGTCATGTCGTATAGGGAAGTCAAGGATATGGCCTGAGATAGAACTGGCTGGAAGAAGATGCATGAATTAGTTGCACTGACAAGAGGAAACTCTTAAATGAAAAGAGAATATAATCGTTAACGAGCCGATATATAGATATTGTAACTACAAAATATTGCTGTATATTATGAAGTCCTACTCTGAAATCTACCATATCATTACCATTGTCATTATCATATCAGCCGTTATCTGTCCACTGCTGAACATATGCTGCCTCCATAGACTGCCATAAGGAATGGGAGCATTCCTTATTGTAATTTATCATTGGAGGGATTTTGCTAGTAGTGTAGTCAAATTGGAAACTGCAGTTTGGTTTTTGGTTTTAAGAGAGAAGTTGCTGTCTATCTCTTAACCTTTGAGTTCCCTTAGTCGCCTATTACGACACCCACGGGAAATAAAGGGGTAACCTGTTCTATGCCGGGATCATACGACAGACCCTGAGGTCTTTATATAGGGATATTTTTTATGCATAAAGATTGCGTGGTGTATCAATTTATGGTGGAGAATATTGCTAGCTAAAGGTAAAAATTCCAATTCCTCTCTATATATCTGCATAGTACACCACTGAGCCAGGACATTCTCAGCTAGTTTTTTTTATACTACTATGGTAGCAAACAATCATACGGCCCGTCTGATGGTGAACAGGGTTACTGTAGTCTATGGACGCTGGTAACACCATAGATCACGTCATGGTCACGCGCACATTTCAGACTCTTAAGAAACCTTAATACGCCCTTTTTGATGGCATGCTGTAATCTCTGGGGAATTTATATTTAGTTGTAAATAAATAGTAAAAACCTTTGTCAAAGGTAGGGTCCCAGGTCTCAGGATTAATCATAATGAGGAGTTTCTCCACGTCTTCGTCTCGCATCATGCCCACTAGTAGTAAACGATCCACCAGTTTTATAAGAGGTCTGAAACAATACATGTGTTGTATACTAAGTACTTATACATTCTTTATGCAATTCCGAATGGCAAATAAGCAGACGGTTCACCTGATGAAAAGTGGCAGCTGTCGCCTATAAACAAGAACCGCACCATGGACTTCATAGAATACACGATGATGCTTTTAGTTTCGTTGTGTTGCTATATTTGAGGACTGAGTGAGTGAGATGAGTGACTGATTGATATTTACGTACCCTGGAATATATACCAGCTTCAAAACCAATATAGCTATGCAAAAACCATTGTTTCACGACAAAAACACAAGTAGGGCAGTTTCAATAATTCTAGAACAAGTATAATAAATATTCTACCTAATCATTTGGTGAGAACAATAAGGAGTATGTAGTACGTAGTAGTAGTATGTTCATACATAAAATGTAACACAGTATTGTCCAGTATCATCATAATTATATCAGCCTTTAACTGTTCACTGCTGAACATAAGCCGTTCTCACAAGGTGAGTTTTGCCAGTAGTTGCCAAATTTGGCAGGCGGGTTAGCACCCCAGTTAGACTTTTAGAATTGTTTTAAGAGGGACGCTGCTGTCCATCCCTCTATCATAAAATCGCCTCTTACGATACTCACAAGAAAGAGAGTGGGGGCCCATTCTATGCTGAGACCAGACGGCCATACTCCAGTATACTTAAATATAATTGGGAATGGACAATTATAAGATAGATCTTATAATGGTGCTTACAGGAACAAGTTCTCATTGCTGCCTCCCACTGGATCTCTGTTATGGACTTGATTGGTCTCCACAGCTTCGGCCAATGCCTGCATTACAAACTCCCTCACTACCTCCAACGGGAAGTAGGGGGAGTAGAGGTTGCTAATGTCATTTATGCTGTCTCTGTAATTAAAAACTTAAAATCATTTATGTATCTTCATCTATCTTCTTTTCACTTAGTTTATTTAAGACATGATAAGAGTATAAAAAACCTGATTTGTTATCCCTCTTGTGGGTTAAGTCTGTCTCTTATATCGGAAGCTATGGTTTAAAAAGTTTATTATAATATTTTAAGCGACCTAATTTAGCTGTCTTGCAAATTATTACGAAAATCATAAATAACTAGCTCGATTCTACAATATCATCATCATCAATCATCATGACTACTCTTGTAATGCAGTAATAGAGACTAAGGTTTATTGCGAGCAATATACCCTGTCAGGTCATGGAAATCATTGTGCTGAATTCCAAGTGTCTTAATCACGGTGGACTAACTGACCTGCCTTTTTCATTCTCACCTGTCATCCCTCACTGGTGTTTCGCCAGCGTATACCGTTAGAGCAGGCGGTGTTACCATTCTATTATTGTTCATTAAATATAACTAATGAGCATCAAAGATCTCTGACATAAAATACATAATAATGCTTTATTTACTTTCATTACACATATGCATGTATGCCAGTTCAAGAGACACTGAAGTGACGCTCATAGACAGAGTGACGTTTTTTTCATCATAAAACCTATCATGAAGCGATCGAATGAACGAGACCTTACAATTTTAACAGTATTTCTTTCGTGATTCCGAAGCACAGTTTGTGGAAAGCAAGCTAATATTGCAGATATACGTACTTCTGCGAATGCCAAGGCATGTTTTTTTTTATACCAATGAGGTGGCAAACTAGCATATAGTCCACCTAATGGTAAGCGGTAACCGTAGTCTATGAACGCTTGCAATATCAGAGGTTATTACGCCCGATGCTAATCCTAAAGAAACATCTTTATCCCTTTTTTGAAGATAATCAGGCATGTATGTGCCGAGTCTTTGAAAACTATAAAAATTGTGATGAAAGTTTACTAACGTGATATCAGTCATCTTCATCTGCGGACGGACACTCTCAGTCTGCAATGAGCGCAGAGAATGCCCCATCTCTGGATCTTCGTATAGAGCCTTCAGTTCTGGCCCCAGGGGGATTACAAACTCGTTCTTGCATGTTTCCCTGTAAAAAGTAGATCATGTGCTATTTGTTTTACTAAATCACTGACAGTTATACTTGAGAATCTTAATACTTCATTTTATTTTTTACAAGTAATAAATTTTTTTTCATTTTAACCTATGTGAGAGGTAAGAAAGGCTGATGGTAAGTTGTCTCAAGGCAACTTGTGACATTTTTGCTCTGGTTTTTTCTGGAATAATTTAACACTACTGATGACTACACAATTTTGCCCCAAGTAGCATAGATTGCTGTGATTCTATAAAGCTATCATTTTGTTATTTCAAAATTAGAATCACACTCTTCGTCAAAGAACCGACAATGCATGGGGAAGAAAGATTCTTGAATGACGACCCCGTACGCCCGTGCGCGCCGTAATGCAATGTTGTAGGACCCCCTCTAAATGGGAGCGACATCCTCAAATGCATTGCAAATATTCAGTGAATGCAGGTGGCTCAAAACCGTTCCTTATGATAGTCTATAGGCAACGCCTATGTCTAACAGTGGATGGATAATGGTTGAAATTTTGATAATGGTTCACACTCTTAAATTATTAAAATATAACCTTCTTTTAAAGTCTGGTGCCACCTTTTCTTTTATAGAGATGATACCAATAATACGATGATAGCGAGGATAAAATACTTACATTGTGGTGGCGTGAGACTCCAAGTGTAGAGCGATGAGGAGATCATAGAAGCCCTGTCGTAACGGACCTGACATATACTGAGACTGGATTGCGTACAGTAGTTGTTTCTGATCCACGTGCTGGCATAATGCGTGAGCAGCCCTAAAAATTACATTAACAATTACATTTTGTTCGCTAATTCGAGCAAGTATGCATGATTCTCAGACGTAGGACAACCAATGAAATAGTGGTATATTTCTTTTTGATGGCGTATCAAGAAATATTTTTATTATGATATAATATATGGTTTAGAGCAGGAGTGGCCAACAGGTCGATCGCGACTATTAGTCGAGTCGATCGTGGCAAGGCGAAAAATATAATATGTTTATAATATAAAAATAATTTTCAGTTTTATGTTTTCCCTCTTAATAAAATAAAAAATACTGGTAGTAGTAGTAGTATTGTACTACATAAATATGTGAAATATGTTGTTTCATTTGAGATTTCAAGAAGTATATGACTGGTATAGGATTTCGTCAGTAAACAGTAGATCTTGCGTCTAGTCAAGTTGGCCATCTTGGTTTAGTCTTTAGGATTTTCCCATTCATTAACGTGAACTATAAATAGTCCATTTATAATATAGCTAAGCATGCTTTTTTCATACAGAACATATCACCCCTTACATCTAAAAGCTTTAGGACGAGGTTGTTATACATATATAACTAAAAAATATATATTTTTTACCTGTAATTACTCTGGTAGCAGAGAGCAGCGTACAGCGTGAGTGTATGCGAGTGGAAACTCAATAACTTGTCCATTTCGATCAGTTCCAAGATATCTATGCAACGGTCCTCCTCTGGAAACGTTAGTTATTGCCGTAAAACTACAAGATCCAGTAAGAGATCTACCAGGTGGAGACCTAGTAAAAAGTTATCAGATTTTTTTATACAACTTAGAATGGCAATCAAGCTGACGGCCCACCTGATGGAAATTGGTAATCGTCGCCTATAGACATGGCGTCGCCCATGGACATAATAGAATATACTGTTTCACCCATGATACCCCCATGCGTTACCTTTTCTGAGGATTGAAGTATTATACCTCTATACTCTATGAATTTACTCCCATTTCTCACCCTTCAAACCGAAACACAGCCATGCAAACAACTGTTTCACGGTTTAAAACCCGAATGGGACAGAGGCAACCAAGCAAACGATTTTTGTACAAAGTCTCCCTATGGTAATGTTTTAAGGATTATATATATTATCATTTTCATACCTGGTATATGTAAGGCTAGCATAGATATAGCATCTTCACATAGCATTGACCAACCGCGGATGTCTGATAATTTCAGAGCATGCACTTGGAGGGATTGATTTGGTACCTGAAAAAGACAGACATTTGAATTGACAATTAAGAATAGAATAGAATAGAATAGAAATCATTTATTCAAATAAACTTACATTGAAGCACTTTTGAAAAGTCATTACATTTTTTTTAATTTACCGCTCGTTCGGAAAGCTGTCTCATCACAAGAAGAACGAGCAAGAAACTTGCGTGATGCTCTTTTAAATAATTTTATTATTATTTTACATTTTTAAGTTTAATTGTGTGAATACAAACCACCAATTAGCACTAATTCAATTAAATACTCAAAAAGAAAAAAAAATTGAATACATAACCAACTGGTTAAACAATTAATAAGAGGAAATCAGTCATAGTGATTAGAGCAGACCAGTCCCTACAAGCAGCACCCGTTCACGAGTATGACGGATGAGCCAGCCATCACTGCGCTCGACCATATTTTAGGGAGCCCAATGACCCGGCCCACCACGCCGCCACAAGTCTGGACATTTTAGTGAGCATGACTACTCAAAACACTAGACCACGTCAAAGCTACTCACAATTGCCATCTGATAGTTATAGTATTCACATTTTACATAAGAATGCATGCGGCAATTAATACAAAAAACCGCTACGCTTTCATATTTCTAAAATTAATCAATTAAATCAAGAAAGCAATGAAAAAAAAAAATTATAACGTTGTATGCTAATAAACTAATTATTTACTTGATATGTTGTCATCTATAAATTCGTCTATCCTGTAATAGGCTTTCTTACATAAAAATTGTTTAATATAAGATTTGAATTGCCTCTCTGTCAGATTTAATGCAGATTCCGGCAGTTTATTATAAAATCTTATGCAATTACCATAGAATGAATTACTGATTTTGTGCAGACGGCATTTAGGTAAAATAAGCTTATTTATATTGCGTAAGTTTCTACTTGTACAGTCTTTGAGTTTTTTAAAACTCGCTAAGTTCTTCCGTGTATACATAATATTTTCATAAATGTATTGTGAAGTAACTGTGAGGATATTTGAGTCTTTAAAGCACTGACGTAATGACTCTAGTATAAGACATTTTGAGTAACATAAAAATATCTAGCTTCTTATGGGTTACACACAAATAATTTGGCTTTTAGAAGATGGGAGTTAATGCCATCATTAGGGTTTCCCTTTAAAAAAGTCAGCTCGTCACCGAGGCTGGTATAACCTGGTTGACACATCGAGATAATGTTACAAATTATATTTGACCTAAATGAATTAATTACCATTTAGTAAATTATATGTTTAATTCGATTTTAGTGTGTCCACATTGGTGGTGGCTTTGTGGGCCGGGTCATTGGGCTCCCTATAATATGGTTGAACACAACGATGGCTAGCTCATCCGTCATACTCGTGAACGGATGCTTCTAGGGACTGGTCTGTCCAATAAGTTCATAATGCTTATTATTAAATGTACTTGAATAAAAATTATTTATTTATTTATAGTGTCTGCAAGTTACTTACTCTGGCCCATTGGTGAGGTTTGAGGCATTGAATCTTCAACCTTGGCGGGAACTGCGGTATGACGTGTTTGTCACTAGTTGGCAACACGGCTGCACTGAGAGGTAAACTAGTGCTCGATCTTCCGAGTTCAATTTGGAGGATCTCCTTGGATGTTGCTTCCACGAATATGGCCGGAAATAGTTTTGTTTCCGGTTCCATCTGTAAAAATTACTGAATTTTATTACTTGGTAATAATTAAGTACTAATTCCGTGAAGTAGTGGGTTTTGATATCAATGGTTTATGTTATTTATTTATTTATAAAAGACACACCAACAGTATGCTCACAACAATTAAGCAGACAATGTACAATGATATAAGTAAGTAAAAATTTAAAAACTACTATTAAAAAATGTTTAAATCTAAGTTTACTTGAACAAAAACATCTCACTCCTCACTACCAAGCTTAAGGCCATATGACCACATCAATTAAAGGTGTATACAGCTCTCACAGATAAGCGTCAATGTATACTAAGTAACAATTATACAATTAGAGAAGATCTAATTACCATCCATATTATTAATAAGCCTAGTAAACTGCACAAAAGAATTACCAAAGTTATGAATATGAAAGTCTTCGATGCAGTCTATTGGATGATGTTCTTACATTCTCCGAGACGTATGCCATCCCATATCTATCCCATGCCATATCTTTGTTGCCATATCATTATCTTTTACCACCCTATACGACATGACAGCTAGTGTTTCTTTTATCTGTCCCATGTAGTTATTCTTCGATCTTCCCCTTCCTCTTTTGCCCTCTTGTCATGAAGTCACTTAACAATTTTAAAATGTACCAAACACGAAATGAAAAAGCTATGACTGGGCTGTTGCAATGTTTAGGAAAACTATAATATTAGACCTTTTTACATTGAAATAGAATACAAATCACCTTGAACCTGATGCTGGTGTCCTTTCCCTCGCAGGTAAACGAGACGGTGCCGGTGGAGGTGTCAACTGAGCAACCTATGAACATGCCCTGGGAAGCACCCTTGCCTGTCGCCTCAGCCATTACTTCGTTGTACAATTCGTCAGCTCGCACCATATAACAGGATTGGCGGTTTACACTACAATAAAATAAAAAAAAGTAATTGCTTATAAACGCTGTATTCATTTACCAATTTACTACGTATTTTTTGTATAGATTTTATAGAGAGTTAAAATTTGGTAGCTTAGACGAGAATAACATTAAGCATATTTAGATCAGGGCCTCTAGACAAATGGCAAATGAATTTGTCGATGGAATTGATATCGCTAGCGAGTCCATGAAATAGAATGAGATAGCAACGCCGGATGACTCATTCCAACTTACGGATTCGCTAGCAATGTCGATTCCATCGACGAATTCGCTAGTCACTTGTCTAGAGGGCCTGGATTCGTTTTCAATAAGTATTATTTTAAAAGCTTATGTTAATTTTTGTTAAATTAATAAATAATGCGAGACAAGACGCTGTGATGCAAAGCGTTAAACGCCCCCTGAGGAAGCTTCCAGATGAAGTCGGAACAATTGACGGAAACGACAAAAACAATATGAATTCATTAATTTCCCGTATTTATAAAGACATTTAATAAATATTTCAATATAACTCTTATAGTTTATCTAACAATCATTTAAAAATGAAAATTAATTTAGGTGAATTCGACCCACCCCAGTTTCGCATAGTTTTCTATGGAAATAAAATCAGCCCATGTTTAAAGTTAGTCAATTAGTATGGAATACTTAATATATCCATTATAAATAAAGAAATGAACGTACAAAAAAATTAAATCTTATTTCTTTCCAATATTAGTTAAGGTTGAAAAAAATAGTGATATCTAAATGTTACCTCTCGACAACTCTGTCGTAATCATCAGTGATGATGACCGATGACTTCATCACCTTGCCTTGGTTGAAGTCCTTTGAATGGAGGTGGTACTGTGTCGTCACCCAGCCGATGTAAATGTGAGTTGGATCTTGACCGGGGAATATTCTTGAAATCAAATCCAAGATATTGATTACATAATATACGGTAATATCGTAATCGTGGCAACTACTAGTAAACCCTCCCAAGGGGGCAGGGGGGGGGGGGGATTATGTTCATCAGTGGACAGTTAAAGACTGATATGATTATAATTTTTAAACAATTTAGCAAAGAGCTTAAGACCAATCTGATAGTAACCGGTTACGATAGTAAACGCACTAATGATGCCTTTAAGGCATCATTAGTGCGTTTCCCTCCCCTGGGAATAACTATTCAACTAAACATGAAAATTTTGAGTTGCGTAAATAATTTTACAGTCATAATTTTTAAAACGAAATGCAATCCAGTTGAGATGTTACAAAAAAATAAAATAAGTTAAACTCCTTCTCCATTCTTCTCTCTGTCTCTCTCTTATGCCATTTTTACGACTTAAACTTACCTGACACCATAAAAGTATTCATTGATTAATTTTAGACATTCAGCATCAAAGATTTCATTGCCAACTGTTTCTGTAGTCGCAGCAGAGAGGGCGCTAGTCGTCATCTGCTTACGATCTTGCGTAGGAGTCGCCATTGTGAGGTTAGTCTGAAATAAAAACATGTTTTTCTCGTTATGTATTAAAATATTTTATTGTATGGTAAAGTTTTTAGAAGTTAAGTCATTGGATAATATTCATATCATCCGTTAACTGATCATTAATGAACATAGACCTCCCCCTATTTGGGAGGGTTTGCCAATATCAGTAGTTGCCAGGCTTGGTTACTTACAAATTGGGTTGGCTTGGATAAAATCTAGTTCCAATAATAATATGGTAGTAGCTGTATAACTAATATCAATTGGAACTCATTGTTAGCAATACACGCTATCAAGTCGACCTCCACGCGGTTCCCTATGGAAACCATAGTCGTTAATTCTTGTTCAATTGGTCACTGATCTTCATTCATCTGTCACTGGTGCCCCGCCAGTGTAGCGCAGGCAATGTTACCATTATATCTTCACTCATTAAAAGAAATACCAATCGGAACTTATTGTTATAAAGAAACAATGCATGCATATTGTGTTCAGATTTGAACGAGTTAGCCAGTCAGGTGTCCTTGATAACCCTGATGGAAGAGAAATTAAACCTGATCACTTAATTTTTAGTGAATTCATCACAAATGACCTACTGTCGTGACTTCTTACTCTCTCCACACCGGTACCCTGTCAAGTACTCCGTTTGGGGAGAAAGGGATTGTTAGTAGTGAGGTCTAATGAACCCATTGCTAGCAATACACCTTACCAGGTCGGCCTCCCCGTGGTACCCCTGGAAACCATCGTGAACAATTCTTGCTGAATTCGTCACGATGGGTTAACTGACCTGCTTTATGCTCACCTACCATCCTTCACTGGTGCCCCGCCGGTGTATACCAATAGCGCGGGTGGGGTTACCATTGCATTATCACCCAATAAAAAAAAATACTCCGTCTAGTTCATTTTTCACTGTGATTGTTACTTGTAATTGTTTATATCTATAATAAGTTTTTCAATCCAATTTTTTGGAGGAAACAATAAAGGGTATCTATCTATCTATTTATTTAGTTTCTTATCTATCATCGCTCACCATTTCTTTGTTCACCAAACAATTGCGAAGCGAAGTTACTAATCTATTTACGTTCATTAAAAATTATAAAGCATTAAACTACGACACATATTTTTATATATACAAGAATAACACTATAATATAAATAGATGGGTTAGTAAAGAAATTAAAACAAAATAAGGATAAAAAAAGCATTCTAATTAGTAAAGTCAAAAGATTCACATCTGTCTATATATTTTAAGTTTATATATAGATTTATGGCCAAATATATTTATAGTATATATTAAATTGAGAAAGAAGAGATATATACTGTTTTTATACAAACATATTTTAATAAGATATATATTTTTCTTTTTTAAATAAATAATTAAATATAGTATGTATATATATGCTATATTAGAAATATAGTATTTTTAATACAGCAGAAGCTATTTAAAATTTAGACACTTCTATCTATAGCTTACGTTTACACTACGACTTACTTATACTTTCTACACTTTTATAGTCTAAGATCTCACAACATAAATAGTTAATTTTTTTTTATTAAAGAAATCAAAGAGTATTGATAACTTTGCCGTTACATACATATTTTTTCCATACATTTAAATTATTTAGTATATTCGACTGTATTTTCTTCAAACTTACATTTAGACCACCATCGCTTCCATACAGATTGGCCTTGCTAGTCCTGGGTAGCATGTTGTTATACTTTTGATTCGCCTTTGGGTGAAGAAATCAAACAAAACTTAAATGGAAATTGGGTTTCATTATTAAATTATAGAAACAAAAAAAAAATCTCAAAATATTTCATGCATGTATTTTTAGTTATTAATATAGGAATAGGCAAAGAATGCAAAAAAAAAATACGGTAAAAGGGAAACATATTTCCAATTATTTTTTTCTGAAGCAGATAAAAAAAAAAAACACTTTATAATAAAAATCAAAGGAAATCAAATAGAGTGTTGCATGATTTGATTAAGTAAACCATGTCAGTGTAGATTCTCTCACAAAACTTTACAAAATGTTATTACTTACTTGAGAGACCCTAATTTGAGGGTTAGGTCTACGGAGACCTCTTTCTGGCGAGACCTCAGTATCACTGAACGGATCTGGTGTTTTGGACTTTCGTGATTTCGATCTGTCACCACTTTCACCGCGTCTACTCTTGAAGAACCTGGATCATATTTATTTATGTACTTAAACATGAATGCGCAGTATAATTGTATGTATATTTCGTGGACTTAACAAAAGAAGTTCTTTACCAATCAACGGCATGTGCTTACTTATGAAGCTTTATTTTTAGATTTAATAAAAAAAAAAACGTATATTTTTGCAATACTTCAACATGCAAGCATTTTGCATATTAGACCCCTGCTTATTAAAGGTGGATTAATATATAGAACTATCTATATATTGTAGTTACATCTGAATTTACTTACTTGAATGGTGACCGTCCTCGTTTATCTTTTTTGTCCTCAGTGCTTTGTACACCCAATTCGTACTTAGCCATCTCCGCTTCACTAGTAGAACGGTGCATACCATTAACTTGACCTGGAAATTTACAAATATGTATCTTATAATCAAAAGAGATAGGTTAAATTTAAAGTTAGATAGCGCGGAAAAGGAAAGTTAGAATGTAGAGTAGGCAATTATTTGAGATAATATAGTTAACAGACGTGAAACTGACATTGGCTTTAATTTTTTTTTCATGATAATATGTTTTTTTTTTAAATGACTGAGGTAATTTTTTAGATCAATTTGTAGTATATATAGCCATAATAATCTTATTTCATGATTATTTTTTTCCTATACTAATGATAAATCTGTTGTGTATGTAAGTATATATTATTTTTTTGTTAGTTATACTGAAATAAGTTAGAATATGTATTAAGTTTAGTAACTAATGTTATTGCATGATGTATAGATAATATTTTTACAATTTGACGTCTCCAAATATGTATTATAAATAATAATATATATTATATTTGATACAGTTTTTTTTACGGTTTAGGAAAAACGTTGTTCGATAAAATGACATGATATAATTAGTTATATATACATTTATCTATTCCTTTCTATGTAAGTACATATAGCCCTACCTCATTTGAATGTCAGCTCTCTGTCTACAAAGAGTACAAATATAAAAATCGAAAACGACAATGCGAAGACGAAATGGCAATGATATTAAGCCAAAAACGCATCAATACACCTGCTGGTTGCAAATTGTAATTCTGTATTGTAACTCCTCTAGTCACGGAACCCTTCCGAGGCGGCCTGGACGGTTGCCGCTTCAACTTCGAACTGCTTACTTCTTCTTGGTTCTCGTCGTAGTGAAGGCCTTTGGTTTTGTGGGGATCAAAAATAAATAATAAGCATATGGTCGGGCGTCAGTATTGGCGTAGCAAAATAAAAAGGGTTTCAAATAATTGGGAACACAGTGTAAGGAATAACCAGTCGTCCAAAGCTTATAGCATGTCCTGAATGATTATATGACGATTCGGGACGTATCACTCGGTCTAGACGTGCCCGTCTGACGACTGGTTGGAAAAAGTTTTTTAAACTGTGCTTGGAAAGGTTAGATAGGGATTTAAAAAAAAAAAAAACATGTGTATTCAATACATTCGTATAAAAGAATCAGTGAGTTACAATTGTAAAATAACCTTTTAGTTTTACATAAAAAAGTTATCATAAATCATTTTTTTTTAAGTTGAAGATACCAACCAAATATTCGTGCCGGTCGACTACAGATGTGAACTATTGTATTTAGAAATAGAATAGCCGCTGATATAATGATGATGGAAAATCATAACCTCCTAATAGGAACTTTTTATAAATATTATAAAAATAAGGCTTGTATAAGGCATAAAGCCTTATGCCTTATAGAAAACAAGTTGTATGAAACTGATAACTTTATCGCACTAGTGTTATTTGCCACTAGTGAAGTGGTGTAAAATGTAATAAAATAGCAACGTATTGGACTTTTACCTTTGATATCATTCATGGTAAAACCACTCCTCATGATCTGATCGATGTGTGCCGGCATCTGAGCTTCGGTAGCTTCCTTCATTAGGATCTGTTGCCTCTCTTTGATCTCTACCCAGCGACGAGCTTTCTCTGTCTCACTATTGCAGAAATAAAGATTTTGAAATTGTCACTCAAAAATAGTAATTACATGGTACTCAAGCTGTTTAAAACTAGTTTACTAACTGGAGACAAACCAAAACACCTAGATCGTAAACAATTTAAAAAGTTCATTGCAATAGTTTAAAGTTGCATTTTGGGAAGCAGGCTCTTCAGACTAAAAATTAACGTTAAAATCATGTCTATATTTGACAAACAAATACTAAATAGTCGATCATTGTGAACTATGAACTAATCATCGTGCATCATAAACCAATCATTACAGACTCATTAAAAATATAATTATTACAATATTTTTAATATTTAATTTAATGCTTTTTTCTAAAATCACACAATTTCAGACAAAGTGTACATTGTTTTTTTTTTTAATAAATGACTAATGATCACAAATTTAAATAGTTAGAAATATTTACAACAACAAAATGCAACAGTACGAAAACCTAATAGCAAATCATCGATGATCAATCATCGCGAAAAATTGGAGCATAATCAACAGATTTCCTAACGAAAATTGACTAAATTATTATTTGTTTTATTAAATTTGTTCTATGTGGACACAGCAATACAAAGAAGTTGAGTTTTAAAGCTAAAAATATTAAATAATACCTCAATACTTACTCGATAAATTGTGAATGGCAAATAACTGGAAGGGACAATCTTAGGAACTCCCAATTAGCCTTCTCCATAGTTTCAAATGTATTGTGTGAGATTTTTAGACAAGGTGGAGTATCTGTAACAAATTTTGTGTACATTTTGTGTATATAAAAAAAACTGTTAATATCTTTTAATATTTTTAAAATATTATGACATGTGAAACAGGCTTGAGCAAACATAGAGACAGCATAGTTCGTGAATAAGCGATCGATCGAAAAGAGTTGATCGCATTCATGGACCATGTTGGCCCATGAACAGTTGGTTGCATTATATCGGCTCATCAGTGTTTTTCACACTACGTTTCCTGGTTATAGGATGAAGAAAAAATATCATGGAAAGCTTTATTATAATCAATTTATTATGAAAATGCAATTTTGATTGGCAAACAATCTAAAGGCATGTAACAAATGGAAAATATAGAATAGTACTATGGATATTACAGGAACACTATGAACTTCTAATGCTAAGTATGTTCCTGGTAACTTTGGCCACTTGCTTTTTGACGAATTGGATTGTAATATAAGAAAATAGCCACTGGTCGTGTGTTCCCGGCATTAAATAGATAGAATAGGCTGCCTCTTTCTATCCTGTGGGTGTTGTAAGAACCGACTAAGGAAGGACGAGGGATAGGCAACAGCGTCTTTCTTAAAACATCTCTTAAGCCTGACTGCGGTTGCCAATCCACCTGTCAAGCGTGACAACTACTGGCAACACTCTTCTTATGAGGAAGGCTTATATTCAGCAATGGCCAGTTAACGGCTGATGAAAGATTATGAAGATGAACCGCTTATGAAGATGATTATAATGATAAGAAAATAGGACTGACCTGAGCCAGCTGGTATTCTAGTAACGTCAATTCTGGTGTCAGCCATTTCATCTGTATTCTCGAATATGGGCTGGTCCTTGGTATACCAATGGGTAACATCTCTCTTCATGTTTCTATTCAGAAATATTTCTTTTTTACAAGTGAATAATACATTAAATAGATATATTTGACAAATGTATCCTTGAGTACTAATCTATGCTCATGGCTGTTACTGTATATATCTATGTTTATTAATTTTATATCATTATACTTACATAAAAATCAGTATTTGTTTATTTCATAATATTCCTAAATTTGTTCTTATATTTCTTTAAAATAAGTTCGAGTATGACTCGAACTTCACAATAACAGTTCAACGATTTGTTATTGTGGAATTCCAGTCATACTCGAACTGCACAATACATAGTGTAATTACACAGTGTAATTAATAAATAAAATTTAAATATATAAATAGCTTACCATAATACGCTCTAATACTAATAAGTTAATCGGAAGCATTTGTGGCTGTGGTGGTGTACATAAATTAAAACTCATTTAGTTGAGCATACTAAAATTCGAATGGGTCAAAAATTTATATACTAAGTTTTTTGGTATCGGTTAAATAAAATTCATCAATCATTACGGTTTATAAATCAATATTTAATAGTATATGGATAAGTTTATTTATATTACATAATAATACTTACACACAGAAAGGCTCATAACCCTCTTGAAGACCACATGTAGTGAAATATTTCAGTGTATTCACATCTTGACCATAAGTGAGCCTGAAAATAACAGTAGACATATTATTTTCTGTGTATCATTCTTTGAGGGGAACAATAAAGAATTATTCTTTTGTTGTTCCCCTTGTATTGTTCATTCATTCATTCATGCGTTTGCTTTTCACGAATTACTCAAGCTGTGCACATAATGTGATTGGATTATAACCTAGCCGAATCACAAATGTAACAATTATTAAAGTTTTTTAAGGTTGTGATCTGTTTTATGTGCCAATAAAATAAAATAAAATTCGTTCATATTTATAGTTTTTGAAATGTTTTACCAGAGAATAATTACTGTTTAATTTGAAAAAAAAAAATAGTGGGAGGTGATTCTGTCTGCGATCAAACTGTACCTCATCTGCGACTCTTTATTAATTAAAGTAAAAATTGCCCCATTCTTTGTTGTATGACTTACCTGGCTTTCTGTCCTACGCCAAGAGTGCAAGCCGGTACAAAGTTGTCCCCTTGTACATCAGCGAATGTGGTCTCACCACCCAGAGCATCCATCAGCAATTCACCATTCAACGAAAAACCTGGTATGCGAAAAAAGATTAAACTCTGGCAGGTTATGGCATATGAAAATTAAAAAAAAATTGGAATCATAAAGTGTACATTGGATTAAAAATTTGAACATAATTATATCAATAAAAAATTAATGTATTACTAATTCTAAATGTAAATATCTATTTATTTTTCCATAAAATACATAAAATGAATATTTAAAAAATTTGCAATAAAAATTAATCTACCATTAATTGGGAGGTGGAGTAAATACCTGTGAAATATAAAAATTGTCTTAACGAATTACAATTGTAATGAAATAAATAATAAATAATTAATATTTCTCTGAAAGCATACAAGCTAATGAGTATATTATAACATACACTTTAGTATTGAATTAGTATGTTAGTAACAAACATAAGCAAGAAGCGATACTTTTAGTTGAAACGGGTATTGAAAATACAGTGTTTTAGTTCTGTACTTTAATGACGTCATGTATATGTATCTATTATATAACTAACTAAAAACTGCAACATATTACTCATATGTAATCGTATATATTTTTTATAGTTCTGTGATTTTTCTACCTTTCTTTACCTACTCATGCTATGCTAGTATAATTTTATAACTATTTATTTAATCAAGTGATATAACAAAACTATTTCAATCGCGTGTTAACTTATATAAAAAATTGATGAAGATTATGATCGATGATTACATAAATCATTAAATTCAGGAATCCTGATCAATTTTTAAAAGATTACCGCATTATTTAATAATATCTCTCTATAATTGATATATGTAATTATACAAAGTCCATAAACGAATTAAAATTAAAAAGTAAATTAAAAATCAAATCATATAATAAGAACAAATTGTTTCAGGATACCTGATTGTACGAATAATCAATTAAACAGGGCAACTGGCAAAATAACTTTTTGTAGATGCCATATAAATGAAAAAAAATTAAACACAATTTAAAATAGAATAAAAAAAAAAAGAATGTTTTGGCGCGAATACAAACTCATTCAATAATAATGCGACTGAAACAGTTTATATTAAATGTGAAACCCCATAATGTCTAAATTAGGTCCAAAATACGTATGTGAATTTAGTGCAAAACTTCGGAAATCAAGCAAAGCGATGCGGTGGCTGTATTAGATTCAAAAGCAAAGATGTTCGTAATGAATTTGCTAGTCTTTAATTTTTGATATGCTTTTAGCGGTATGGCAGGAACATTTCCGTACAAGAATAAATCGAAACCTAATGGATATATTATATACAGTTATATATAAATTATAAAATTACACAATAATTTACATACTGGGCAAGTCTTAGAGTACGCTTGCCTTAAAACTTCCTTTTCACTAAGAGTAAATTTCAGTTAATACCGCATTATTTAAAACAATAAAATTTTAAGTATCTAAGTAAGTATACATATATAATTTTAATTATAAATTAAATAGTATAAAAATAGTAATATAAAAGTAATAAATAAAAGTTACATAATTAGTAATATAAACTTTTAGTTACACTTTTTCTAGTTATTTCTCGTCAAATATTACGTATAAATTTTTAGAATTTTATATTTCATAAAAAAAGAGGACAACAAAAAAATATAAAATTACAATTTCAATACATATTTTATACAAGTTTTGAAAAAAAAAAATTGTATTAGTATTCTTTTAGATAATGTTCCTGCCAAATTTCTATTACCAGCACAAGCTTCAATCAGTAATCGATTGATATTTACTTATCGTCTTATCGATCAGATCAAGGAATACTCCGACAACGTCACCGACCGCCCATTGCTTGCCGAATGACTCTGTGCTACCGCTGAACACTTTTTCCTCCTTGAAAAGTCGGTAAAAGTCGTTTCAAGATATAACTTTTTTTATGCAACTAAATATGGCAAACAAGCTGACAGCCCATCTGATGGAAAGTGGTAACCGTTGCCTATATGCATTAATAGTACCATGGACAGTATAGAATACTGTGATACAGACAATATCCCCTCACGTGTTGCCATTTGCGACGACTAAGGTGTTACTAAGGTGTCTTATTGCTTTACAAAGGTTTTACATTGGTTTTCTTAATATAATTAAGGACAAAACAACTCTTCTACAAATTAATTATTTCAATTATACATACTAACCTATCCGGTTTTACTTTTAAAGCATTATAAATTATAATAATACCTCGTTGATTGTAACAAGTATTAAAATGAAAATATTAACTCGATTTGCATTTTGTTGGGCATATCTCTAAACTAAATCTCTTATTTCTGAGATTGATAATCAACAATATTAACTGGAAAATTAATAAGAAAATTAAATGTTTACACCAATTTTGTAACAGTAATTTCGTGAAGCTATGACATATATCAGAGATATAGTGTCACAAAATCGACCCTATGGTTAAAATAAACAGTGACTAACAAACATAATTCTGTCTAAGTGATTGAATATTGTTTAGGCATTGTAATTAATGTAATTAATATAATACATTTGTAAGTTTGTTTAAATATTTATAATAATAAAATTTCTTATTTTTAACGCTATTAATTTTTAAAAACAAAGTGTTTCTTTTTTCGTTTCGTTTTAGACGAAAACAAATTATACACGTGCTTTTGCAGTAAAACGTGTATAAATTTATTTGAACACCTATTTATCACAGGTTTAACTTTTTTTTTGTAAGGCTATTGAAGACACGTATTTAATACGAATAAAGAAGTGATTAACTAAGTTCATGACAATTTTGTTATTTAAGCGTTACATACTATTTTATAAAATATTTTGAAAGTACACACTAAAGGTTAATTAAGACATTATTAATATTAACAATAATTGAAATAATAAATTTATAGAATGAAAAGAAGAAATAAGTTTTATCCTTAATTTAAAGTGTCACTAAGTACCAATAGTTGCTAGTAACGACTTTTGTAATGTTCAACTTTTTATATCATAGAAAATAGATGTAATTACTAATAAACTACACAAATACTAATGGCAATGTGAATACTGACTATGTATTTGGTGTTTAACAATATAACTATTTTTAATATAATAGTAATAAAAATATATAAAAGTACTTTGTTAGGTTTACATTGTTTATATTAATTTAATATACAGAGTGTAAGGGACAGGTTGGTAAAATTAAAACAATGAATTCACACGATTATTTTGAACTGAAAACCAGTAAAAATTCTTTCCGGAAAATTTTAAATATTTTCTCTATATATTTTTTTTTCATTTAAAATCCTGTAATCTATGAAATTATGTTATAATATACAGAAACAATAATATTTTATAGTGAAATTCGTATTAAAATCCTACCGCGACAAGCGGAATCAGCTGTGTAAGGTCAACAACACAAGCGTACGAAAACTACTAACGAAGAAGCTCCATTGACCACGCGCTGTAGATATCACGCGTCGTGTGTATCGTAAAATTTCAAATACATTGCGCGACGTCAAAACTAAGAATTGTTAATTATATAGTTGTGGTGCATTTTTAATGGGAAAATAATCTGCCATCTGATTCAGGCCATTAATCTGTATCTGCTGTTTTCGTTTTGCTCAACCTGTGCCTTCCACCCTGTATATAATCTTGAGTACGAGTACGTAGTGACGTTACACATAAATCAGTACTCACATATACATTTGTCAAATACAGATACTATCTATTCATATATAGTGATTGGAACAGTTATACACAAAGTAGATACACGTATATCAAGTGGGTATTACAAAATAGGACAGGATGCGTTATGTATTACATTTTTATTACAAATTGGGTAGTATGTTACCACGTGTAAACCACAAATACTAAAGTACACATATGGACCGGGTTGTTGTCTCACTGATGTAATTTCCTGATTAGGATTATGTAAAATAAGATGAAAGTAAAAAAAAAAATATTATAAAATAAACCTAAACTGAGACGTAAACAACTGCAAATAAAGTATACTCATTCATTGAATCATTATTATTTATCCCAGGAAACCATCTAAAATAAGGGAACCCATAAAGATAAATCAATCGAGCTCAAACACATGAGTCATGTGTTATTAAGAACTTCCGTCTTCCTCATAGGATCAATTTAATGATCCATGGTACCATAACATTGTAATGTCACCAAACTTAAAAAAATATATAAAAATGTTTAACAAATTTCGGTTCAATCTCGTACGTCAGCAAGTAGTTAAACAATATCTATTATTTATTAATATTTATAGGTATCTATAGTTTTTGCAAAGTGGTACCTTTCATTTATACATTTAGTATTAATGCTACAGTATATATTTTTTTTTATAAGAAATTACATCAGGTGACCATCCCAGTGGTCCTTGGTTGTGGTAACTCACTAATTGTCATGTCGCAAACATCTAGGAAGCATCCCACTATGTCGCCCACTTTGAATTGTTGTCCAAAATTGTCGCTCGATCCACCGTGCACTTTTAGGCACTGTATTGATATTAAAATTAATTTTATATAGTCAATATTTTTCTTTATATTATTAAAATTTTACATAAATATAATTATTTTATTATATAATATATAATGTAAATATTTTTAGGATAATTTTGTAATTAAGCCTGACGACTTGTCAATAAAAGAGCCCAACCCCGCAGGTACTATTCTTGATCTGTGGTCCCAATTCTACTGATTGAAAAAATTGATTGATACCATTTTAATGTCAGTAGAGTAGTTGTATATACCGAATGTGTAACATAATATATCAAATGTGTAAAATGATGTTATTATCTATAAGATAGTTTTACACATTTGATATGTGTAAATATAATTATTAAAATGACAGCAGAATTGGGTCTTCGACAGAAATAACCGTGATAATAGTCGTTTACGTAACTGAACAACTTCACTGATATTTTAAAGTTGCTCATAGTTCTTCATGTTTTTTTATGTATAAGAGACTATATTAATACAGTATGTTTACCAATTGCAAACAAGTTACTAAGAGTTTTGTTACAAGTAATGTATTTATTTTTAAAATTTATTCTAACGAAGCAATACTTACATTGTAACCGTCGAATGCCCAGGAATTCTCGTCTTGCCCCAGCATCATACCAGGCGGCATATCAGCATGTGCCCAACCCACCTAGAAAATAATAATAAAGTCGGATTTTTCTAACAAAAAACCTGTATGCTCTAACAATTTTGTTGTTGCGATAATGTTGAATTCTGTCATGAGTAAGTTGTAGGAATTAACATTAAATTTTGTAATATTAGGTATAACATTCATTTTGAGGTTTTGAGCTATTATTAACGGAAATCACTGATTTATAATTCTATTTAAGTGGAATGGGTTACTTAAAAATAAAAATAATAATTTTGATGGGAGCGATCTGTAACAGCAATAGCCAATATAGTGACGAATGGTTAATATTCTGAACTTCTTCAAAATAAAGAGGTGTAAAGAAAAATAATCCAACAGATTATCTTCAGAAAATAATATATCTATTACAATAAATTGAAGTCTTGTGTAACATCTTTACACTTACTCTCATAGGTCCAGCAGTTAAAATCTCAAACTCGAAGTACCATTTTCCAGAGCTGACCGCATAATTTTTCTCAGCTCTGTAAGTTCTAAAATCGGCTTGCTTTTGTTTCGAGGCTTCTGCCAGCAAAGCTGTAAAAAGAATTCGAGATTGAAAGTTACTTTCATTTAATATGATATATAAGTATGAAGATTCATAGATTTAATAATTCTTATAATTCGCAAATAAAAGTAAAATACCACTTTACATATTAGATATCGTCATCTAGTCGAACTAAGTAATGTTAATTCTATAGTAATAAACAACTTAATAACTTTTATATACTTGAATAATTTTAAATTGTTGTCAGTTGTTTTGTGCTTCGAAATCAGGGGGATACGTTAAACTTTAATTAGGTTGTTACAAGATATCGCCACCTACCTTCATGCTGCTCCCCTGTAGGTGGGTCTAGATTGTAACCATATACGAGGAGAGTTCGTACGGTCTCTGAAGCGGTATCGCGATTGGCTTTCTTGATTGCTTCGTCTACTTTGGCATATGGGACTAAGTGAGGTGAGCGGTGCATATCGGGATCCTAAAATTATATTAAATTTATAACAATAAGGAGAACATTCAGGGAAATTATTTTATCTGAATACTATTAGAATTATTGTTATATTCACAGATCAGTAAAAAAAGTTATATCAATTTCAGCAATGTAAATGTAAAAACGCTGGTGTTGTGGACGTCTATAGGCTACGATAACCGTTTACCGTTACTGTATCGTGTCTCATAAAGTATATTGTATGCTCGTTTAATATTGTAATATTTTTTTTTATTTACAATACGTATATAATTATTATTTATGTGTCAAAATTCCGTCAATAATTTTGAAGTTGTATTACAATATTAAAACTATAGATAAGTCTTTTGGTTCACACTATTATATAATACCAACTGAACAAATATAAAAATCAGATAAAACAAAAGAAAATAGAAAACATAGTACCAAGAAACAAAATAAAAATAACTGTAGTAGCCATGAAACCATCTTCTTTCTTGTAGTTGAATTATTTCTGCAGACACAACTTGCTGTGACCCTCACACCTAATAATACCAATTTGATACTAAGTGTGAGAGTCACAGCAGTTGGATCTGCTATTGTGATAGTTCGAGGAAGAATTCTAAAAATATAAAGGAATGTTACACAAATAATGCACAAATTAATAAAATGAGATATATTGCAATAAGATCTTTCTGCTTACTACACAAAATAATATTAATAATTATAAATACATAGCAGAACTAATATATACATAAATACTAATATAGTTAGCTCTATTTATGTAATGCAAAAAATATATAAACTGAAATTATGATATTGTATATTATAAGAACTAGAGTGGTTAAAAAAACAAGAAAGAAAAATACAATACATGAATTTTTGATAAATAAGAAAATATATAGGTTTTGGAGATATTTTAGGCATAATAATAATTATACCGACAGGATATGACGTGCATATAGATAACAACTTGTTTTACGATAATCAAATTGTAAAATAATTTAACTATTGTTCTTATATGCCTACCTCATTAAGACCGTAAGTCCATCCTTGTTGTATACGCTCTCGAGCCCAAAGATTGTGTGTGTTCTCAGCGAGCTGATCGACAAGCTCATCCATTTTTGGTGTTAGGGTGACAGCACTCAGATCTAATGGTGCTGGTTTATAACCGTTGGACTGAAAAATTAGAAGAAGAATCAAATATGACAACATGGATCTCAAGACAGGATATCATCAATTACCAATTATGTAATAATATTATGAAAATATTTACATTACTTATAATTTATGTTATTATTTATAGTTTATTATATCCATGCGACATTTAAAAGTAAATAATATTAGTTAAAATTATATTAACATGTATATTATAGAGTGTTAAAATGATAGCCAAATATAAATCGATGATATTTTTTGTAATCATTATTGCTAACCTGCATAAATGGTTCGTTTGGAAGGCGCACGTTACGGATACGTGCTGGTGGCTTGTCTAAACTGATGTAGTACCCAAGTGCAAGAATGGTTCTGGAAATAAATGTTTTGTATAGTTATTTATAGACATATATAGGTACGTGTAGATGTACGTAGGTGTCATAACTATAAAAGAGTAACCTGATACAAAATCTATTACTACAGTATTTTATTAGTAGAACATATTAACATGCAATTGCCAAGTAATTATAATTATTATAGAAATAAAGATATCTAATATTGATACGGTAACCATAAATGTTAATAGGTAATTATTTAGATAACAATTTATAACATTACGAATAAATGCTGTCATAGAAACTAATGACTTGGTTTTACATGAGATCTCACAACTTTTTGTAGTGGAAGAATGATATTGCGAGACTTGCCATTTTTTACATTTTATGTTTTTGATAAGATATTTAATTACATACTTGAGAGTTTGAACAGCCAGTTGGATATCGTATCTCTTTTCCGCTGGCGGTAGACGATCGAACGGTACAAGACATGGATGTATCTTGTGAAGGTCTTCGCGTTGATCACCGTACATCCAACCAGCTTCGATCTAATAAATGAAGTCCATATAATGAGTACTAATTACTATATTTAGTTGGTTTTTGATTAATATAGAATATATAATAGTTATAATAGCTCACCTTGTTCATTGCCCACATTTCATGGATATTTTCGGCTAATTTATCCCTGATTTGTTCAACGTAGGTGGGTAATGTTATCTGAAATTATCAAGATTTTTATACATGTATTTTTTAAAAAGGCTCTTTCTTTTAAAATTTAAAATAATATTTCAATTATTGTTATTATCATAATTTCAGCCATTAAATATACTGTTGGACATTGAACTTCTACAGTCTCCCTGTAATGAACTACTTTATATCATTATTATATATAGCTTATAGTTTTTAGATAAAATTTCTCTTTAGAATCGATTTACTAAAAAGTGGAAAATATTTGTTAATTTTCTATATAAAACAATGTAATTTTAATATATTGGTAACAGTATTATAGTTGTAGTTCATGTTATAATAAAAAAATCCTTACAGATAGAGTATCCACTGGCGTAGGTACAAACGCGGTATCATCTTGTACTAGCGGTGGGCCAGCCAACGCTCGCTTGGCCAAATTACCAAAATAGAAGCATGGCTCCAAATTAAGGATTTGCTGCGGAAGAAGACTCTCCACTAGTGGGGAGTAACCTTCAGGTGCTGCGTATCTGAGACGACCATGTTCACCGCCCAGGAGAAAGCGGCAACTAGTGTGGGAAAGAAAATGATTAATTTCTTCGTAAAATGTATTATGGTACTGTTTATATCTATAGGCGATGGTTACTACTTTTTATCGTTTTTTTTTATCAATTTTTGTTCCATTATAAAAAAAATTACTTAAAATTTTGTTCTACAAAAAATAGTGTTACCCCACACTATTTTACGAGAGTAAACCTTTTGTTTTATAATCTTTAGAATGGCAAACAAGCTGACGACCCACCTGATGAGAAGTGGTAACCGTCGCCTATAGACATGAGCAGTATCATGGACATAACAGAGTATTCACCCATTATACCCCCCATGCGTAATTTAATAAGAATCAACAAAATCGGTTTAAAGTTAACGAAAATATCACGCGATATACATATAAGAGTATAATAGAATTTACAACCTCATTATTTTCGAAGGCGCTTAAAAATATATAATCAATCATTTAGTACATTGTTTTTTTTTTTAAGTTGGAAATATTTTATTTATAAAACATAGTACTTTACTTACCTAAGTTTACTAGAACAACTGATGACTGGGAAGAACATTCCCTCCAAATTGAAATTTGTGAATGAGCCGGTGACTCTTACACCGTTGAACATAAAGTTGATAATTGGCACAGTCAAATCTAAGGCGCAGCCGATGACGTCACCTGAAGAAAATTTTAGTTTAGGGATTTAATACAATAGAAAGAATCTTACCACAAAAAAAGTTAAATATACGGTAGATCTTGAACTAGAAAAATTTAGTCAAATAAAGGATTGAAAAACAGAATAAGGGAAAATACACTTCAGTGTTTGTGGAAGGAAATTCTTTATATAATTTGGAATGACCAACATGCTAATAGCCCATTCGATGCAAATTGACAACTGTTGTCTATGAACATTAAAATCACCATGGATATTACAAAATACACTGTGACGCATATCCTATTCTTCAAGCGCTACTATTACCAAGTACGAGTATGAGTACCAAGGTGTTAAAGCTCCGTGCCCTGTAATTTCAATGTTATAACCTGCCTATTTGGTTATGTTACCTTTCCGTATATAGGGCTCCTCTTCGTGCAGCGCACCAGCAGCTCGTACGGGCGTGCGGCGGCCGCCGGCCCACAGGAAGGCGCCGTCGAAACCGAACGAGTACAGGTCGTCGCCGACACCATTACCGCCCCACTTCTCACCGCCACCCGGATATGGTACGTACCTAGGGGATCACCGGAATTAATTTTTAAAAATAAAAAAAAAGAACGGTAGTGAGAGGTATTTGTTATACAACTTGAAATAACAAATTAATTGATTGAGAATGGAAATCGTCACCTATCGACATGAATAGCACCACATACATCGCCATTTCTAAGATCTAAGGTGTTATATCTTCGTAACCTGTAATTTCACTGCTATATCTGAACAGGCATTCTGCCTGAAACACAGCTATGCAAAAAATACAGCTGCTTTACAGCAGAAACACGAGTAGTGCAGAAAAATGGAATTTGGCATGTACTCACCCAGTAGTGTTAGCCCATCCAATTCTGAGATGTGGCATCATATGTGTGGTCTTCTCTATGTGGTCCATGGTCACCTCAAAGTACCATTTCTGATAAACTGCTGATCCTTCCACACGACCCACAAAGATGTTTGGACGAACGCTGTAATAGAAGTAATAAGTATATGTTATTTGTTAAATGAATAATAATGAATTCTCTCAATAAACACAAATATCATATAAAACCCATCGTAGTTAAATGTATGCCAATTTTTGTTAAATCTATCAGTCTTTTTTATTGGACACCATTCATTAAATAAACCTAATAGAATAAAACAATTTATTTTTACCTAGACACATGATCAACAAGTTGAGTTTGCAACAACAAGTTCTTCCCGGGCAGAAGGTAGTCGCAGATATTGTTCTGTGAGGATCTTACGGCGACGCCGTTACCGACGCACAATGAACATAACACGTCCAAAACTTTAGGATCGCGACCGTGTTTCTCGAGTAAAGATATAATAACTTTGATGTGCTCGTCCTGTAAAAGGTAAAAAAGGAAACTTATATTTCTAATCATCTCTTATGATATCACCAGAATGGCAATAAAACATAGCAGTGATTTTAATAAACTCAGCGAGATCACAAATCAAATTTGAATACTATGTTAACCACAATGGCAATAGACGAAATAATTCTGACTGTCTCAGAATAACTATATTTTGTTTCATTGAAATATGAAATCACATACCCTCATCATGTTCAGAGCTTCTGGTGAGTCGATGAGCACGCAATGCAACACATCCAACATGCCTGTACCCTCGCCTGATGCCTGCGAGCCGAGTCTTGAAAATAGCCAGTTCAAGCGATTAGAGTTGGCAAATTGGGCACAGTTCGTATGGTTGCCTTTAATGATGGCAGCTGAAATGTTGATTAAGACATGGTTAAGACTTCTGTAATTTTAATATTCTTAATAAATTCTATGCTTTTATAGATGATAAAAGGAAAAGAATAAAGAAGGAGAGGGGAAAATTTCTGTAGAAACGTAACGCATTGAATTGAATGAAACTCTTATTTAATATCGCATAACTGGTATGTGGTCAAAACCATGAGTTTTTGTTTGTATCCTAACAATAGCGTGACTGATAATTCAATATTATTATTTAAGACATTCGATTTTATATTTCTGATAATGCGCAAGCATGGTGAAAGTTCATGTAACAAAATAAAATCTATGGAAGATTATATGTGTTCTCGCCATGTCGAATTTAGCAGGTAACATTTTACAGAGTGATTTTCCTTACCCAGCAACTGATACAAATATCCTGATATCATATCCCAACTCTGTCCAGATTCGTCTCCAGCCAGGAATCCAGCGAGGAATCCTTGGGATGTGATGACGTTGATTTTGTCAATTGCCTCCAAAATTAGGTTAAGGATGCCTTCTTCTTGGAAAAGATCTTGACGATTGCGAAGCGCTCGAAATTTGTTCTGTTTCTCTTCGTGTTCTGTTGAAGAATAAAATAACAGATGTAAATGATTATATCATTTTCTTTACAGTACTTAAACTATTTTCTGTATTATTACACTAAAATGACAATCATAGGACAAGTTACACATATTTTTTTCTATCCATAAGAATGACAAACGAACATGCATGCTTTTAAAATAAAATAGAATGTGTATTCTATTTATGTGTATTTATTTATGCGTATACATAAATTTAGATAAAATTTTCAGTACTCCTACTTAATTTTTTTGTCACAGAAGTCATACCAAAGTCATAGTCATAGCCATATGGTCTAATTGAGGGTGGCCTTTTATGAAGATCTTGAATTACAGTATAGGTAGTTTATTATTATAATTATATCACCCTAAAAACTGGAACAACATGTAAACGAGCTGCTAGACGGTAGAAATAGTGACAGGAGTACCTATTCCTTATATAAATTCTTCCTTCGATTATAAAGAATTAGTTCTCTATGAGATATTTTTTACACTTACCCATATCCTCATCAGGTTGGGCGAAGTAGTTGATCAGATCTTCAAGGCACATGACCATTTCCCCGAGGTTGACTGAAGCGAAGAACATCGAGTGACGTCTGTTCTCTTGGAGAGTTTCAAGGCCACTGTTGGTAATTATTAAAATTAATACTAATATAGTACACTAATCCCCTTATTCATAAAATTTTTAAACTATTTTAGTTATGGAAATGTTTTATTTTTACTTTTACGCTAAATTCCCAGCTTGAAAGTGACAAGACACTGTAATAGTTAAAATAGATTTGTTGGAGGTTTTAGTTTTTATGAATATTTTTTTTATGAATTAATTTTTAATATTGACCAGAGATTGAAATAGATCTCAAAATCTATTGCAATACCATATTAATTAGAAACAGGAAGAAATTTAATGAACAACATTACTTGTCGAACTTTAAAAATAATTATATTTTGAGGTAGTGAAAAGCTTATGTATTTCACTGAACGGTGAAGGAGAAAGGGATAATTAATAATGGAGACTAGCTTCCATATTGCTAACAATATACCCTGTCAGGTCGACTTCTTCACGGTTCTCTTTAAAAACCATCATGATTAATTCTAGAATAATCCATCACGATGAGTTAACTGACCCACTTTTTTCGTTTTCATCTGTCATCGCTCACTGATGTTTTTTTTTTTTATACAACTTAGAATGGCAAACAAGCTGACGGCCCACCTGATGGAAAGTGGTAACCGTCGCCTATAGACATGAGCAGTACCATGGACATAACAGAGTATACTGTTTCGCCAATGATACTCCCCATGCGTTGCCATTCCTGAGGACTCAGGTGTTATTCCTCTGTACCCAGTAAATTCACGCCATATCCCACCCTTCAAACCGAAACACAGCCATGCAAACACAACTGCTTCACGGTTGAAACACGAGTGGGACAGAGGTACCCAAGCAATCGACTTTTGTACAAAGTCTCCTTCTGGTGGTCTCCTTCCGCCAGCACACACTGTTACCGCAAACGGGGTTACCATTCCATTATACCTTAGCGAAAAATCTTCATTAACGAGATCCTACACATCGTAATCAATCATAAACTAAAAAGATACTGCTAAACTTTAAAAGATACTGAACGATGTGTCATAGATAATAATTTCTTTTAATTACATATATGGATCAATAAAGACATGAAAAAACTTACGTCTAAGCACTTTTTGAGGAAATCATCTAAAACACATAAGTATTAATTTAATCTGTACTTACTTAATAAATTTAGTAAACAACGACGAACATTTTCTAATAACTCTAGCAGTTCTAGATTCCTCTTCTTGAGACCTGGAGAAATCTAGGCCGTCGTCCATTTTGCCTTCCTCGTGTAATATCGCTTGTTTCTCTTCTACTTTACCTACGCCTTTCTTCTTAGTCTCGTACGACTAGAAGAAAAAATACAGTCCTTTGTGAGAATGTTAACGTTTGTGAACGTTAAACGTTAACGCAAAGGTTAAGAAGCAGCCTTGTAAATTCTAAAATAAGTTACAGATGCACTGGGTGACATACAAATTATTTGTATATTTATGGGGATGTTCCATCAGTGAAACAGTACGTTTTCACCAAAGAAACAGTGGACTGAAGAACGCCAAAATGTTGTGCCTGCCATCCTAACACATCATATCTAGCTGTTTAGTTAGTGTAGGAATTTTTATTCTTTATCGTTTACAATTTTTTTTATTCTGAAAATTTCTGTCTTAAGATATTCTACGTGTAGATTCTTAAGACGGTTGACGACCTCGATTTCACCCTGTATAAACGGGAGTCATGATTTCTTTTTGTTCACGATTTCATGTTATAAATTACCTTGTAAGACAGCCACAGGCCTGTTTCAGAATGCTGTACGATGACAGTGGAGTCACCATACTTGATGATCGGAGCACCGATCACTTCTAGATCTTTGTCTTCGAGCACCACTTTCTGATCATCTTTTTCTTGGCGGAGACAGAAGGCACAGGACGCTGTAGTGGCCTCTTCTCTGTTTTAATTTATGTCAAATTAAAATACTTAAAATAAAATACCGTGTCAATATTAAATATCAGCTTCAAACATTTAAATATGAGCAATCAATCCTTGAATGGCTCTTGTGTGAATGGGACCAGTAAAAAACATTTTAAATTCTTAGCTCTCTGTTCCAGATATAATAATTCTACATTGAACTAAAAGGATACTTATGGCAATGGAACATATTATACATTCTACAAGCTGTGTAGTCCCGACATAGAATAGGCCACCCTTTCCTTTCCCGTAGCTATCGTAAAAGGAAACTAAGGGAATTTAAAGGTTGAGAGATGAGTAGCAGCGTTCCTTTTAATATATCATCAAAGTCTCACCGCGGTTACCAATCTGCCTGCCAAGTACTGGCAAACCCCCCCAAGGGGGATGGCTATGTTCAACAGTGGACAGTTAACGGCTGAATCTATCTACATTTTAATTATAAATGTAACAAAGATTTTTGGATGGTTGAGTATTTCTTATTCAATTATGCCCAAATGGCTGAATGGATTTGAAATTTGGTACATAGATATTACATAGATAGTTACTATTAACGTTCATAATTAACGCGGGATAAATAACGAGTGGCGGTCTTCCATCGTGCGTTTTTCTAGGCAATTTCTTTGACGTACAACCACGATTTAGAATCAACTTCCAGCAGCAGTATTTCCGAACCGATATGACAACATAAACTTCAAGAAAAGAGCATATTCCTGTTTAAAAGGCCAGTAGCACACATGTAATGCCGCTGGTGTTGTGGGTGATCATATGCGGCGGTAGCCACTTACCATCAGGTGAGCCACATGCTCGTTTGCCCCCTGTGTTGTAAAAAATAATAATCATGTGATAGTTGCTATTGAATATCATAAAGCATTAACTAACCTGCTAACTAAATATAGTTCGTTCTGGTCATTCACTCCCAAGTATCTGCCGGTAGTGATGTGCCTGATCCTCATGGGATGGTACCAGTTAATGAAGCCACCGGCCCACTTAGTGCGTGCCAACTCCAGACGCCACAGCGACCGCGCCTGCGACATCACTGATCCTCCCTCATAGACCACGATGCTGCGGAATGATCATCAATAATAGCATTTGAAATAACAAAGATCTTCTACATAAAAGGAGAATGAATCTGGCGATAGATACGTAGTCGAGACAGTAACATTTTGTGTTTTGCTCTTTCTCATGTGTGCGGTAATGAAAATAGATCTATCGATACATAATATAATCCTTACGCTCTTATAACAAAGATTATTTAAAACCTTGTCTATCTAAACAGAGTTTAACAAAATTCTGTCTAAGTGTCTGAATATTATTTAGTCAGTGTATTTTTGTTATTTTATGTACCAGAGTTTTTACACTTTAAATGCCTTATATGTTTAATAAGACAGACTTTCTTTTGTTTAGTCAAAAATAGATGTTGAACACACTTTTGTAGTACAACATCTAAACATGTATTGAACACGTGTCTGTCGCAAGTTTAACTTATTTGTGATAAGATTTCTAAAGTGGCATGCTACAACGCACTTTTTTGTGCAAATTTATATCATTTCTGCTGATTTAAATGGCGAGAGACCATTCTAGTACAATTGATAAATGAATTGATGTGATGATCATGCGTATACTCACTTCTGGCCTCCTTCCTTCGTCCACGTGCTCGGTATAGTGAGACACTCGTCACCGCCGTGGAAGAATCTCAACACGTCACCGCCGAACACGTAGCCCACGTATTTCATACGCGATATACCGGTACCGTACGGTTGTACGGACCAGTGTGTGACGTGGAACGATGCGTTCACGATTGATACCTCGTTTTCTTTTGTTGTGTGCTGAAAAAAAATGTATATAATACTTATGTATTTCTCCTTTTGTCCAATGGCTGACTGGTAGAGAAGATCGTTGGGTATTGACTACGCCAAATATACAAAGAATTTCATTGTACGTTAAATAAATTAAAAAAAATTAGAGATGTACCCCGCTTTCGGCCGGGTGCAAGATCTGAATTATAATGCCACTTATTTGTTCTTTCAAATTGGAACCAATTATATACATTCGACAAAATTTACGTATTGGTTTATGTATACAGTGTCACGGGATTTTTTTTATTATGTAATATCTAAGAAGCTGTTTTTTTTAATTCATGAAATTATCTTAATAGGAACATGGTCTAGTCTAAAGATTTTGCCGTTTTTTATACCATATACGTGACGCAAACAATGATAAAGCCTGTTTGATGATATACAGTAATCACCTGTAACATCATGCTCAGCTTGGTATTATCGATCTTAAAGAAATTTGAATACTCGATTTTCAAAGAATCTCACACTGTAATCTATACAGAATATCTTGTCAAACAGCTCTTTTCTATGGCCTGAGAGTTTGTGGAAAAATGATATATGACATCTGACAATATTGTCAGCCTTGTCGTCTTCATGTTTTGGGTATTTGCTTGACTAAATCCCTTCCTAGACAAAGCCCTGTAAAAAGAGTTTTATCATATAGGGAAAAAAAAACATGTTCTTACCAGATAACGCTCAGTTGCAACGGACACCAGAATCAAGTCATCACCAACACGAACTTTCTCACCCTCGGATCTGTATAAGACATTAATAAGGATTAAATAATATACATTTTTATCCAAAAGAGGCTAACAATAAAAATTGTCTGGATGTCTCTGTTCCGCTCATGTTTCTGTCCTGAAGCAGCTGTTCTTGCGTGGATTTAGGTTTGAAGGGTATCATCATCTCAGCCATTATTCTTCCATTGCTGAACATAGGCCTCCCTCATAGACTGTCATCAAGAACGGTTCTGAGCCACCTGCATCCACTGACTCTCTGCAATGCATTTTTGGTTGTCCCTCCATGTAGTAAAGGGGAGTCGACCTGCACTGCGTTAGTCCATACGTGGTCGCCACTCAAGAACTTTTCTTCTACATCGATCGATTGTCGGTTCTTCGAGCTATGTACCCAGCCCATTGCCACTTTAGCTTGTTTATCCTTCAGGCTATGTCGGTAACAGTTTGAAGGGTATATGGTAGTGAAATTACAGAGTATGGGGGAATAATACCATACAAGAATAACAATACAGTGGAAGAAATGGCACGAGGGAGAAAGAAAGAATATTGGAAGGGAGAAAGACCTACCTCTGTTTGCTAGCTGGATGCAGGGTCCACCAACAGGCTTCACCCTGCGAATGCTCTTGCAGACCGACATCGAAGGCTAGTTTGTCCTGCGACGACGACGTTGACAGACATGCCAGATACTGTGGACATTTGAACTCTATTAATTTTATTAATGTGTAATATACTTACAGTTTAAAGAACAACCAGTTGTCCAACGCTTTTGGCATATCCCGAACGATTACATGACAATTCGTATTGTAGTTTGTTGGTGGGAAAAAGGAAAGTGATTTACTTATGTATAGACAGATATCTATTTATTAGATATTGTTTTTACTATGACACAAAGGTACTTAATTATAAAAAAAAAAATATTCTCACCATATCACTGTTGAGATGTCGTAAAAGTATAGCATTGCCGTAAAGCAATGTTCTATGTCCGGAACCCGTTCCTTTACCCTGAAAAAAAAAATTATAACTCAAAATGTGCAAGTCTTATTCTCAATCTAGGTTAAAATAATAAAAAAAAAAATCTTTCCCGCCTTTTATTTATTAGTTCTGTGAATGTTTATTTTAAAACAGTGACATTGGGCAAGAAAATAACAACAGATATTCATTGTATAGTATATACAAATATAGAAATAAATTTCCATAAAAAATATAAAACTATATTTTTTTTTATTTTACTACTATTTTATTATTTTTTATTTAACATATTCAGAAGGGATTTTTAGTAATGGTGTCTAAAAGTCCTAATGCTAGCAATATACCCTATCAGGTCGACTTCTATGCGGTTACTCCTAGAAACTATCGTGATTGATCCTTGTGGAGTTTGTTACGATGAGGTAACTAACTTGCTTTCATCCTCACCTATAATTTATCACTGATGCTCCACCAGCGTATACCGGTAGCGCAGGCGGAATTACTATTCCATTATCATCCATAAAAAAAAACTTACACTTACCTATAAGAATAAATTGATTAAACGAAGGGTTATGCCTAATATTTATTGGCAAAAGATGAAAAGGTAGTAAACAAGCATACAGCCCGTCTGATAGTAATCGGTTACTGTAGCTAGATTTTTCCTAATAGTTAACTACTATCTAAGATATTCTTTATTTTGATTTAAATTTTTTAATTGTTAGGGAAGCAAAGGAACTGACGGTCTCCATCTGACGAAAAGTGGTTGCCGTTGCCGTCATGAACACTTGCAACACAATTAGTTTTAACTGCTAGTGTTGCCAGCCTTTTAACAAATCATAGGCGCGTTTGGTTTTAAAAATCAAATTAATCTTAGCTAAATAAATTAACAAATGCCCTTACTCAAATAAGGCAAGAGGCATGAAGACTAATTTGTTTAGACAATTTAAATTGCAGGTACTTATTACTTGGTGACAAATTATTTATGCGATAATACAGGTTGAATTCAAAATCATAAGCGCATATTTTAAGGGGTATTTTACCAGTGGAATTGACCTTTTTAAAAAAAACGGGCATCTAAAACTACTAATTTAACAGTTTAATTTGCCGCCGAAATTTGTAGATATGGGAAACCAAAAAATAATTTGCTTTTTGGCTCATGTTTTTTTTTTTAATGTAAACTTTAACTTATTCACGTATTGACAGTCTGGCAATGCAATCGTAAATATATACACTAAGAAAATATTTACACTAGTGTGCAGGTTTTGTAAATATATGCGTGTTACAGTTTTGAATTCATACAGAATTAATGTTGCAAAAATAGCAAAAAAATCACATATCTGTTTTAATTTTTCAATTGGTGTACATTCATAGCTTTATTGGGATTAGATTAGATTATTTTTTTTCTATAGATTCTTGTACAAAATATTTTTAATGATTCTATAATATTGCTTTTAAAGACAAATGTTTACTTCGTGATTACGTAAAAAATATGCAATTTTAAAGTCTCATATACATATGTGTTATGTTTTTTTTTTTCTTTTACATTGCCAATCTACGTACATTAACTTACATTTAAAGTTTTTATTCATAAAAACGTCATATCTTTCATAAAACTATTTTAGCTATTGAACTATTTATCTCTTTTTCTTGTGCTATATTCATAATTTGAAAGAAACCGATAATACAGTGTAATACTTAAAATATGTTTGTAGAAGATATTAGTTTTTATGAATATGGGGATAAAGGTAGAACACTACCTTAAAAAGATGCAATCAATTTTAATTTCAACCTGTATACATTTATATAAATATATATTTTATAGTTAGTTTGTACCAAATAAACGCTAAACTAATAATAGGCAAGCGTACACAATAAAATTTCGTAGAATACCATTCAATGCGAATTTAGTAAGAGAAAAAGACAATGGTACTGGTGGGTAAGTTTCGTTATTTCGTTAGATATTTGTTTATTTTGACAAAAATCCAAAGATGACCATTTTATGGCCATTGGGTATGGCACAGTCATTTTAATTATTATTAGGTATGCGAATTATAAAAGATTAGCACTTATAGCTTAATGCTTACAATGGATACGGTATAGTTTGCATAGATTTTTGTAAATCTTTTACATAAAAAGAACTCGTGTTACGATATTTATGGTAGAACTATTCCGAAACGGATCGACTGATTTTTACGAAATTTTTTATGTATATTCGATAGGTTTGCAAAATAAGTCGTAAAGTATATTTTATACCGGTACGTAATTAGGGTGCCCCTATCCAGGAAAAAATGTTAATATAGCAGTGTAACGTTTATCGGGTCAGCTAGTCAAGGATATTATTAAGGGTTTTAATATATTAGCCATATCAGGAGCTTAAAGTAACATAATAGTCATTTGTCATCTACTGACAACAGTTTTGATCTACGTACAATAAAAATATTTATATTGGCCTATGTTCAAGCTGCGCTCCATTTAAGCACAGGCTACATGCTCTTGAAGTCTCTACCACAAAGAATCCCCCACCACATATGCACTCTTGCCACAAATAGGCAGATTATGTTAGAAAATTAGTTAAAATTGTTGTCCATATATGTACATATACATTGTGCGTTAAAATTTAAATAAATAAAATAACGTAAATGGAAAAGTGGGAATTCAATTTTATATCAATCAATGTGTGCTAAAATCTTATTATTATAATGTTGCCATGACTGGGGATCCCCCTTAGCCATTGTATGTGTAATTTAATAAACAATATTGAAAATATCAATAATTCTTTCTATTTTCATGTTATCAATTCCATTTCAATTGCTATATAAGTACTGCTAAAATGACTAAAAATTTAATAATAGAAATTTAATATGTAATTCTCAAGTAAAATTTTGATATATATAATAATCTATTTTATAAGTAAAATGGGGCCCCGTACAACCTATATAGCCTAGGGGCCTACAAAGTTTAAATGCAAAGGCTGTTCCTAAGTATTATTTGTCTAACACATATAGTACAAGCTCTGCTTATTTTCGAACTAGATGTTAGGTCTTAAGTTACGCTCATAAGCATGTACCTACAGCGATATTTCTTTATTTGTAACTTTTTATTGTACAGTAAAATCTTAAATTAATAGTTTAATTTTATTCTAGATTTGGTATGAAAATTTGATTATATAAACAACGTTAGTATAGTGTGTGAGCATCGAATGGAAACACCATAATTTATGCAACATACGTTTACTATCGAAACGGAGTTACATTTTGAATTCCATTTGCGCGAGCTAGTGCGTCGCATAGAGACAATCTGAGTGCCAGTCGATGACTGCCTAGCGGCGTCGGCGCTGCTAAACTAAACGGTAGCAGGGGAAAGGGCTTGTTTTTAATGGGATCTAACAATATACCCTATCAGGTCGACCTCCACGTGGTTCCCCCTGGAAACCATCGTGGTTAATAATTGTGAAATTCGTCACGATGGGCTAACTGACCTGCTTCATCCTCACCTATGGTGCCCCGCCAGCGTATACCGATAGCGCAGGCGGGGTAACCATTCCACTATTGTCCAAAAAAAAAGCTAACGGTAGCGCACGGGAGGGCGACGCGCGCGGGGAGGACGACCGGAAAGGGGAATTACTCGCTGCCGTTACACGGTGGCGTTTTTGGGGGCCCAAGTTACATTAGGAAATATCTGATTTTTAAAACTTGTCTGATAAAGATCTTGTATAAGTTTAGTATTTATAAGTATAGATTGTAATATAAAACATAATTATCATTATGTTGATATCCATGTCATACAAGGCAAACCTTTTAGAAATTCAGGTCACAGAATCAATGAACCTCATACATATTTGGCAGAGCACTACAATTAAATTGTCATCTAGCCCAAATATTTAGTCCCAGTGGTTATCAACTTCGTATAATTTACGCGTGTTTGCCATACAATATGTAATTATAGGGTCAACCTTGGATTTTTGCCAAGTGAAGGCATCAGCCTGGATTTGTATTTTTGATAAAATTTTGAAAACAAAATGTTGATGATCAAATCGATAAATCCCAATGAATGTACATGCATTACCGTTCAACCATGATTATACTTACTAAGTTTTCTTTGCCCTGTAAAATTGAAACACGACAGCAATACTTATTATGGGTAATTATTCACAAATATGAGAAAAAAAGTTTGTTAAACACAATTCATTAAATCAACTTTGAGATTTGATCTTTAAAATCTTTTTTAATTAAAACCAAAATTATTATAAAATTTTATAGTGTATGTTTAGTTGTTTTTGAAGATTATTGATGAACAAGATATACTTAATAATTCAAGGAAAGGTATTGACTGTTAATTATACAGATAACGTATAAGAAATATTGATTTACATTTTGTAGACGTCAACGTATACTTACAGTTTCTGAGCCCGCTGCGGTCACCAACTCCTGGAGGGCTCTCACTGACAGCGCCTGTAAAATGATAAAACAATTAAAGCATTTTAATATTATCGATCTATTAAACTTTTTCATGGTTTATGAATTAATTTTTTTTTTATTAATTTCTTTAAGAATTAATGTAGACTACTTATTTTTTTTATACAACTTAGAACGGCAAATAAGCTGACGGCCAACCTGATGGAAAGTGGTAACCGTCGCCTATAGACATGAGCAGTACCATGGACATAACAGGGTATACTGTTTCGCCCATGACACCCCCGTTGTGTTGCCATTCCTGAGGACTCTGGTGTTATTCCTCTGTACCCTGTAAATTCTCGCCATATCCCACCCTTCAAACCGAAACACAGCCATGCAAACACAACTGCTTTACGCTTGAAACACGAATGGGACAGAGGTACCCAAGCAATCGACTTTTGTACAAAGTCTCCCTCTGGATTATTTATATGAAGTATAATTTATATAATGTATGTAAGCGCATCACTACAGAACAGCTGTACCTATTTGGCTATTTTTACCTACTTTATGTTAAATTTTTGATTGCCAAAACAAGGTTTGTATGATAGAAATTTTTTGTGCAATTCGTCACGATGGGCTAACTCGCCTGCTTTTATCCTCACCTATCATTTTTTATTAGTGACCCGCCAGCGTACATATTTAGCGCAGGCGGGGTTACCATTTCATTATCATTCATTAAACAACCCTCACCCTATTAGTAACAAGATGTTAAATTGAATAAAAAATTGTATATACTTTATTTGCATTATACAATATAGGGAATAAGCAAGACAATTAATAAATGTAACGATACAATTGTATAAGTAAAGAAAGGCGGTCCTATTTCTGAAAGCAGTTTTTTTAAAACAACCTTAGGGTAACGAACTAATTGTTATACAAGTAGGTATTGTATAAAAAATCTCATGTACTAACCTGTTCAATAACGAACACGCATTGCGATAGATCTGGTGGTATATTCTTGTCCGCGATGTTCTCTAGGAAACAGTGCCGGTTACCAAAACCCTCAGCAGCCAGACAGACACGCTCTCCCGTCGCTGTGCACGAGAGACACACCATGTCTTCCTGCGAAAATGTAAAAAAAAAAACAGGGATGAGGAGGGAAACTTCATTATCTATACGAATATTATAAAGATTTGATTTTTTTTTGATGGGTGAAAATGGTATGGTAGCCCCGCCTGCGCTAACGGGATACGCTGGCGGAGCACCAGTGAAGGGTGATAGATGAGAATGAAAACAGGCTAGGTAGCCCATCATGATGAATTCATCAGGAATTAACCATCATAGTTTCCAGGGGAAACCGCGAGGAGGTCGACCTGGTTGTGTATATTGCTAGCAATGGGATTCACAGTCTCCATTACTAACAATCCCTTTCCCCCCTAAAGATTTGATTATTTGTATGTGCATATACGAGTATATATTCTTTATTGCACTTGAAATAAGAATACAGCGATTAGTTTAACAATTTTTTAGCAAGTTGGACTTATCTCTAAAAGAGATCTCTTCCAGCGAACCCAGTGTAGTAAGAGAGAAAATATTATAATATTTATTTATAATAGATAATGTTAAAAACTATTAGTATATATACTTTAATGCACTAAAATATACAGTAATAACAACAAGTTAATAACAAAGTTAGCAAAGGCGAACTTATCTCTAAACCACTACTGATCCAATTTTAAAAATTCTTTCGTCTTTGGATATATATTGATAACTTATATCATCAGAGATAATAATATCAGTACAATCATTTTCAAAAAAAAAAAAAATTGGGATCCCTATGAAAATTATAATAATGTAACTCAAAGTATTTTTTTATACAACTTAGAATGGCAATCAAGCTGACGGCCCACCTGATAGAAAGTGGTAACCGTCGCCTATAGACATGAACAGTAATAAACAGGTTATCAGTAGTTGCCACGCTTGGTAGGCGGACTGGCAACCACAGTTAGGCTTTGATGGTGTTTTAAGAGGAACGCTGCTGCCCATTCCTCGCATTCCCTTAGTCACCTTTTACGACATCCACGGGAAAGGAAGGGGTGGTCACTTCTCAGCCGAGACCAAACAGCCATAATTTATTAATGTGTTTGCGTGGTTGCTCATTGTATTTATGAAAATGCAAGTCGAAATTGAAATTTTGACAGTAAAAATGCGCACATACATGCATAATATTTTTTAAATGAACGTTAAAGACAAACATACTGACAGCTAACGTGACGAAAAATTGTCAGAACTTTTTGGTTATTTTAAGAATCTAAGAACAAGGAAATACATAGGTATAGAAAATGTTATACGGCCGTATAACCCTACCAAATTCAAATACAACTTGCTTGCATACTTTCTACATAAACTGTGTCGAATATATAATGTAATAATGTAAATGAACAAAAATTGTACATACACATTTTTTATACACCAGCCTGCTATGAATTGAGAAAAATAGCAACTGATTATCATCAGAGGAAGATATATCTATCTTCCGTCCTCTTTGTACTAATTATATTTGCATAAGAAGAAAGGAGACAAGCATATGATTTTCAGTTTTTATTTTATTATTCTTTCTATGTAATTCCTTGTTCTTAGCTGAGAATATCATGCGGTGTGATAGATACGTATTGTGAGTGTTGCCTAGCAAACTGTTGTTTACTGTCGTTAGATACGAAATAAAAAATTGGTAGTAGTTGTAAATATTGTGTCATTTAAACTGTGAGTGATATTGTGTGTTCGTTTGTGTATATCGTATAATTTGTTTGGACTTTGTAAACTGTAAAAGTGACATCTATTGCTAAATCTGCTTATTCATAGTACCAAACCTTGAAGAGTTCCCTGGTATTCAAGGTACAAGGTTCAAGGTACGAATATTATTAAGTAAAATGATAACCGTCGCCTACAGACACCTATTGCAACATGAACATCACAGAATACATTGTGACGCTTACTCTACCCCTTACAGTCAAATCAACTTCCACGTGCCTCCTTCCCTATTTGAAAACCGTCGTGGTTAATTTCTGTTTAATTCGTCATGATGGCTTAACTGACCTGATATCATTGACTATGGTGTCATATTGATATCATTAATATTCCTCATCGAGGGGAAACGAATTGTTAGTAATGGGATCTAACACCGTCATTGCTAGTAATATAACCTATTCTATTGAGGTCGACCTGCACGCGGTTTTCCCTAGAAATATTACTGCGGTTGGCAATCCGTCTACCAAGCATGGCAACTATTGGTAAAACCGCTAAAGGAGAGGCTTATGTTTAGCAGTGGACTGTTAAAGGCTGATTTTGTTTATGCAATTTAGAATGGCAAACAAGCTGACGGCCCACCTGATGGTAAGTGGTAATCGTCGCCTATAGACATGAGCAGTATCATGGACATAACAGAGTATACTGTTTCACCCATGATACTCCCCATACGTTGTGACTCCTAAGGAATCAGGTGTTATTCCTCTGTACCTTGTAAATTTACTACCATATCCCATTCTTCAAAGCGAAACAGCCATGCAAACACTACTGCTTCACAGTAAAAACACGAATGGAACAGAGATGCCCAAGCAAATGACTTTTGTACAAAGTCTACCTCTGGTATGATGATGATGATGATGATGATGATGATAAACTCTGCCTGAGTTACCATTCCATTATTATCCATTTAATAAAGAAACATAAATCTATAGCTCAGGTGTGGTCACCACATCATTTTTATCTATTAAAAAAGTGTATACGTGCTTTAGATATAGTTTGTTATTTACTCGATCCGAATTTAGGCGTGACGTAAAATATTATGTGGGAATCTAATATTAGGAAGCTATTAGCAAGCAGATGTTTGAAAACAGCTTGTCACGGTACCTTGAGCAGGTACGGCGATAGGTATTTTTGTCAACCGTTTTCAAAAAGATTTCATTATGAGGTTCTTAATTTTTTTTTTGTTTAACTTAGAATGGCAAACAAGCATACAGTCCACCTGATGGAAAATGGTAACCGTCGCCTATAGACATGAGCAATACCATTGACATAACAGAGTATTTTATTTCGCCCATGATACCCCCCATGCGTTGCCATTCCTGAGGACCCAGGTGTTATTCCTCTGTATCCGTAATCTGTAAATTCACTGCCATATCCCACCCTCCAAACCGAAACACAGCCATGGAAACACAATTATGTTTGTTACCTCTTAACTCGGTCAGCTATAAATGGATTCGGATTTATTTTTATCTCAAAGGAGATTAGTCCCTTACAGATTAGTTCCTTTTGAAATTTTATCAAAATCGGTCCAGTAGTTTAGATTTAAAAACAAAATAACTAGTTGTACCACAATTGAAGTTGGATTTTTTTGTAAAACACAATCTTAAAGTATTACATAATGACTTCAAAAAGATATAGATTCTCAATTCGAGTATTTTTTATTTTCGTGTGCAGCTATCCCTTGGACTATCCTCTAGATATAAATTTTATCTCTATCCTATACCCTATTTAAATATAAATCCTATGAAAAAAAATGAAAAATAAGAAAGTTTGTGTGTAAATAATGTCGCTATTGGAGTTAATTCTTTTTTGGAAGACATTAAATCATGTAATTTTATTTAATTTCTATTATGTACTTAAAAGATAGGATACTTATAGGATAGTTCTAGGTGCAAGCATTCATAGACTACAATAATCATTTATCATTAGACAGCCCGTCTAATAATAAATGGTTAGATTATAGATACGAGTAAATGGTATGCTTGTGGAGAGAAATTATATTGAACACACACACATATATATATATATAAAAGAAGGATGTTAAACTTCTGTTATATAATTATAAAGAGTTTTCTTTATTATATTATACAATTATACATGACAACTAAATGGTCGAGGATTAGGCAGTAGCGTCCTTTTTAAAACATCAACAAAGCCTAACTGTGGTAGCCAACCCGCCCGCCAAACATGGCAACTACTGGCAAACGCCCCTTTACTAGGGAGGCTGAACATAGCAATGGACAGGTAGCGGCTGACATGATGTTGATGATGTATGAATGAATACTTTTGAATTGATTTGTTTCGTTTTGACTATTCTATTAAACGTTCCTCTGTTCTATTTTGAGGGGCAGAAAGTACATCCGGAATTGTATTTGGTGTGGGCAGGCCCTTAATGCATAAAGCCTTTCGCTTTCCATTCTCACGCCACCTCCTCTATTCAATCTTTAATGTCCTTTTTTATAACATAGGGCTGTCAATAACGACAAGTTATGTATATATCGTTGATTTGTAGGGATTTTCTAAAAATTTACATACACTTCAATATTTGCTAGATAAGTAGATACATAATTTTTTTGCATTATTTACCGCACACAAATAATAACAAACATAGATACACAAGAAAAAAAAAGAGATAAAAGAATACATATACAAGAAAAGCAAAATACATGAAAGAAGTAATATATTTTTTTCCTTTCGTGCGTTTGTCATAGTAATCCTAATAATAAATGTATACTCGTATAAACCCTATTGTTCGGGGAAAGGCATTGTTAATAATGGGGACTAAGAATCCCATCGCTAGCAATATACACAACCAGGCCGACGGCCGGCGGTTCTCCCTGGAAACCATCATGTTTAATTCGTGTCGAATGAATCATGGTAGGCCAACTGACCTGCATTCATTCTCACCTATCATCTTTCACTGGTGCCTCGTCGGTGTATACCGATAGCGCGAGCGTGGTTACCATTCCATTTTCACCCATTAAAAAAAAACCCTATTGTTCTATTAAGCTCTGCTTAGTTTGACACTAGATGGCGCTGTGTAGTATATTACTGGTATTTGGAAAAGAAAATTATTGCTTTTAAAAATTATCATTTTTAATAAATGATAATAAATTTAAAGTGGCAATAATTTATACATATTTAATTGAACTCTATTATTTTGTGGACGTCCGTATCACCGGATAATTGTTTAGAATTTTATTTTGTGCCGTCAATATTTTTGGGACGTCAACTTGTTTACTATTTCATGTTCCATAAAAAAAAAAGATTTGGCAGCAACCCTAACCACCAACAAGTGAGCCCAGCGTCCAATTACCGGCGGCATTCAGGTGGTAAAAGCTTTTCATTACAGCAGTTTTATAGAAAACTGACTATTTCATTTAATAGGGTTATAATGGTTCTAATAGTGAGTTTAATGAATCGTTTATGCAAATGTTAAATTACAAATTACTGCTGATTTTACACAATGTTGATTCACTATCTAGACTAGGGGTGGCCAACCGGTCGATCGCGACTATTAGTCCAGTCGATCGTGGCAAGGCAAAAAATTATTTGCAAATCTAGCGGAAGATGCTCGGACGCAATGCTCACACTAACATAAATAAGTAGTTACTAAGAATAATTTTCAGTTCCAGAGGGAGACTTTGTACAAAAGTCGTTTGCTTGGGTACCTCTGTCCCATTCGTGTTTCAACCGTGAAGCAGTTGTGTTTGTATGGCTGTGTTTCGGTTCGGAAAGTGGGATATGGCGTGAATTTACAGGTGTACCCTGTATGAATAACATCTGAGTCCTCAGGAATGGCAACGCATGAGGGGTATCGTGTGCGAAACAGTATACTCTGTTATGTCCATGGTACTGCTCATGTCTATAGGCGACGGTTACCACTTTCCATCAGGTGGGCCGTCAGCTTGTTTGCCATTCTAAGTTGTATAAAAAAAATATAAATAAGTAGTTACTAAGAATAATTTTCAGTTTTATATTTTCACTCTTAATAAAATAAAAAATACTATATAATTCTGTACTGAACTATGTTGATTCATTTGAGATTTCAAGAAGTATGTAATTGGCACAAGGTTTCGTTCGTAAACACTAGATCTTGGGTCTAGCCAAGTCAGCTACCCCGTGCTTTAGGCGAATAAAGATTAATCCTATTTCATGTATTTATTTATTTAATCATCATGCAAATACATACAAAAAAAAACCAAGAATTTTTAGTATCAATTAAACCACTTGGGCTTGTGTGTGGCACTTTACATTTCGTTCTCAAATAATAAGTACTGATATTAATATCCTGTTTAGCAAAGTTGGACAAAAGATATGCTCTTAAATTGTATGTCTTCAACAGTAATATAGCTGTCATTGTATTAAAACATATCGATCAAATCTAATTCATCAGGGGGGAAAGGGATTGTTAGTAATTGAGACTGAGAATCTCATTGCTAGCAATATACCCAACCAGGTCGACCTCCTCGCGGATCCCCCTGGAAACGACCATGGTTAATTCTTGATGAATTCATCATGATGGGCTAACTGGCCTGTTTTCATTCTCATCTATCACCCTTCACTGGTGTCCCGCCAGCGTATCCCGTTAGCGCAGGCGGGGTTACCATACCATTTTCACCCATAAAAAAAATCTAATTCATCAAATCATCGTCAACATATCAGTCATGAACTGTCCATTGCTGAACATAGGCCTCCCCCATGAAGAGGGGTTTTGCCAGTAGTCGTTACGCTAGTAAGCGAGTTGGCAACTGCAGTTAGGTTTTGGCAATGTTTTAAGAAGGACACTGCTGCTCATCCCTCGACCATTAAATTCTATTAGTCGTCTCTCACGACACCTATTGAAAAGGAAGGGATGGCCCATTCTATGTCGGGCTATTCGATATTCTTATCCACTAGTGGGCGACAAAGGAAACCAGGACTGGAAATTGGAAATATATGTATAATAGTCAAAGGAACTTAGAAGACTAGGGCCGTAAAGGCAAGCCAAAAGGAAACAATAGATATGCGTGTCAATTTCGAATTTGGTAAATAATAATATATAGCTATAAATAATATATATGGCCTGTACTTCACACCACTTATTTTTTCATAATTGTTATAGCCAGTTTCAATTAAGATAACGTAAAATATTCATTGCTCGTAGAGAAAGTTCTGTTGGCGGAATATCAAAACTTTTATTACTTGACTAGCGGCCTGTCCCGGCGTCGCACGGGACATTTTTACATTTTAAAAAGCGGCCATTATGGCTGCACACGCGACGGAAGCTTAAAAATGGAGTAACTTCTCCCGTTTTCCCAACATTTCCCTTGACTGCTCTGCTCCTATTGATCATAGCGTGATAAAAAGTTTACTATAACCTGCCCAGGAGTATGAAGAATAATTGTACCAAGTTTTGTTAAAATCCATCGAGTAGTTTTTGTTTCTATAACGAACATACAGACAGACAGACAAAAATTTTACTGATTGTATTTTTGGTATCAGTATCGATCACTTATCACCCCCTGATAGTTATTTTGGAAATATATTTCATGTACAGAATTGACCTCTCTACAGATTTATAATAAGTATAGATAGATGTGTTCACATATGAATAGCTTATGGTTGGAATATATAAATAACACGGCCGGTCTGCAGACTATCCGTCTGCCAAGTGCCGGCACGGGAATCGGAAATGAGTCACCGGCCTGTCGGTACGAAGGTGGATAAAGTTTTGAAGGAATCAGCGGAGAGATGGGACCGTTAATAATGAGATTTAACAATTTAAAATACGAATGATAGAAGTACGTTCTAATTATTATTAAGCTCAATAATTAATAAAAATTACCGACATCACTTGTAGCAAAACCGGTTATTTTGATCTAATATTTATTTATTTATTTAACTCTTTATTGCACCATAAATAAAAATATACAATGACAAGTGAATAATTCAAGTGAAATACAGTAACATAAATACAGATTGAAATATACACATAAAGGTACAAAAGGCGGTCTTATCGCTAGAGCAATCTCTTACAGACAACCTTTGGTTAAAGGAGAACAGATAGAAATAATTAAACTACTAAAACTTTTTTGATAAAATTTCCATGGAACCAATCTGTAAGTATACCCTTTCAAATAAAAAAAAAATTTCAAATCGGTTTGGAACTGCCGGAGTTATAAGGTAATCGACAAAAACTAAGGACATTGGTAGGGGACTAAAGGAGCTTATGGTGGAGGGATGGGCAGCAGCGTCTCTATTAATACATCGCCAAAAGCCAAACTGCGGTTGCCAACCCGCTTGCTAAACGTGGCAAGTACACGCAAAATCCCCCTTATGGAGGCTATGTTTAGCAGCAGAGAGTAGTTAACGACTGATAAAACAACAATAAACGTAAAAACAACAAACATAGATAAATATAATCGAATCAAGAAACTCCTTCTTTTTGAAGTAGGTGGAAAAATAGCTCGCTTTGTTACTTTTTCTCGTGAGAATTCGTTATTTCTTTCAAATGTTAATTTCATTATTTAATCCAGACAAGTTTTGAAAGAGTTTTAGTAAAATTAAAGTTGTGGTATAGTAAAAAAGATACGAGTATACCGTGAAAATGTAATCAGTTTAACCTAAAATTAAATTATGTTGTAGTTAGTTATTTCTACAAATAAAAACTCGATACGATTTGAGTTCGAAACAGTTTTGCTTTTTTATGATTGTTTAAAAGTAGTACAATGTTTACCATTTTCAGGGTCCCTGTGTTTAATTTGTATATTAATTTATGAAAAGTTAAGATATATTAAAAATAGCTGATTACTGGTTCAATTAGCAAATGGTCAATTATTTATTTTGTATTATTGTTATTTATAGTACATACATATCTGTCACGCCTGTCTCCCATTAGGGTAGGCAGAAACAATGGAACGCCAAATGCTTCGATTCAAACAAACCTCTTTCGCTTCCTCCACATTTATCAATCTTTTCATACACGCTCGCCGGTTACGGGTACTTTTAATTTCGCCCTTCTTCAGCACGTCGCCTATTTGGTCAACATACATCCATCTAGGGCGGCCCCTACCGACATCTCCATTCATTCTTGCTCCATAAATAAATATCTTTCGTAATTCTTCTTTCATCCATCCTCTCCAAATGACCAAACTAAGTATTATATATAATACTGTATTAACAAATTTTATGGTTTATATTAAAAAAGCACTTACCGTTCGTAAGAATGAAACATCATCCTGCTCGCTCGCTCCTCCCTCAGCTTCAGCCATTTTGAATTGTTACACCGTCAGTCTATCAAATTGTATTTGCGCCTCTTGAAATGCATAACTGTAACAATACAGAGAGTAGATCAGTACATCGGTTATTAATTAAAATTTGCAGTGGGAAATAAGTTGATGGCTTATTTAATGGGAAACGGTAACCGTTACAACAACAATATCTTACATATATTTACCACATTAAAATTAACGTTTTTCAACCGTGAAGCAGTTGTGTTTGTATTGCTGTGTTTTGGTTTGAATGGTGGGATATGGCGTGAATTTACTGAGTACAGAGGAATAACACCTGAGTTCTCAGGAATGGCAATGCATGGGGGGTATCATGGGAGAAATAGTATACTCTGTTATGTCTATGGTACTGCTCATGTCTACAGGCGACGGTTACCACTTTCCATCAGGTGGGCCGTCAGCTTGTTTGCCATTCTAAGTTGTATAAAAAAAAACCATAATTAATATCATCCACATTAACATTTAAACAACGGTTTCCAGCGGGAAAACTGTGGAGGTGGACCTGACCAGGTATATTATTAGCAATGGGACTACAATCCCCATTGCTCACAAACACTACCCTTCCGAGTTTATAAGGCAGGATAATATACCACAAGATCACGATGTTTTTCTGCCATTCTTTGCTTTTTAATAGAAATAAAAACTAAAGACTGCCAGTAGCAATTAGACATACCAAACTAAATTGTATGAGTTGCGTGATACAATACTTTTGAAGGTCACACTCTAATAAAACTTTGTTCCACGGAATTTAGGTAGGTGCCCTTTCACCCGTATTCCTTTCATATTAAAGTTTTGCAGGAATTCCCAGTATCTGGACCCGTCCCGTCGTGCTACAGGTATGAATAATAACATCTGAATTTAGTGAAAATATATCTAGCTCTCTAAATTTTTAGGTTACAGAAATGTGTTATTAGTTTGTTGATACCTTATATTCCATATTTTTTTTTGGTGGATAAAAATGGAATGGTAACCCCGCCTGCGCTAACGGGATACGCTGGCGGAGCACCAGTGAGGGGTGATCGATGAGAATGAAAACAGGCCAGTCAGCCCATCATGATGAATTCATCAGGAATTAACCATGATAGTTTCCAGAGGGGAACCAAGAGGAGGTCGACCTGGTTGGGTATATTGCTAGCAATGGAATTTTAGTCTCCATTACTAACAATCCCTTTCCCCCCTATATTCCATATTGGCTGTTCACTGCTGAACATGGACCTCCTCCATAAGGTGTGAAGGCGGGTTTGCCAGTAGTTGCCACACTTGGTAACCGGATTGGCAACCGCAGTTAGGCTTTGATAATATTTTAAGAGGAACGCTGCATATGAGACCCACGGGAAAGGAAGGGAATTAATGGTTTTGTGACTGTTCATCGCAAAAGTTGGTAGGGAATACTACTAGCATTAAGTCCGCCTTTTTTTACAAATAACATAAAATAAATAAACAAAACAGTTTCAATTATGAGTAAAAAAGCGCTGTGTAATATTATATGTCTAGTGTCATTTGTTTATTACTTATTTAAAGGAAAACAATCTACTGGAATTACTGACAGGCAACAATAATTATATACATATACATACATACATACGTACATACATACATACATATCTGTCACGCCTGCCCATTAGGGTAGGCAGAAACAATGGAACGCCAAATGCTTCGATTCAAACATATACATATATTAATTAACAAATCAGATTGTACAACTTGCGTGACTTAATATCCATGAAGGTCACGCCCAAATAAAACATTGCTCCACGGAATTTAGGTAGGAACCATTTCACCCTTATTCCTTTCATGTTTAACTTTTGCGGAAACTCCGGTTCCGTATCTGCTACCGACCCGTCATACCTCAGATACGTACAACTAGTTTTCAGCTGTGACTTTGTCTGCTTACAATACGAGTGATTAATCGAGGTACGAAATCGATCAATGCCCTTCTTCATTCCAAATAAAGTATGCATGCAATTTTTTAATGGGATGTCTATGGAATGGTAACTCCATCTGGCGAGTTAGCAATAATGATGAGATTAGGTTTTTTATGGATGAAAATGGCCTAATCTCGTCTGCGCTATCGGTATACGCTGGCGGGGCATCAGTGAGAGATGATAGTTGAGGATAAAACCAGATCAGTTGGCCCATTGTGACGAATTCATTAAGATTTAATCACAATGGTTTCCAGAGGCAACCGCGTGAAGGTTAACCTGATAATATACCATACACACACATACATGTGTGTGTGTGTGGTGTGTGTGTATGTATATATATATATATATATATATATATATATATATATATTTATATATATATAAATACAATATAAAACAACAAAATATTACAATATAGCTAGAGTTCATTGTACTTTTCAGCATTTTCAACAGTAAAAGTCAACGGGTAATAGAAATGAGAAAATTATTCATAACAATGGAGCGTCCACGCGTTTACACGTTGTAAAGAGTTGATACAAATTTATTCTAACCACCAAAACCAGGGGAACGCTTTTACTTGCAAAGAAATAAAATTTAAATACTGTTTGTTAGTGAGTTGATAATGGTTGGATTATTACTATGGATTTGGTAATTATTTTAATGTTTATAGTTCAATTTTTTTTAAATATAAAAATGCATATATTTTGTCACGTCTTTCCCCCATTAGGATAGATAGAAATAATGGAATGCCAAATGTTTTGATTCCATTATCAAATCCTTTATCTATGATTTAATATTACTAAAAACTATTTTCCCGGTTTTAATTCAGTTATCAAATATTTTATCTATGATCAGGTATCACTAAAAACTATTGTATCTAACCGTACCGTATAATAATCCTAGTTCTCTCCAATATTTTTTTTAATGGATGATAATGGAATAGTAGCCCCACCCGCGCTATCGGTATACACCGGCGGCGCACCAGTGAAGGATGATAGGTGAGGATGAAGTTGGATAGTCAGCCCATCGTGACAAATTCAACAAGAATTGTTCACGATGGTTTGAGGGGGAACCACGTGGAGGTCGACCTAATAAGGCATATTGCTAGCAATGGGGCTGTTAAACTCCATTGCTAACAATCCCTTTCCTCCCTCTCCAAATAATTTTTGTAAAAAAGTAATTTGTGATGTAAATATTATTTACAAGCTACCTAAAATTCAGCGAAACCAAATCAAACTCTCTAATGTTAATATTCAAGGAGGATATATAAAATATTTATATTATATTCATGGACTGTTGTATATAACACTGGACAAGATTTTAGGAGCGTTGGTAACTTAAGCTTACCGGAGTGTGGCAACGTCGCGTATATCTGTCAATTTATCAAAACAATTTTTCATTGTTCCCGATTGATTATTTAAGAAATACTCTGCTGGCGAACTGAAACGTTAATCATTGAATATCTGTATATATTTTAATATTAAAAGTTTCGTAATCATATATATTTTAATACAATAACTAGCGGTTTATCTTACGTGTAATTAGATCGAAAAAGTTTCGGATGCGACTGTGTCAGGCCTGTGCTCGCATCACAGTCGCTCATGACTAAGTATCACGAATTGATTCTAAAACTAGTCAAGCTTTTTCGACCTAATTACACGTAAGTTAAACCATTAATTATTATATTAAAATACTGTATATAAATCTACCACTAAAAACTTTACACCTAAACAATGCAATAAAAGCCTAAACAATTTTATCTTAACGTCTTAAACTCTTTTGACGAAATAGTTCTATTCAAGTAGTGGGATCAAAATTCAATTACATAATTGCAAAATAGAATTAAACATAAATCATGTATTAAGTAAAATATAAAAACAAACAAAAAATGGAATTTTTCTTTCGTTTATTTCCATTAAAATCATACTGCAAATAGTAGAAGTAAACGGACAAAAAGTCTGTTTTGTTCTACTGCCTGTAATGTGATAGAACTAAGTCGTAGAACTATACGGATATAATAATTTTGCTTCGGAATTTTTCAAATACATTTTTGTCAACAGAATTAAAACTTCAATGATAGCTTAATAATAATATGATTACACGATTAACCTTTTAGTTCGCTAGACATTTTTAAATAATAATTCGGAAAGAATGAAAATTATTGAACTATTTTTGATTATTGATAGATAATTGCGACTAACTTTTACCAATGGCTTTGTCCGCGTGACCGAGATAAAAGTAGTCTATGTCCTTCTCGATCCTATATATATATATATATATATATATATATATATATATATATATATATATATATATATATATATATATATATATATATGTTTGCATAGCTGTGTTTCTGTTTGAAGGGTGGGATATGGCGTGAATTTACTGGGTACAAACGAATAACACCTGAGTCCTTAGGAATGGCAACGCAAGGGGGATATCATGGGCCAAACAGTATATTCTCTAATGTCCATGGTACTACCTATGTCTATAGCGACGGTTACCACTTTGCCATTTTAAGTTGTGTAAAAAAAAAGTACGTGTATACCAAATTTCATAGTGATTTGTTAAATTGTTAAGGCGCTAAACAAACCCACTTTAACATTTGTAATATTAGTGAAGAGTACATAACTTTATAATGCCCCTAAATAAGATTATTTTCAAAAACATAAAGTAATTATTAATATTCTAGCACATCAAGCTCAGTGTCAACGTTAACACAAAGGAGTTCCAGCTTTATACATTTTTCGCTGTCTTTTGACAACTCGTGCCACAATGGACCTGTAGTCCTTTTCATGCCATCTAGCCATCTTTTGTGTTATCTTTTTAATTTCATTTTGAGACTGGAAATTCCCTCTGATAATTTTCGTAAAGATTGTTTCTTTAATTCAAATTCAAATCATCTTTATTTAAATAGACTTGTTTACAAGCACTTTTAAATCGTCATTTTTTTTTAATCTATTGCAGAGTTTGGAAGGTTGTTCTGTTGAATTTGTTAAGAAGAGACCACAAGAAACTCGAAAATGACTCTTTTAAATCTCTGTTAACATTATGTGAATTTATTTAAATGTACTGTCTAAAATTACATGGTTTTAACGACCACTATCATGAT